GAGCAAAGCCGTCTGGACAAAGAATACGCGGCAGACGGCACGTTTGCGTGCGCAGATATGTGTCTGCTGGTTGCATAACGGAGCGTTCCAAGCTGCTTCAAAAGATTAGAGGATGAGCACGTCTAGGCGTAGAAATTACTGTTGTGTCGTAGGCTGCCAAACCGGATACAGCAGAGTTAAAAACCAGCCCAAGCTCTCACTCTTTGGAGTACCTCAAGACGAAGAAAGACGCCGGCTATGGGACCAGAATCTCAACCGCGCTGATCGGCCCTTGCAAGTCACCGATGCCATTTGCGAGCTGCACTTCGAGCAAAAATACATACTAAGGCAATATGTACATATTATCGAAGGCCGAGAAGTATATATAGAGCGGGGAAAGCCGGAACTTCGCAGTGATGCTGTACCCATAATTATACCTCATCTCCTGAAGTGTCCTGACGAGCAGCCCACACCGGAGCAGTCAACGAAGAAGAGAGCGGCTTCACCACCAACCTGTGAAGACCAGCCGTCAAAAAGAACTGCGCTGCAATCAGTTGAGCCGCAACTGAGATTTGAAGATTGCGAAAGTGCGAGGCAAAGCGACAACGCATTTGAACTTGAAGACGTTGTCCGGCCAAACGACCACTGGGCAATGCACAAGTTTCGTCATTATGACGGAATTGCTTATGTTTCGGCCTCCCTAAGTCGTGAACTCGTAAGCATCGAAAAGACTGTGCTCATGAATTACGGTACCGACCGGAGTGAAGTGATTTGTCGGACATATGTTCGGAAGACGCTGATCTCCGAAAAGGTCGCCTATAACCTTGAAGATGCCAAACAAGTCCTGGACTGCGCAGAATCTCTTCACCCTTGCAGAGGAGCAGGTAGGGCGAAGGACTTCACCTATGACGTTCTTACGAAGAAACTGGAGCAGCAAATCTCTCATTCCGACGGCCTTGTCTTCAGTGTCACGTGCAAAGGAGCGGTTAAACAACAAGGTGAGTGCGGCAAACGTTTATTGAGACGTCACTTGTAATTGTACAATTAATCAATCAGTAACCTGTTTAATGCTAGAACATTTGTGTGGCCCCTAATTTTTGTAGTACTCATTAACATTTACGAAAGAATAGTTTGCCTACAGAAAGTGAAAGTGCATAAATTGCGTTTCAAACATGCATGGTAAAAAACTGGAAGCTCTTCATAATTTTTTTCTCGTATACTTCCAGGTTCTTCATGCATTTCATGCAAGTACGTGAGGAAAGTAATACTCACCAGAAAAAGCTACCTAAAACGAAAAGAGCGAAGAAACTCAGTCTCCACCAAACTGCGGGTCCTGAGTCAGAGAAACAAGCGGATGGCGACAAGGCTGTTGGACATTGCTGGTCGTCTCGAAGAGATGAGGGCAAACAATGCGAATGTCGCGGATAAAATACTAGAGGATAAAATATCGTCACTACCGCGAAAGCAGCAGGCAAGTGTTCGCGCTTGCTTTCAAGCTGCCAAACAAACCAGCAAGCAGGGCATGCGCTACAATCAGGAGTGGATCCTCGAGTGTTTACTCATGAAACTAAAGAGTCCCCGGCTTTATCAGCACATCAGAAAGAACGAAATTCTCATGATGCCCAGCAACACTACTTTGAAAAGATACTTGAGGTCATACGAGTCGGCCTTCGGTTTTAATCAAGCAGTAATGAACACTCTAAAGAAAAAAACCGCGAGCATGTCAGACCTCGAAAGACACGGCGGACTATTGGTGGACGAAATGAAATTGTCAGAACATTTCAATGTGACGGCGTCTGGCCAGATTCAAGGCTTCGTGGACCTTGGAGAATTTACGAAGCCCGAAGACAAGTACCAGCAATGTGATCACGGCATGGTCATCATGTTTGTGCCTTTCGCTGGAAATGGAGCCAAATTGTGGGCGTTTTTGCGACAAAAGGAAATGTGAGAGGAGACATTTTATTGAAAATTCTCATGGAAGCTACCATCCTCGTGGAACAGGCGGGCTTGTTCGTCGACCACATCACTTGTGACGGAGCCCCCTGGAATCGAAAAATGTGGAAGCTAGCGGGGTGTCGGCGTCATCGAAGAAAATAAATGGCGCCATACAGCATCCTGTCGACGAGATGAGGAAATTGCACTTTATCTCCGATTTCCCGCATCTGCTAAAATGCCTCAGGAATGGTCTTCTCCAGAAAGGCTTTGCAACACCAGACGGATTGGTACGTATAGATTCATGGTTGACATTTTACAAAGATTGTGTTTTTTGCATACATTGCATTACCTCAACCTATATTTCTAGGTGTCTGTGCATCCGGTTCGGGAGGCGTACCTTCTAGACAGAAGTGTTAGGACACTGAAAGTTATGCCCAATTTGACCGAGACGCATCTGGAACCAAACTCATTTGAGAAGATGAGAACCCCTTTCGCCTTCCAACTATTCGGTCCATATGTCCTACGGGGCCTGGCCTTCTACAAGGAGGACATCGAGAGAAGGTGTGGCAGCATCGAGGCAACTCAGCTGTTCTTCTCGTGAGTTGCGCCTACGTTCCAAATGAATTAAGTGTAATCGTAAACATCTCAAACGCATGATGAGCGCTCTTCTGACATACATTCTTTTTGTTTATTTTGCAGGAAGATCCAACGACTGATCACCGTGATGACTTCCAGGTTTCGGGCCGAAGCGCTGAGACCAGCTTCTACAGACGTGGCATTCCTGTCCAATTTTCTGGACTTCCTGAATGACTGGGAATCATTCAGTGACAACAAGCGGCACTTTCTCAGCGAGTCCACTGCCATAGGTTTTAGGGTCACTATAGCAAATACCCTTTCATTGCTGAAGTACCTGACAGAGAGCGTTGGATTCAAATATCTCATGACATCTCGACTTAGCACCGATCCCGTGGAACATTTCTTCGGCATCGTTCGCCAGTCAAGTGGCTGCAACGCGCACCCCTCTCCGGATGAGTTTCTAATAACCGTCAACTGCTTGTCCTTTTATAACTTGGCGCACAGTGTGGACAGCGCAAACGCAAACCCTGACATGATAAACGCTCTTGTCACTGTGCATGACAGACAGGGTCTAAAGGTCACGCACAAAAAAATTGATGATCTTATATCACAGGGAAAACTTGGCGAGGTCGAAAGCACGATTGCCACGATGCCAGAAAAGTTTGCTGACCACATCGATGTGACTTTGGAGAAGAGTGACTCGAGACTCATTTACTACACAGCAGGGTACGTGGCCAGAAAGTGTGTATTGAAGTTGGCATGCGTACAATGCAAAGAAGTGCTTCTGTTTGAGAAAGCTGTCGCGGTTGCTGAACAGCTCCCTTCGCAATTCACGGAGCAATGCGACTGGGGTGGACTTCTGTACCCCTCACGACAGCTGTATGATTTCATTGCCTCACTTGAAAACTTGTTTACTGAATGTTTCAGTGTTTCCATGTTGCACACAGATAGCATCTCTGACATCCTTTCATTGGTGAAAACTAATTTTCTGAACTCGAAAGCGGTCGGCTGTCCAGACCACAAAGATGCAGTGAGCACAAAGCTCGTTTCGTTCTACGTGCTCACTCGCCTTCACTTCTTAGTGAAGGGAATGAACAGGGAAAACGCTTCGAAACGAGCGAGAGCAAAACACTTAAAGCTTAGCAGGACAACATAGAGCCTGACGTTCCTTGAGCGACGGTGTCGAAGTCTTTCGATGATATTTATTTTGTTTTTTATATTTATGCGAAAAGCTTGCGCAGTCAATTTAAAATAAAATATTTTGCGCATATCACTTCTTTATTGGTGTCTTTCAGACTTCCTATCTATAGGTGAAAACACGTTCATGTTTCGAACAAATGTTTGCATGGACACGTACCGCAGGCACGAAGAGAAAAGGTAAAATATAACATATTTCATTAATACCTACAACGTATACCAGCACTAGATGCCGAACAAAAACTCATCATAAAACCACCGCGACGGACGTGCGTCCGCCCTATAAGTCATTTCCTACGAATAGCACAGTTGCCGTCCGATGTGACTAAACTTCCTTTGCCAACACCCTCACGTAATCGCAACAGGACTGGTTCAGTTTTTCAATAATATCACGCGTCCCTAACGAATAGCTGCAAATTTGCAGAAGGGTTCGCATACTTTAGCTTTAATTCTCGTGATAACAGCTGGTAACTTTAGTCTTGCATCATATTCAATTTGCTGCCGTGAGTCTAAATTTGCACCAAACGCAAACTTACTTATATATCCCAGTTATATTGACATTTTTAAAAGCATCGCAGTTAATGCTCATATTACACTTTCGATGCGTACGTTTTCGCAAAAGCCAAATTCAACTTACGCTCTTGATTGTAAACAATTACCGTGGAAATCACGGTACTTGCGTGCGTGACTACCTATACGAGCAGGGCGTTTCGCAATATAAACATTTAGATTTTGTTGAACTGGCGCGGAAGCACGGTGCGACGCCGTTCACGGCCACGCACGCACGAACGAAGCAACAACGCTGCGAGACTGCGCCAGACGCGCGAGCAGCACGCGAACCGCGCGAACTATCAGACTACCCACCCGTCGCGAACCGCGTGGCAAAGGGGACTTGTAACCATGGCAACCACGGCTAAGTCTTCAGGTGAAGGCGATGGTAGCGCCACCTGGATTTTCCGAAAAAAACGCCTCAGCGTGGAGCCTTCAGTGGACCCACTCCCCCATTCTAGTACACTCTACTTATAGTGATGAGGTTAACATACAGTATGCTATGATGACTCTATGATTATAGCTTTTCCGGTCCAGCTTTTTCCCTAGAAAACTAAGCTTCCTTACTTCATGCTAGACAAGTGATACTAGAAAAGTTGTTTTGTTCCTCTATGCTGTAGTATAGTTGTAGTCTGTAAAGTGAACTAGATTAACTCTACTCTCTATGCTCTATGGCAGCTGGTTTTGTTTTCGCCGCTAACCACGTAAAGGCGCTGGCAACGGCGCGCGCATGCGCGCTGGATTTGTTAAATGCCCGTCCAGAACATGGCGGCGCGGAGGATGAGACCTGCGAGCTGAAAACAATGTCAGGCCCGGGAGCCTAGTGTCAACCACGGAGCTATGACTTCTCTGGGGTCGGTGTTCGCGTCCGAGAAGCGACTAGCCGACTACTTTGTCGTGTGCGGCCTAGACCTCGAATCGGGACTCGAACCTGACGCCCTTTCGGGTAAGACGCAAGCTTTCGTGTCTCCGTAGTAGCGATCGCGAAGCTGACTCGGTAGAAAAAAAAAATCGCTGTGCCCAAGTCTTACGATGCGGAGCCGAGACGTTCCGAATGCATTGCCTGGCCTTGTTGGCCGTATGCGAGTTCAAAGCGAAGCTATCCTTGCAGCATGCCAGTGATTTTAAGCGCGGAAACGCGTGCACCAGTTGTGATTATTTCTCTCGCAGTTTCCTGCAAGCTATGAACGCACTGTTTAGATTGCAGCAGCTTTCCCATTTTTGTTTTCTCGAGCAGACTGAGGACGCACTGTGTGAATTCGTACTTTCTGCAAACCTCTGCACACCACTAACATTTCGTAGTACCATGTTTTTTTTTTTTTTTAAGTTTGTAAGCGTTGAAAGGGAAAGAAAGGAGAACTAACTGCGCGCGCACATCATCTGTATAAATCGTGACCCGTCGCCAGTCGTCCCAGGAAACGTGCGATGTCTCGCGACATCGGCGAACTGCACCTCCTTTCTCAGCACTTTCACTTTCGCCGTCGCTCGACTTTCTCCGCCACCCGGATTTTGCAATTCCTCGTAGTACTCGAACGGTGTCGTGAAAACGGCGTGTTGTCTTTTCGAGAGCGTGCAGTAATTGCATTTGCCCGAGTTACTTTCGGAGCGCGTGTTTATAGCGCGAATGCACCCTATTGTCGGGCGCTTCAAACGAAACCATCTTGTCGTCGGAATAATTCAAGCGGGTGCCCTAGATATCGAACACGATCAACGCTTTGTATATATGTGTGTGTCTTCCACGATCGCCTCCCCCCCCCCCCCCCCATGGAGCATCTCTTGCTAATTGCGTGTAATGCACAGAATAGCGTCGACTTGCCCGCGCATGGTGTTGCAATATTCCAGGAACCTAAGGTCTTTAAGAACTTCGCTTGTTTTTGCCCCTACTTTTATTTACCCGCATGATTAAGGCGTTCCCCAAAACAACGGATATCAGCTAATTAGGTTAGGAAATTTCGCGAAGGCGCGCTATATCTTTCAGTGCAAATTACCTGGTCATTAGTGAAGTTTTTCCTTTATAACACCACTCCCATTTTGTGATAGTTGGGTGTATGTAGACTTTACAACTTTTAACTTTAAAACGAAATGGAATTATTCATGTGTTTCATTCAACTTTGAAGGCATGATAGTCGAGGTTCTGATTTCACCTCGAACGGCAGCACCTCTTTTCGTCTCATCTGAGCATCCTGCATGTTTAAAGCATCCATGACTCACACGCGAGCTTCACAGTCGCCACGGCAACCGCATTCCACAGTGACACATGTGTGGAACCTTTGCTAGTACGTCCCATAACAGCTGTGTGCTGTGGTGGCTTTTTATTTTTTCACCTTCGCTCTTTGACTTCCTGAAACCTTGCAGCTGCACGATTGTGAGCGTTCGACCTCGGATGTCGTTCGAAGGCACTTTGCTTGCAACTTACTCTCGTATTACTCATCGCCTGATACGTATAGTGGGCACCCCTGTATGAACCTGTTTTCTGGTGACAATGAGGGAAAGCTCCTGTTAGCATTGCTGGTGTTGCTTCAAATTTAACTGGCTTGGCATTGTTTTGACCGATTAAATGTTTAATGGTGTGAACACGTTTCGTCTATGTGCACTCTATATATGTGGGGACATTGTGTACTTTACCCATTGTGGCACACATTATAATTGACTGTCTATCAACATGTCAAATTTATGCACTCTGATGCCCAGGTTGTGGAGACGAAGTTTATTGCAAGTAGAATTTTTGAAATGAATTGCAGTTTAATTCATTTTTCTAATTACATTATAAATAACTATCTAAATATTGTGTAAGCAGTCACATTATATATTTTTGTTTTTGAACGTAAATTTAATGACCCACTCAAATTACATGGGATAGTTGTCTGTGGCCAGCGAGCATTTGAAGGTAGGTAAAACAATAATTTATAATACTTCTGAAATGCACCACATCCAATGCCATTAACACAGGACTGCCTTCCCTGCACCGATCATGTCTACCAGTATGTTTTATGTTCAAGAATGGCGCATGACCACGAGACACCAAATGGAGAAAACACAAGGATTAGCGCCTGACCTTGTGTTTTCTTCATTTGGCGCCTCGTGGTGTTGTGCCATTTTAAACCATGAACGCACACCAACTCGCTCAACTATCTGTGATACTGAACAATATACTTCAGTCAGAAGTAATATAAACGAATTTGAAGGGACACTAAAATAATACAATCACTTAGTTTACATTGACAACTTGTATTCTGAAAACTCTGATGATGGTAACGGCACCCTTATATATTCATCAATATAGGTAGCAAATCATGGCCTAAATGGCACATTCATATTTGATGCCAATATCACTGCATCTGACATCATGGATTTTAAAGTGTAAAGTGTGTTTTTGTATTACTGACGACACTGATGCAACGATATGTAAGGTCTCTGGCCCTGTCTAGAGGACAATGTACTTCATCTTCATAGATCAACAGCTTTCTATGGCCGAGTAGATGCCATCGAAATCTATGACATCATGGTGATTGGTGATGAAATTTCAAGGTGACGTCGCCAGCCATGTTTTATGTGAGGGTCTTGTTATGGACAAAAGAGTCATTGACTATTACGAGAAAAATTGTTTTTTTTTTTTAGTGTCCCCTTAGGCAATAAGAATGCTTAATTTACCACTAGCTTAATGTTTGTGGTCTCGTCCTTGCCAATAGTGCATAGGAATAGAAAAAGTGAGTCGTTTCTCGCTTCGATGGAAGCAGAGTTAGAGAAGTGCCAATTATTCATTACTGATTCCTTTCGTAGCTTTATCATATCTTTAGTCGTGTAACATGCACAGAAAACCCACTTGAAAGTGGCCTGTCTTAGAAAAATTGCGTAACTATTGTCAAATAGCACACTTAACTGCAGATTTACAGATTTATGCATGTCTGCATACTTGAACACCATGACTATAACTTTCAACATATCTATTATCAGCTTGGCAGGCGCAATGCATATATATAAGTGATCGCATTGATTGAACCTTCGCAGGTTAAGCAGTCACTCAGAAGCTTTTAGCCTTGTAGAAAAATATGTAGACATTGATTTTAATATTGCACCCTGGACACATTGCTCAATACAGCAAATTTGTACCATTGCTTGACTACTTTTTTTTATGACATGCAAAATTTTTCTTGAAATTTTAATTATTCAATCAATTCTGTATACTTCCTGATATTTTTGTCCGGTTATCCATACTGCATACTGTGTAATCAACTTCTAATATGCCATTTTAAAACTTTTAATATGCCATTGTGAAAAGTGATAACGTTTCAACTTTGTTCATTTCGCAGTAATTTAGTATTTTGTGTGAAAAGAGGCAGGCCTTAGCTGGTGCACTGTCTGACCCATTCATTTTTCATTTGATGAATCAATAATCGGTCCGAAATTAGTCTTATGGGCTCTCAGTCAAAGCTTTCAAGTCATGAACCCATGAAGAATGTTAGTTTTTTTTTTTTGCTTCAAAATGTGTGAAATGCATTGCCTTTCTAATAAGCATACTTGTGTGACACATTCCTTCAAGGTGAAGTCCTTGTTAGTCATTTACAGCAATGCAGATTTGGGTAGATTTTAGGCAGTTACTGTTGGTTGAATGTGATAGAAACACCATCATTATATGAGGTCTAAGTTGTACTTCGCTTTCATTGTCGAGAGGGTTAGGCAACTGTCAGTTGTGAATAATAAAGAAGGACATCGGCTAGACCAGAGTGAATTCTGAAGTTATGTCAGCCCTCTTGTTGGGCTTTAATACGAAGATTAGTCGGTGAAAAGTGGTAATTTCGACCTCGCTTTCTTAGTTTCGGAATTTTAGAACTACAGAAAGTTGGGGCAGATTCGTGATAAAAGAAGGCAGGAATGTGAATATGCACACATAAGGACAAATCAAGGCTACATATATGCTTGCAGTCAGCCGAAAAAGGTACTCTGTAGCAAAAAAGAAAATAAACACAAAGCTTGTGCTACATTTGAGTCATTGTGGACTCATATAGGTACATTAGATTCAATAGGACCTTTGATGGTGACACATGATTGCCTTGAGCACTTGCATATACCAGCTGTGATATTGCAGTGTTTGATGTCTCGTTTCATTCCATGAGCACTGTACATGATTGGGAGATGATGAGTTAGGTGGAATGTGTGAGATTGACTTGTGCAAACGGATTTTAGCTGAGGCTGGTGGGAACTTGCCAGTGCTTGATGTTGCGACGTCTCTTTGTCCAGGTGACCATCTACATTTTACGCCGTTGGACCGTTGCTACAAGGGCAAGGTTTTAGCGCACTACCCTGAGAATGTCTCCTGGAACCCATTCGACCCCAGTGCCATTGGCATGGTAAGGACGGTCTCTTGCTTGAGGATGACCTAAGGATTGCGGGGAAGAACGGGGAAAGGGGGAAACTGACATCTGTTCATTTTTAGCATAAATGTCTGGAGGAAACCTTCTTGACTTTTTACAAAGGCAGCTTTCACATTTAATCAAGAGGTCGTTTTATTCAAGGATTGAAACCCAGGTCCGGACACTCTTCAGAAGTGGTGATCCTTTTCGTCTGAGCTGCTCATGAGCCGTATATTTAGTGTATATATCAGTGTAAAAGCTGCTTTCAATGTGAGTGGTAGGCTGGTTGAAGAAAGGCAAGAAAGTATTCACTCCAGTCATTGGACATGCGTGATTCTACATCATGCAAATCGATACTGTCACCGAAAGTGATCGTTTGAAGCTAGGGCTCCTGGGCTCATATTCTGAATATCGCCATAGGCAATATGGCTGAATTGTTGACATTGATGTCCACTGGTTTGCTAGTGCGCAAGGCCAGGAAGTTGATGGTGCCATCTAGTATTTCCGCCAATGTAATTTTGTGTCACTGCACTCTACAGCCCCGCCGCAGGTGGTCTAGTGGCTAACGTACTCGGCTGCTGACCCGAAGGTCGCGGGATCGAATTCCGGCTGCGGCGGTATTTTCGATGGAGGTGGAAATGTTGTTGGCTCGTGTGCTCAGATTTGGGCGCACATTAGAACCCCAGGTGGTCGAAATTTCCAGAGCCCTCCACCACGGCGTCTCTCATAATCATATGGTGGTTTTGGGACACTAAACCCCACAAATCAATCAACAGCACTCTACAGTACCTTTGGCATGCTCAGAATAGACGGATGCACCTTTTTGCCATCGGGCAGTAGGCGAAGAGTATAGCGTTTCACTTGCATAGACGGTAGCTTCTAGTATCGTTGTTTGGGGCATGTGCAGCTTTTTTTACACTGAAGCTCTCGGCAAGCGTTACCTTGTGCTTTCAGCGATCGTTGTTTTGCAAGCAAGTTTTTTTCGTGGTCTGAATGTCTCATCTGCTTGAACTGTGCATTGCTCATATGGTTCATCGAGCGCTCAGAACATGCTGAGACGTTGTGGCTCATGTGAACATGCCGCTGTGGCAGGGATGACATTCGGGGTATGGGAGGGTGACGCTTGCCTGCCCCCTCCTTTATGCCCCCCCTCCCTTTATGCCCCCCTTCCAAGAGTAAGCAGTCAAAGGAGAATGCATGAGTTACCCGCCATGTTCCTGCCCCACACTCGTTTGTCATTGGCCGCACCCCACCCCCGTTGAAAAAATCTTGGCACCACCCCTTCACTGCGGCAGCACACTGCAGGTGAATTGCCAGACTACACTGTGTTGAACAAAAAAGCAAAATACATGTCACTGATGCCTTTTTTAAAAATTATGCTGCACTTGAAACACTCAGCCAAGAAATGTTCAAGCACTTCCGACACTTTTTATATTTCAAGTAGCCTAGCCTAGCCACTACTTAGAAGCTGGTACACCCGAAAATGCCACACTTGAGTTGCTCTGAGCTTGTACAGTGCACCCACTGTTGCATTGCAAAAAGTTCAAAATCTCCGGCAACCCGTGAATTGGGGATGCCTCATGCAAATAGTCGGTTCAGTTATTGACCGTGTCAGGTTATATTTTTTGCAAATCGACTCTCTCGCCTTATCGAGTCATTTCGAAATCGGGGCTCAGGAGGCAAGCATGTCACAGCTCAAGGGACAAATAATTGGCAACTCAAAGCAGAGGTAAACTGGAGATCGTTAAGCAGAATTAAATGCTGCAACAATCTGTGTAGGTAATTACTGTATTTACTCAATTCCAGCACTCTATGTCTTTTTTTTTCTGGAATAATTTGCTAAAATATGACAAGCTGTTTGGAGTACAGTCTGAAAAAGAGAACGGTAACATCTGTATCGGCAATCTGTGGTATCAGACATGTGGTCATGTTTGCCTTCGCCCTTTTCTCCAAATTTCGGCAAATTTTACAGTGGAAATTCACTGATTACAATAGTAATGAAAGTTGGCTAGTTCAGTTAAAATTATATGTGTGCACCGTGCAGAAAATATACACATGTATGGCGGGAGCAATGACCTTCAACATAGGCGAGGTGCAGTGAGTAAAATCCATCCATCACTTTTTCATTTCTGATGATGTTCTAGGTGTCCTAACGGTCGCTTGTATGTTTATCTGTTTTTCGTATAGAAATGCAGCAAATGATTTCGTTTAATGCTTGTGTCTCTTGCTATAAATAATAACAGTGCTGTAGAGCTATAAATAAAAACAGTGCTAAAGAGGAGGGACCAGTATGAGGAAAACACAGAGAACAGTAGTGTCTTTCTTTTACTGGTCCTCCGTGTTTGTGCTGTTTCGATTTCAAGTGTATGTCATACCAAGTTGCCCAATCGTCCACTTTAGCTGCGTCTTATGTTCGGCCATTGTTGCCTTTTACTTGCCTTTGAGCTCTTCTCCATCCTGCAGCTCAGCCTGCCGCACGGATTGTCCTTCCGGACACAGAAGCATTCCCGCGAACCTTTCTTCCACCCGTTCGTCATCACGCGGGAGGACGGCTCACGGACTTATGGCCAGGCACTCACCTTCTATGAGGAGGTCACCGACCGGCAAATCTGCTCAGCCATGCAGACATTACAGGTGATGCTTCGCATCACTAATATTAAAATGAGACCTCTGAACTGAGTGCCATCTCTGTCCCTTCACCACTGTGTTCTTGCACTGTTTTAGATGTCATACTATTCGTCGCGTAATTGTATGCCTTACATCTCAGCCTTGTTAGGCATATCTGAGTGTAACCCCTTCAAGTTGCCCATTCACAAGGGTGTATAAAGTCATCTGCAGTAGCCCAGTGAATAGAACAGCCTCTGTGAGAACATAGCTACAGTCAGTAGCTAACGATCATTTTTTGGTCTTCCTAAAACTGCACCTGCCATCAGGATTTTTCTAGGTGGAGGGTTTTGAAGATAGGGCTGGGGAAGAGGAGCTTTTCTAAAACTGTCTTTAGGGTAATCTCTTCTGCATGCTAGGGGCTTGGGGAACCACAATGTAGAGGGGGTTTAGTGCTAGATTGAGGTCTCAAGGGTGCCCTCTTATCTGTCTAAAGTTGGTATAACTACATGTACATTGTCACTGGGTCAAGTTGGCGACGTAAGTAAATCCTTAAGTCGGTGATGATGAACCTCTTCATTGGGCAAACTTGTGTCCAGAAAAAAAGACGCTCGGATTTCAATGACATTGATGCTCGCAATTTCTTAGTCATAGATGAACTAATTAGTGAGTACCGTGTGTCGGCGTTTATACATGTGGCATCGAAGATTCTGAAGTTAACGTTGGGGGCCACGTTATTTCCGAAATAAACTCAACTGTTCGCATTGCGCACGCAATGTTATCTTAAGTGTTTCAAATAATCTGAAAGTTTCCCAGACATCTGCATGACCTGCGCAGAGCAGCGTATGCACGTGCAACAGGCTGCTTACGTAAGAATAGAAAACTAAGCATGAGTGACAGCTTTTATGAAATAAATGATTTGGCACTCCTTGTGGTCCTTATACATGAATTCCTATTGTTCCTACGACAGGCAATGCACCTGACAGAACTGAGCTCAAACGGGAACAAGGCACCACTGCCACGTACAGCAGCGATCAAGACGGAGGCCCCTGTGTCAAGGTCACTCCCAAGGTCTTTTCGGCTCATGACAACGTCGAGGTCGACAGACTCGAGCGGGGGAGCCCTGTACGACATAACCAAGGTGATAATGCTTCTCATCATCGTCAGCCTGATTGTGCCCATTGCAGGACAAAGGCCTTTCCCGTGCTTCACCAGTCAACTTAATCCCGTGCTTCCCGCGGCCATGTTATTCCTGCAAACTTTTTAATCTCATCTGCCCACCCAACTTTCTGGCTCTTTTCAAACGCTTGCATTCTCTCGAAATCCAGTCTGCTGCTCCTAATTAATGACCAGTGGTCATCATGCCTTTGCTCTACATGCCCTGCCCATGCTTCTCATAAGCCCCTTCAAACACTGCATACGGTGCTGGTGTGTACTGTACTCCGGCATCGACTCAGTTTTTATTAAAGGTGCCCTGTAACACTTCTTCGTGTAATCTTAGAAAGGCTATGTTATTCAAATTAGCTTATTGCCTCATGTGTTCACTGCTATAAAAGTTTTAGAATCCGTCAAGTACGGACGGAGTCACAGGGATTTGTCGCATGCATCAGGTGCTTTCTCTCTCCTTTCTTACCAGCGGACACACTGAAAGCTACGCAGGGAAGGGGATGACCGGGGCCAAGAAGATGCATTCCTTGGCGCTCGTCATGATTATGAGCACTTTTGTTTTTTCCGAATGCACACCCTACTTTTAGCGTGACTTTGATAAGCATGCCAGCACATGGTGGCATCCTGCGGCTTCCATAGTAACTATACAGCTCACAATGCTCAAATCAGCCAATTGGTTTATTGATTAGTTTAAATAACTTTGGTGATTGGAATAACTAGTAGTTAAGGCAACTTTAATGGTTAATGGCCAGAGACTTTTGTTTTATGGCACGATCATTTGGGTCTGTGGCATCATTTGTCGAGAGAAAGGGAACTAGCTGACTTTAGGAAATAAATGCAAATTCCAGACCGCGTGCTACGCTATAATGTTTGTCTTGCGTGTTCTTAAAAGCCTCGGCTACCGATCGGCAGCGTTTTCGGACCATACTCATGATGTGTTGCGGGACTCCTTCATGTGATGGTGTCACGTGATGATCTCATCATCTGACATCACATTACGTGCTGTCATAGCGACTTCATGATGACACCAAAAGATATTTGCAATCTGTAGTGTCATGATGATGTTTTCACATCACTCTCGTTGACACGGCTGCCCAACACTGATGGTCATGTGTTCCCGTTTAATAAGGCGTCTAAGGCTTCCGTTACGTTAATAAAAAATGCAGGACACACTGTACGTGAGCAAGGTGATCTGCCTGGTGACCCCACTGCCGTTGGTCAGCGCATGCCGGACGATACTGCAAAAGCTGCTGTCGCTGGTACAGGGGCGCGATTCTCCGCCGCTGCCCCTGGAGAGCTACGTGTACAACCTGTTGTACGAGCTGCCCTTGCCTCCGCCAGGGCGTTCACTGCGCCTCAGCTATCTCTACCAGGACTACGTTTGCCAGAGGCCAGGTCTGTCTGGTTTCTAAGCATGACATCACGTTGTGTCCGTGTCGTGCGTACTATTACCAAAATAGGCTCATAGAACAAGTATTGCAGAAAGTTCTGTAGAACGTGCTTACTTGCAAGGAAAAAATGGTTGGTCATAACTGGACGAAGATGCTGAAGACACGGACATGCCCGAAATTGCGTTCATCCGAGCCTCTTGCATCTTTGTAACCATTTTTTTCTTGCTCACAATAAGTTTGGTCAAGACTATTTTGATGCTTAAGGCCTTCTTTAGGTGCGAGGGCTCGTGCTATCTTTAACGTGTACAAATAAAAAGAAATGACAACTTATAAAATGCTCTGTGAGTATTTTTAAGCTTTAAGGGCGGAAACTCCTTTCGGGGACCAAAATTTGCCAAAAGGATAGATTTATTAAAGGTGTTATTTTTGGATTCTGTCATTGCTGATGCATAACCTCGCTAGTTTTCAGGGATCCTAGACTAATGTTCTAGCCGTAATACTGTTTTATATCGTGTCAGGAACCAATGGTATGTTGTTCTTTGCTATTTTACCTTGTTTCATTTTTTCATGAACTTGCTTTCTTCTGAAAAACTCTTCTCAGCTTTACACACGCTATTTGATCATTTCATTTTGCTAAAAAGCTGAATATTTTGTGTGTGCAACATAGTGCCAAATCTTGCTTTATTGAGTTACAAATATTCAGAAAGGCTGAAATAAAATATTGCATTTTTCAATCATTGAAAAGAGAACTTAGTAGCTTCATAACTTTATCTTAGAAGGCTAGGACGACAAAATTGTGTTTTTTGTGCTATTGATAACTACTGAATGCAATGGCATTTAATTCAGAGGAATATAATAGCCAATTCATTGAAAACATGATCAAGTTAAGTTCTCACGAACAAATAATTTAAAAATTAGTGGTGTGGTCTTCATAAAAGGAGAGCTTCTGTTTGATATGATCCCAAGGAAATGCATAACACTAAAGTTTCCATCCACGCACCTTATGTGATAACCCTCTTTGTTCCTAATGGCATGTCATGATGCAGGAACGGGGGAGCTACCTTTCTTTGACTACTCGTTCCGGGAGCTCTTTGCAATACTGGGCCTGGAGAATTGCGTCCAGCTCTTCACCAGCGTGTGTTTTGAGAACCAGATCCTCCTCTGCTCCGAAGGTATCCTTTGTCTGTTCATTGTTTCGTATAGTATGCTGTGTTTGTCTGTCTCAAATAATAGGAGATGAATGCGTTGAGGCACCCATTCCAGGTTAGACTCCACCGTGTCAGGTCAGCAAGTAAGGATATCATAGAAAGAATAAAAAAGGCATTACTCGTGGTGCATAGTTAAAGCATAGGAATTATGAATTAACGGTAAAGGTAATAGCCTTTCTTGATAGTGAGCCATGAGTCGTGTCACGTTGTGCAGTGATCGCTGTCCTTGATAACGAGCTATAAGTAGGACCAAGTGTCACTGCTACAGTCATTCGGTGCTCTGCCAGGACTTCAAATCGGGGCAGTACGTATTTAAAGCAAACCTAAATCGGCTACTCGCAGGAGCCGATTCGCTGCCGCTATTGTTCTTGTCATTTTGCATGTTGCCCTTGTCAAATCAGACTCCCCGAGTTAGTTGTAACTGCTATTGCTGCTAGACTCGGTGGGATTCGTAGTTCACTTATAAGGTGTTGTAGTGATGATGGGGGTCGGACTGATTTATCATCGGCTAAGTCGTAGCGTACGATTGACTTCTGAGGATTAGGGTTCCCCGCTGTGGTTAACCGCTTGTGCACTGGTCACTTTTCGGTGCGATTCATACCTGGTTCTTCTCATTGTTGACGGTTTCAACTCACTATGCAGACTATTATCGGCTGATGCTCGTGGCGGAGTGCGTGACGAGCCTGCTGTTGCCATTCCAGTGGCAGCACGTATATGTGCCTATCCTGCCCCACTCGCTACACCACTTCCTAGATGCGCCGGTGCCTTTTCTGATGGGGCTGAAGCATGTCTGCGGCGGTGAGGAGGGCGATGCCATCTGTCCGGGCGAGGTAAGGTTCGCTAAGCATGGCACTCGTTAATATGTTGTGAAGTCATTGAATACCATGGTGGTGCCCTGTGGTTGCAGTGGGGACAGGTTCTATCTGTGCATTCATGTCACGTGTGTGGTTTGTTGGAAGTTTTAGGCCTAATTAAACGTCATTGTTTTTACTACAGTGTAGAGACGTTTTCTAGCCCTATGTTGCACACATAAGGGGAGCCTGTTTAGAACAAACTAGCGTGTGTAATAGCATTACATTCTTCATATCCCACTTTTTTTTAATGGCACTGAGACCAATAGAATTTTCGCAGTTGGATTTATGCAATCAAACACTAATCTGACGCCTCTGATAGAATATCAAAGGGTTGTTCATATTCATGGTCTTGTCGAAAGCTTGCCATGTGGATCGCAACATGTCGAACAGCTGTCAAGTTATAAACTTGCTTTTTGAATCCAGAATTTCAATGTGATTGTCATGCGGCTTGGGGTCTGCAGGCCCATGAGATGACTGGTTGGAATGCATGGCATCCAGTTGCCCTTGCTGAGCATTTGTTGTCCTTTGTGTAAACCACATATTTTGTTCTGCGTGCAAACTATAGCTTCACTGTAACTGATTTGGCTTTGCATTCATTTTAGGTTACATTATAGGAGTACAGCACTCATTAAAATTCGGTATGATCAGCCAGATTTCACACTTTTTTCTTTTGTGCAGTTGCTTGTATTAGGTGTTTGTGCACGTCTGCACTTTCTATTCCAACCTGCCTCTCTCATGGTTAAATACTGTGCCTACCTTCTCTTGTCACATTATTGCCGGCACTCGGCGACACTTTCAGGCCAACCTGTGCCTAGTGGACATCGATGGCTGCAGTGTACAAGTGCCCGAAGACCTGCCCAGCTTTCCCAACAAGCAGGAGCTGATTGCCGAACTGCAGGAGCTGCTCACGCAGTTTGGTGTTAGGACACCGGGCGGCTCGTCGTCCCTCATCACATCCTCGGCGCCAAACGTGGCGGCATCTGCAACGCTAGGTCGCAACCTCAACGACCGGTGAGCGATTTAGGCATCCTGGGTCTCAGTTTTGTAGCGACAGGCAGGAACGTTGCTTTGGCATCTGTTGATCCAGTCAATTCGTTGGCAATACCTGGACCAGCAAAACTATTCTGGAACCGTCCATCTAATGAACATGTCCATTTCGGGTCGACATCATCAGAGCGCATACTGTTGCTGCAAAAATTGGCAAGCCATGATGCAACTGCGCATATTCAAGGACTAATGCGATCACGTAATCAGATTTCGTGCGCAGTCTTTGAAATATATGTGGCCAAGAGCTGTTCTCTGGAGGCTACGTTCACACCACTGGAGCACATTCGGTTCCCATCAGTCGTGTAGCGAGTTGTCGCTTTGTCACTCCAATATGACGTTTTGAAAGAATAGCTGAAAACAGAATGTGCTGCTCGTTGAGCTTCGGTCAGACAGTGGCCAACATGAACATTCCACTAAATGAACACTTTGAGAATGGCTCCCCAGTTCACGCACTCCTGAACCCTGCTTGTTTGCTTTATCAGTGTATTATCTTGACCACACCTTTCATTTCAGCGGTACAGGAAAAGTGCAGGGTTTATGATTTTTATGCACCATCTGTGCCGACTTGGTGCATACGAGCACGCATGAAGCAGCTGCATGCTATTGACTCTGCACACGGACTTGGGTGGGGTCTGAATGTCACTTATGCAAGCTGTCTGTGTTCGTGCTGCATGAAATGTATTTTGAGGATGTAGATGCAGTGCGGTTCCTGACCAAGTCAAGTGGGGAAAACGCATATGTTTCAGGACCCTTATGGGTTCTTTGTTCACACAGTGTGAACCAATATGTGTGTTTTGTGGGCCAAGTTAAGGTGAAAAAAACAGACGTTTCGAGACCCATATTGGTCCCTTGTTCACACTGTGTGAACAAGGAACATGTATGTGTTTTTGTGGACCAAGTCAAGGCGGAAAATAGACATTTGTTTCTCTTTAGTGCCCCTTTCATATCTTGTAATCATACAGAAAGTTACAAGAACTTGAAAGCTACAACAAGAGATTTAATAGAGTCTAGGTCGCATAAAAAAAAACGGGGATGTATGCTTCAGCTTCACTGGTAAAAATATCTGTGAGATTAGCAAAATTTTGGGTGAGAAGTGAATTCGGATATTGAAGTGCGAACGGAGTAGAATATTTCTCGAATGTTTCTTGAATATTTTTCTAGTACTTTGAAGTAAAATTGCAGAAATATTGGTGTGAGAGGATTCTTAAGCATATTCTTATGACATAGCAACATGAAAGTGTTTCTTTAGGCTATGTTGGCAAAAATGCTGTAGACCCGTGTGCTCAGATTTAGGTGCACGTTAAAGAACCCCAGGTGGTCAAAATTTCCAGAGCCCTCCACTATGGCATTTCTCAAAATCATATGGTGGTTTCGAGCGGTTAAACTGCATCTATCTATCTTTCTTTCTTTCTTTCTTTCTTTAGGCTATGCTGTTGAAGCACTGGCAAGATGGTGTATCATAGTTGTCTTATCAAGAACGAAGCAATGCAGAGGCCGAATTGTATTCACATACATTATTAAGGGCAATCACAGTGTTGCCGACTACACTTAATATGTGAAAGTAAGGTTGCTATTTCCTCAGCCTTTCCTCCTCTTTCAACTTCTGTGGAAGCTCAACTGATGTGGCGGACAAGGGTGTGTGCTCTCTTCGAGTACGGAGTTTTATATCTGTCTCATGTATGTTAGTATATTAGAAAACCTGAATTTCAGAATTTTATAAATCTTCTACGTCTTGTTTTTTTGGAACTTGTGGTGACCCCGCTAATAACTGCAGCGGACGATCACCGCGGGTTCACGCTTAGCGAGCCACAGGGCCGCTACTCCGTTTACTCGCGTGTAGCGCACCGCTCCGCGCGCGCTCAACTAATAAGGCGTTTAGCGTGGCGCGGCAAATAGACAGTGTTCTAATGCAAAAGTACACAACACTTTATTGCCTCTGGCGGCACCCCGAACAACAGTACAACGTCCGCTCCCGGGACGCGGGTAGCAAAGGCACCCGCACCCGGACGTTCACAATAAGGGGAAAACCGCGAGCACGTCGCAGCTGGCAATGGCGAGTTTTGACACGCCGTTCGGGAAAAGGTCCCTCGCGGCTATGCTGCGCACTCTCACGATGGCCAATAGGCCTGGTCGCGAGTGTTAGGGCAAACCTCGTACGCGCAGGCCTACGGCAAGTGCGGCTCGTTGTGGTACGACCACTTCAAGCACTAGGCACCGCTCTGGGCTTAGCGTACGCTACCGAAGCCAGCACTCAAGTAAACACGCCTGCCCAAGGCCACCCCGGGCAGGCTACAGTCCGCGATTCCCAAAGGGGACGCGGACAAAGGAAAACACGTGCTTACCCGGCGCCGTCCACGGAAAAGAGAGCGCTTCCTCGGCGCGCGCGTACCGCGTGCTATGCCCGCACGTGGCGCCATCTATCGCCACGTGGTGTTAACAGAGCGGGAAAGCAAAAGGGTGTGGCCGTATGGCGGAATGCCCACGAAATGGTCGCGGGCGCGCCTCAGATCCCCACAAACTTCCTGCCTAGGTTCAGGTTCAAAACAGCATTAATTAAGCCCCCACCTCTGCAACATCTATTATCACTGTGCTGGAGCTAATTTTTAGTCAATACATTTGTGACCATAGCCGAGGCTAAAAGGCAACCTTGCCGTAATTCGAGTGTGATGGGGTGAAGCATATTAAAAATCGGAAGGGGCCCCTGCCAATTGGACACTGACCGGATTTTTCTTTGGGAAGTTCGAATTGTTCGAATAGTAAAATTCCAGCGTGAATAGAATAGCAAACGGTATTAGAAAAATATTCGAAAACTTGAATATTTGCATACACCTACTGGTAAACGATCTGTATACGGAGTGCTTATGTAATTATATTATTGTTTTTTGTTTGGTTGATTGTACCTGGGCGCAGGCCATTCCCTCGTCGGAAACACTCATGGAGCCTGGAGAGCGGGGACTCCGGGGTGAGCAGCACGGGTAGCAGTGCGCGGAGCTCCTTCACGAGTTTGGGCTCGCCGTCGCCTCTCTTGCAGCACAGTGAGGCGTTCCAGCGCATCACAGCTGTCGCCAAAAGAGCCGGTCAGTCACGGCTGTTTTCAGTGCTGCAATGCTCTGCCATCGCATTGTTGTGCAGCTTGGTCCTAATAAACACTCAGATCGGGCTAGTTAGTATGAATCAAATGTTCGTGGGGAAGCGCAAAATTAAGCTACACAGGGACAGCAAGAAAAAAGGAGCAAGACAAGCGCTTAACTACAACTAAGGAGTTCATTTAGCCAAGTGTTTTGTTTTTGTTCTTTTACCAATATATGTCTTCGCCTTTTGAAATAAATGCTTAGTTGATGTGAAGCGCTCGTCTCGTTCCTTTTGTCTTGCTGTTTTGATGTAGTTTAATTTTGCGCTTCCCACGAACACAGTTTGGTCTTCTAGGCCATAGAGTTTCATAATGATACTCTAGAGAGAAATCTGGCACCAGTGTGTGTGGTAGCTGAAAAACCCATGGTGTGTCACCCAGCATGGGAATGATGGGTAGTACAGACATCAGCAAGCTTCACACAAACACTCCGGCGCTCAACCTGGACTACTTCGACTGATGCCAGCCACGTAGCACTGGGCAAACTGTAGTGACCTCACATTTTTTCCAATTTACTACCACGTTTACTTGCGTAATGAACCCATCTGCATAATTAACCCACCCCTTCTTTGTTTCTTGAAAAAAAATCTGTTTTTTAATGTTGCTGTTCATTTTATTTCGGTGTGATAGCCAGCGCCGTTGAAGATAAAAACGTTAAATAACGCTCTTATATCACACGAAAATGATGTAATAAAAGTCTGAACACAGATTAACAACCATGCTAAACAGTTGCGAGCAGTGCAAACACGGATGATGTCGATCAAAATTTAAAAGCCGCGCTTTTTGCGACAGAGTGTCATCTGTCAAACGTAGAACAAACCTCTTTGCACATAGCAGTGCAGAAACAAAGCAAAACACAAAGTGCAATCGTGTTGACAGCCCGAAGTGCACCCACGATATGCGTGCACTGTCATCCGATGCTGTGTTTTTGTTATTGGGTTTGTCGTAGTGAACTTCGTTAGACATCTGCTGCGCAGGGCACAATTGGCCGGTACGCTAGCTACACGGCTGGTTTTAAATTTAAAGTTGGTCGAGCGTGCGCTGGTGCATGGGAACCGAGTAGCTGGATGACACTTCAGCATTGATTCGTGCTGATTCGTTACGGGAGAAAACAAGAGGAGCTTCGTGCTACAGGAAAGGTTCATCATATATTTTGCAGGCCAAAACAAGGACAGTTTTCTCTTGTACTCGGCTGCTCGGCAAAGGCACTCGGCTGCTCACCTGAATGTTGCAAGATCGAATCCCGGCTGCGGCAGCTGCATTTTCGATGAAGGCCAAAATGCGTAGGCCCGTGTGCTCAGATTTGGGCGCACATTAAAGAACCCCAGGTGGTCGAAATTTCCGGAGCCCTCCACTACGGCGTCTCTCATAATCATCATAATCAATCAATACCGTTATTCAAAAATTTTACTGTTATACTGACTTTGACTTTTTTTCCCATGACTTTTTTCTCGTGCGTAATGAACCCTCCCTCCAAATTGGTGTCAACCTTTCTGAAAAAAATGTTGATTCATTACGCGAGTGAATACAGTATAATTACTTTGCATAAACAGTGGTAGTAATCAAACAAATGCTGTGCTCTCATTCTACTCCCAATCATTTATCTAGCAAGGTTGCCATCTCACTGTGCTTTTTAACTCTCTCTCTTTCTCTTCACCAGGCGTGATGAACTCCCTCGAAGACCTGCGCCGTCCCCGCTGTCAGGACAACAGCGAGGGCAAGCTCAGTCTGCTTCGGCAGCCGCAACAGCATGCCTCAGCCGCCGTGGCAGACCGCCACCCGCAGCTGGAGGAGCTGCGGCTGAACAACGCCGTGCGCGAGATCTTCTTCAACCGCTTCTTGCACATGTTCCGCTCGTACGACCATTTCGTCATCCAGCCCAACCAGGTATGAATAAGAAACGACCAAACGTTGGGCATGCTATTTCTCCTCATTAGCAAAAATAGTGCAGACAGAAAAGCCACAGAAAGGACTAGAGGAATGCAGTACAGCTGAAGCCTGTATAAGTTACTCATGATCATTTCAACCTCCATTGAAGTTTTGAATACAGTAGACTCTCGGTAAACGGAAATCTGTTAAACGGAACTGCTGCTTCGTAAATGGAGCAACTATTTTTGATATGATTGTTTTAGTGCTTGTAATCTGAACCTCTTTTCATTTCTCAATAAACGAAACTCCTGTTAAAATGGAACATATTGTGCTCGTCCCTTCAGGTTTAGTCTAACGAGAGTCTACTTACTGTATAAGCATAGCTGCTTATTTGCTTCTCCGTCTAGCAAATTCTCCTGCCCCTATACAACACTCTACCGCAAAATTCATTTCAAGCTGCCCCACTTCAGTCAGGTCCAAATAACTGGCAAAGTGAACGAGCTGCGCTTTCCTGAAGTGACACCAAAAAGTCAAGATAGCAGCCCTCAGAGTTAGTTTTTCTAACAGGAAAAAAAGAGTGGGCATGGAGTTTCTCTGGAGCCTCTTGGCCCTTGTTCAAAACGATTCCTTTCAGGATCGTCTTCCATTTAAATATGAAGTACGGGCGAAGCTTGTGCCCATCTGACGTGTAACAGAGCATTGCCGTCACTGTAGTTTTACCGTGGACCGATGTCAGCACGCGAACTTGCTTCGCCCCCTTCTTCTCGACAGTTGTGTTGCCAGGCATGTCGAAGTAAAGAGGCGTCTAATCGGCATTCCCGATTTGCCCAAGCAGGTAGCCGTTGTTGCGCCGCAAGTTTAGGACGAACCTCTGAAAACTCTAAAGCTGTTCATCGTACTTCTCCGCAAAAGTTTTCGCATATGCATGTTCCCCTTCGGAGGGAAGAGCCTTTCCTCTTCATATAGGTAATTAGCCAGCACCTGCTCGCTTTAAACTGGCTCTGCATTAGACCTTTTTCTAAGACTAATTGCATAGCCTGCACTTGGAGCAGTTCTGTCGTCACGGGCCGCTGTGCCGCTCGCTGCTCAAGCACATACTCGCCGAGCAGCTCTTTAATTTGCGGAAACCGACCCTGCTGTGGTCCACTGAAGCTTTTGCGTGAAGCTTTGCTGTCGACAATCTTCTGCTTTTGTTTCCGCCGGTCCCGCACGCACGTTTCGGGAACTCCGAACGACCGCGATGCCGCCCGATTTCCGTCCGTTTCTGCACACGCGATGACTTTTCTTTTAAAAGCGGCGTCGTGGTGCACTCGAGTTTTTGGAGTCGGCCCTTCCACGCCGTCGATGCTAATGCACTACTAGATGACGAACTCCTCAGCACACGTACGAAGTGCCGCACATGAGAAACACATAGGCAGAAATGGCCGACGCGCCATGCCGACGCACGTAGGGGGCGGCCATTTTGGATTTGCCGTTGGCAATAGATTGACCGTAATTTTTTTGTTCTTACTCGATTCTAACGCGCATGCGATTTATGAACTCGCTTAACCGGAATAAAGGTGCGCGTTAGATTCGAGTAATTACGGTATACTGACTTTGACTTTTTTCTCATGACTTTTCTTCTCTCGCGTAATGAACCCTCCCTCCAAATCGGCATCAGCTTTTCTGAAAAAAATGTGGGTTCATTACGTGAGTAAATACAGTATAATTACTTTGCATAAACAGTGACAGTAATCAAACAAATGCTGTGCTCTCATTCTACTTCCAATCATTTTTCTAGCAAGGTTGCAATCTCACTGTGTTTTCTAACTCTCTCTCTTTCTCTCCACCAGGCGTGATGAACTCCCTCGAAGACCTGCGCCGTCCCCGCTGTCAGGACAACAGCGAGGGCAAGCTCAGTCTGCTTCGGCAGCCGCAGCAGCACGCCTCGGCCGCCGGGGCAGACCGCCACCCGCAGCTGGAGGAGCTGCGGCTGAACAACGCCGTGCGCGAGATCTTCTTCAACCGCTTTTTGCACATGTTCCGCTCGTACGACCATTTCGTCATCCAGCCCAACCAGGTACGAATAGAAAACGACCAAACGTTGGGCATGCTGTTTCTCCTCATCAGCAAAAATGGTGCAGACAGAAAATCCACAGAGAGGACTTGAGAAATGCGGCACGGCTAAAGGCTGCATAAGTTATTCATGATCATTGCAACCTCCACTGAAGCTTTGAATACAGTAGACTCTCAGTAAAGGGAAATCTGTTAAACGGAATTGCTGCTTTGTAAGTGGAGCAACTATTTCTGATATGATTGTGTAAGTGCTTGTAATCTGAACCACTTTTCATTTCTCAATAAACGAAACTCCTGTTAAAATGGAACATAATGTGCTTGTCCCTTCAGGTTTAGTCTAACGAGAGTCTACTGTATAAGCATAGGTGCTTATTTGCTTCTTCGTCTAGCGAATTTTCCTGCCATTATACAGTACTCTACTGCAAAATTCATTTCAAGCTGCCCCACTTCAGTCAAGTCTAAATTTCTGGCAAAGTGAACGAGCTGTGCTTTCTTGAAGTGACACCAAAATTCAAGATAGCAGCCCTCCAAGTTAGTTTTTCTACCAGAAAAAAAAAGAGTGGACATAGATTTTCTTGGGAGTCTTTCGGCCCTTGTTCATGGGACGGTGTATTATGAATCACAAACACAATAAATACAAAAGCAATGTGAACACATCGTGGGAAGTGTGGTGTGGAAGCTCCTCAGTTATTGAGCCCTCGCCTATGCAACATCTCTGTGCAACAGGCATATATCTCAAGGGTCTTACTTTTTATAAATAGTTGAGTCATAGGTACTACTGTCAAGTCGAAAATACAGATCTCAAAAGCCATGCTTTTGCTCTCGGGAACCGGAAAATCGTTATGGGTATTATACACTAAGCTTGGGGTGCAATCGTTATGTTAGAAAACGAAGATAATCAAATTTTGACTGAAAATCGTTATGGGTTATACATTCTGAGGTTGGGATGCAAAATTTATGTGAGAAACAAAGATAATTAAGTTTTGATGTTCAATTTTAGATGTAGATGCTCAGAGATCGGACTGCTAAGCAGGATTAATTGGATGGGATTCGAACAGGCCAGTGCGTTACTAGGTTTCCAAACATGCGGGTGGGCGGGGGGTTAATTTTACTGAGTGGCATAAGATTTCTGCTCAGAATTTTATGGTAGATATGTGCCCTTCTTCACACACTCGCATTGTTTGAGTCTAGCCATTGCACTTATAAATATTTATGGTGCTCTTAGGCAGAGGGGGGCCCTTGTGTCACTGAAGTATGTCATGTGAGTAATTCAAATGATGACAATGCAGAAAGATATGGAGCAGTGGCTGGCATCGCGAGACACCGTGCACAACTTCGACAAGACGACATTCCTGTCGGACCAGCCCGAGCCGCATCTACCATTCCTGTCGCGCTTCATTGAGACGCAGATGTTTGCCAGCTTCATCGACAGCAAGATCCTCTCGCTGTGGGAAGAGCCCGATTCGTGCCTCAAGGTCAGTGAACTTGATCTGAGGTTGTCGAAGGTTGGTCGTTGGGTTTGTGACACTCCCATTGAGTCGTTTCCTTGAGGTGCTCGGCACGAACAACCTGGAGCTTGATGAGAAACTCATCCTTTTGACAGCAGACACTGCTACGGACATCTCAGCCAAATGTTAGTCGTGCATAGCTAAGGAAGTTTAGAAGGAAAGCACAAAAGTGTTATTTCCACAGGCACCCCTTTTTTTCATGCAGGGGCCTGTGCTTTTTTTTTTTCTTTTTTCAGAGCTTGCAGTGCTTGCTGTTCGATGTCGAACAGCAGAGAGCATGCTATTGGCCAGTGGCAGTCTTAAATCAAGAGCAGCGTTGCGATCAGATGAGCTTTTTGCCCGCGGTACTGCCACATTTATGAGCCACTCTTCATGGTCTGCTAACATTACTCAGAGTCACACTTGTGCAGGAATCTCAACAGGACTGAGGGATCGTGTTTCTTTGTGCACTCATTATCATAACAGTCTAGCCTAACTTCTTTACTCCTCGCCATCCCTCCATGCGTAGCTTCCAGGACGCTGATCAGGATGAAAGGAGTGAGGAAGCGCTTAAAAGCATGCTACAGATCTCTGTAGCTCCGCTCATTCTTTGCAATAAATTTTGAAACAATCAGTTCGTGAGGCAATGGCCTCCAGTACTTAGGTCATTCAAGGAGAAAGTGGTTCGCGGCCCCTTTAAGTCTGTTTGGCAGGTACTCAAAGTTGTTACATTTTGTTTGTAAAGTCTTGCGGTACAGCTAAGGCATTGTATAACAGTCACTAATTGATTGTTTGACGCCTTCGCAGCTGCGATACGCCACTTGCTCCTCAATTGTAATGTGTGAAAACAGCTGCGATAGAAGAAGAAATTTCATCCTGTGCTTGGCGCCGTTGATGCTCTCTGTTCTTCAACGTGGTGCTCTGATTAGCACTGCGGTTACAGTGCACGTTCCTCTGCTGTTTACAGATCTTCGACAACCGGATAAAACTGCTTCGCAATCATTCCAGTGAGCCCATCATCAACCGCTATGAATGCTGCACCGTGTACAAAGAAACAGGTAAGCCTTCCCCCACAGAGATGCGAATCGAAGCACTACTAGAAATGGGATGAATGTAACCGTTCTCACTTTCTGATGGTTTGTCGGAGTGAAGTTGAAAGCATAAGAATACTGTTGCCATTGAAAGATTTTATGCGGTCAAGTGCTGCTTTCAGGCCATTGTTCCTGGCATTTACAACAAAAGAAAAAAACATAACGCATGTCCACGTAGTGAATCATGACAAATGAGGCGCCCACTTGTCATGATTCTGCGCAATGTCATCAACATCACTTAGCCATCAGTCTTCAATCTTATCTCTTTATTTTGTTTATTATACTACGTATTCCTTGTGTGATAACTGCATATAGGATCTTTTGTTAGGATAAATTAATCAAATTTAATTAATTGTTTCAATACTACATTCTCTGATTGACATTCTTTAACCCATTGTTGGAAAATGTTGGGAATTCTCAAAAATAATGTGGTTAAGTATTGTCACGGGGTCGTGACGTGGCCGAAGACAGGAGACTTCGTGTTGGGATTTAACTGTTTATTTAGGCGAACCTGTGCCCGGTAAACGGAAAGTCCAATTACAGCAGCAGTCTCGCACAGATAGCAGTCTCGGACTGATAGCGGCGAACGGAGCGTCGGCCTTCGATCAACAACTGACAAGCGGCGAAGCGCGTCGGCATTTATACTCTTGCCGTCGAATGTTCTAGCGTTATCGCTGGCGGCGGCGTAGGTTCCAGAACAATCTGTACCATTCGCACAGTGGGCGTGATCTTATTGAAATGATCTACTACAGTCCGGAACCCTCTCGAAAACTGCAGGCGCGGTTTGCGCTGAGAATTGTGTGGTGTTTTGGGACGATAACAAAAGCTTGGGAAATGGAACGTGGCATTGCCCCCCCTCTGAAAAAGGCATCGTCTCGATGCTTTAACTAAAGGTGAAGGTACAATAATAATGCAAGAAAGTACAATGAATAAATTACAATACAACAATAATACAAAAAAAGCACTGTTTCAGTTTGTTAACGCGCATGAAACGGCTTTAGGCGCGCGACATGGACGACTTCAGGTCGCGATCGGCGTCGTTGAGAGTTCGTGATGCCGTCGGGGACAACCTCGTAATCAAATGGGCCAAGACGTCGAACCACCCTGTACGGTCCGAAGTACTGTCGCAGAAGCTTCTCACTTAGTCCACGTCGGCGTATCGGCGTCCACACCCAAACATGTTCACCGGGCTGGTATTCCACGAAGCGTCGTCGAAGGTTGTAACGGTGGCTGTCGGTCGTCTGTTGATTCTTGATACGGAGCCGCGCAAGTTGTCGGGCTTCTTCGGCGCGATGAAGGTACTCGCTCACATCGAGGTTTTCTTCGTCGGTGACGTTGGGTAACATGGCATCGAGCGTCGTTGTCGGGCTCCTTCCGTAGACCAATTTGTATGGAGATATCTGCGTCGTCTCCTGCACCGCCGTGTTGTATGCGAAGGTCACATACGGAAGAATGGCGTCCCACGTCTTGTGTTCGACATCGACGTACATTGACAGCATGTCGGCGATCGTCTTGTTAAGCCGCTCGGTGAGGCCGTTGGTCTGTGGGTGGTACGCTGTCGTCCGGCGGTGGTTTGTTTGGCTGTATGCCAAGATCGCTTGAGTTAAATCGGCAGTGAATGCCGTTCCTCTGTCGGTGATAAGGACCTCCAGGGCGCCATGACGTAGGACGATATTTTCGACGAAGAACTTAGCTACCTCGGATGCACTGCCTTTTGGCAGGGCTTTTGTCTCGGCGTAGCGGGTGAGGTAGTCGGTAGCTACCACGATCCACTTGTTTCCGAAAGCCGACGTCGGGAACGGCCCCAGTAGGTCCATACAAATCTGCTGGAAAGGTCGGCAAGGTGGATCTATTGGCTGCAGAAGTCCCGCTGGCCTTGTCGGCGGTGTCTTGCGTCGCTGACAGTCCCGGCATGTCCTCACATAACGAGTGACGTCGGTGGTAAGACGCGGCCAGTAGTACCTTTCTTGTATCCTCGCGAGCGTGCGAGAAACACCGAGGTGCCCTGCCGTCGGATCGTCGTGCAGGGCCTGCAGGAGTTCTGGTCGCAGAGCTGAAGGCACCACAAGGAGGTACTTAGCCCGAAGCTGTGAAAAGTTTTTCTTTTGTAGAAGACCGTTTCGTAGAAAAAACGACGCAAGTGCGCGCTTGAATACCTTCGGGACTTCGGCGGTCCTGCCTTCGAGGTATTCTATTAGGGCCTTAAGTTCCGGGTCGGCCCGCTGTCGTTCAGCGAAGCGGTCGGTAGTGATCGTTCCCAAGAAGTAGTCGTCATCCGGGTCGTCGGGTAGCGGTTGGTCGACAGGCGCACGAGAGAGACAGTCGGCGTCGGGAGTGTTTTTTGCCGGACTTGTAAATGACAGTAATGTCATATTCTTGAAGTCTCAAGCTCCATCGTGCGAGGCGACCTGAAGGGTCCTTCAAAGTGGCTAGCCAACACAAGGCGTGGTGGTCGCTCACAACTTTGAAGGGCCTGCCGTAGAGGTATGGGCGAAATTTCGACGTAGCCCAGATGATGGCGAGGCACTCCTTTTCTGTTGTGGAATAATTTGCTTCTGCTTTGGATAGCGATCGGCTGGCGTAACTAATAACCCTTTCAAGTCCGTCAGCCCTCTGCACAAGAACGGCGCCAAGACCTACGCTGCTTGCGTCAGTATGTATTTCTGTCTCGGCGAATTCGTCGAAATGGGCAAGTAACGGAGGCGTCTGGAGGCGATGTTTAAGCTCCTGGAAAGCGTGTTCCTGTGGCGTTTCCCACTTGAACTCCACGTCGGCCTTGGTAAGGTTAGTGAGAGGATCGGCGATGCGGGCGAAGTTTTTCACGAACCGCCTATAATAGGCGCACAGGCCCAGAAATCGGCGCACGGCTTTCTTGTCAGTGGGCGGCGGGAAGTCGGCGATGGCGGCTGTTTTCCGTTGATCAGGACGAACTCCAGACTTGCTGATAACGTGCCCCAGAAACAAGAGCTCTTCATACGCAAATCTGCACTTTTCTGGCTTCAGTGTGAGTCCGGAAGTCTTGATGGCTTGAAGTACAGCTTCAAGGCGCCGAAGATGCTCGTCGAAACTCGAGGAAAACACGACGACGTCGTCCAAGTACACAAGGCAAGTCTGCCACTTCAATCCTGCCAGTACTGTATCCATAACGCGTTGAAAAGTTGCAGGCGCTGAGCAAAGGCCGAAGGGCATCACCTTAAACTCGAAGAGGCCGTCTGGTGTTATAAACGCCGTCTTCTCTCGGTCTCTTTCGTCGACTTCGATTTGCCAATAGCCAGTCTTGAGGTCCATTGACGAAAAGTACTTGGCGTTATGGAGCCGATCAAGTGCGTCGTCTATTCGTGGGAGAGGATACACGTCCTTTCTTGTGATTTTGTTCAGGCGGCGATAATCGACGCAAAAACGTAGGGTCCCATCCTTTTTCTTCACCAACACCACGGGGGATGCCCATGGGCTCTTGGACGGCTGGATAATGTCATCCCGCAGCATTTCATCAACTTGTCTCTTCATGGCCTCACGTTCTCGCGTCGAAACCCTGTACGGACTCTGGCGGAGTGGTCTGGCATTTTCTTCGGTTATGATGCGATGTTTCGTGATTGGGGTCTGCCGAATTTTCGATGACGACGAAAAGCAATCTTCGTATTGCAGGAACAGGGCCTTGAGCCGTTCTTGCTTATCGTTCGGAAGTCTGGGATTGACGTCGAAAGCTATGGGAGGGGCTTGGTTCCTCTGAGCAGGTTCCGCAGAATCGGCGAGGGCGAAAGCACTGGTGGCTTCGACAATTTCTTCGATGTATGCGACCGTTGTTCCTTTGTTCACATGTTTGTACTCATTGCTGAAATTCGTGAGCATAACCGTTGCTTTGCCTACCCGCAGCTCTGCAATTCCTCTTGCTACGCAAATATTTCGGGTGACCAACAGATGCTGACTGCCTTCAACGACGCCTTTGAAGTCAGGTGATTCAGGAGCGCCGACTGAAATAATGACGCTTGAGCGAGGCGGAATGGTGACTTGTTCTTCCAGCACATTCAAGGCATGGTGTCCAGATGGCGTGCGCGGCGGTAGTGCTTCTTCTGTGGATAACGTTATCGACTTTGTTTTTAGGTTGATGACAGCACCATGGAGGCATAAGAAGTCCATGCCAAGGATGACATCTCTCGAGCAACGCTGTAGGACTATGAAGTCTGTAGGATAAATACAGCCGTTAATGGTGACTCTCGCTGTGCAGATTCCTGCAGGCGTTACGAGATGACCTCCGGCTGTGCGGATTTCAGGGCCTTTCCAAGCTGTCCTAACTTTCTTTAACTTTGCGGTGAACGACCCACTGATGACAGAATAGTCGGCTCCAGTATCGACGAGAGCGGTCACACTGTGGCCGTCGATAAGAACGTCGAGGTCGCTAGTTCGCCGTCTCGCATTACAGTTAGGGCGTGGCGTCGGGTCACGGCTGCGTCGGCTTGTTCCGCTGCTTCCATGTTGCGTCGTCAGGCCACCTTTAGTAAGTGAGCTTTCGCCGTCAGGGCTTTGCCTGGTTGGCGTTGTGTTCGGAAAGCTCCGTCGCGGCGGCGTCGTCGTCGGAGGATCTTCGGTAGTTCGTCGCACAGCAACCGCACCTCCACCGGTTGCTGCCCTTAGTTTCCCGGATACGGGCTAGGAGACCGGCCCCGCGTTGGGCCAGAGTACTGTCGGTGATGCGGTGACGTGCGGCGGCTGGGCGACGGCGAACGCGAAGGGCTTCGTGGTGTCCACCGAGTTCCTGTCAGGTAGTCGGCGATGTCACGTGGTCGTTCTCCTGGCTGCGGACGTGGTGCATCGACGGCGAAGCCACGCAGTCCCATTTGTCGGTACTGGCAACGGCGGTAAGTGTGCCCGGCCTCGCCGCAGTGGTAGCACAGTGGGCGGTGGTCAGGGGTGCGCCAAACGTCGGTTTTCCTCGGCGCACTGCGCTGGCCCGCTGGTGAACGGTAGGTCGTCGGTGGGGGTGGTGGTGGCGGTGGTGTCTGGCGACGGAAGTGCGACGGGGCGGCGTTTTGGCGTGGACGGGGAGGAGCGTTGTGGCACACTGCAGCGGCGTAGCTCATAGTTTCTAGCTCGGGCAGCGGTGTATGGGGAATTCGAAGTGATTGCTGAACTTCTTCTCGCACAATGTCGGCGATCGAATCCACTTGAGGTTGCGCCGAAGGCAACAGTTTGCGCAGCTCTTCCCACACGATCGCTCGGATCGTTTCACGCAGGTTTTCGGAGTCACTGGTTTGAGCAGCAGCGCATTCTGGAGTCAGGCGACGATTATACTGTCTGGTGCGCATGTCAAGGGTTTTTTCGATGGTGGTCGCCTCGGTTACAAATTCTTGGACGGTGTTCGGTGGATTCCTCATTAGTCCCGCGAAGAGCTCCTGTTTGACCCCTCGCATGAGGAAACGAACTTTCTTCTCCTCAGGCATGTCTGGGTCAGCGTGACGAAATAGGCGGGTCATCTCCTCTGTGAAAATTCCAACCTTCTCATTCGGTAGCTGAACCCGGGTCTCTAGTTGAGCAGCGGCCCTTTCTTTGCGAGCGACGCTCGCGAACGTTTGCAGAAATGCGCCGCAGAAGACATCCCACGTTCGGAGCGTGGACTCACGATTCTCTAGCCAGGTCCTTGCGGTGTCTTCCAGGTAGAAGTACACACGCCGGAGCTTTTCTTCATTGTCCCAGTGATTGAGGGCGGCCACACGGTCGTATGTTTCTAACCAGGACTCCGGGTCTTCGAACGATGACCCATGGAAAATTGGTGGTTCCCTGGGTTGATGCATGACCATCGTGGGCAGGGATGCGGCGGTTGTCATTGTCGCTGCAGTCGCGGTCATGGCCTTGGTCTTCCGCGCCTTGTCTTCTAGAATCCCGTACTCCGGTGGTAGCCCTTGCTGTCGGCGGCTTGTTCGCTGCTCCTGGTTGGCGTCGGTGTCTTCTCCGCGACGTGGGCTGGGTTCACGGCTTGACGGGGGCGTCCGGTACATGAACGAAGCAGCACCTCCACCAGATGTCACGGGGTCGTGACGTGGCCGAAGACAGGAGACTTCGTGTTGGGATTTAACTGTTTATTTAGGCGAACCTGTGCCCGGTAAACGGAAAGTCCAATTACAGCAGCAGTCTCGCACAGATAGCAGTCTCGGACTGATAGCGGCGAACGGAGCGTCGGCCTTCGATCAACAACTGACAAGCGGCGAAGCGCGTCGGCATTTATACTCTTGCCGTCGAATGTTCTAGCGTTATCGCTGGCGGCGGCGTAGGTTCCAGAACAATCTGTACCATTCGCACAGTGGGCGTGATCTTATTGAAATGATCTACTACAGTCCGGAACCCTCTCGAAAACTGCAGGCGCGGTTTGCGCTGAGAATTGTGTGGTGTTTTGGGACGATAACAAAAGCTTGGGAAATGGAACGTGGCATTATTCTTTCATTTCGTGAGTGATAATGTGGGTGAATGTCTTGGGTTTGTGGGCATTTAGAGCAGTCGACATCAAAATACTTGCAAACACTGATTGCCTTCTTAATGGCTTACGTTGATTTTTTTTTATTTTTATGCACATATTGCTTACTTTTTTTGTCCTGCTGCGGTGGTCTAGTGGCTAAGGTACTCAGCTGCTGACCCGCAGGTCGCAGGGTCGAATCCCGGCTGCGGCGGCTGCATTTCCGATGGAGGCGGAAATGTTGCAAGCCCGTGTGCTCAGATTTGGGTGCACATTAAAGAACCCCAGGTGTTTAAAATTTCCGGAGCCCTCCACCGCGGCGTCTCTCATAATCATATGGTGGTTTTGGGACATTAAACCCCACATATCAATCAATACTTTTTTCTTTATTCCATTACATCCTGTTGTAGAATAAAGAAAGAAATGCTGAGAAGTTATGCCCGAGCGCTGCTATCTGCATAACTTCTGAGGTTCTGAGCCCCTCTGCAACATCAAGAGTTGCAATCGGCAATATTGTTAAATCAACAAAGAATGAGTGAATAAATTATCACAGGTATGTTTTCATTCACCAAAAGCAAAGTCACAAAATTTCATGAGGGTGATCAGATCTATTTATTATTTATTTATTGAATACCTGCATCGCCCCATTGGACATTACAGCAGGGTGGTTACATACAAAAATATACAAAGCAAACACACTCGCAAAGCGTGGTGAAATACATTGGTATCGAAAGTGTTTACATCAGGCGATAGGGCAGTTCATTCTCTAATGGCTCGTGGAAAAAACGCATACCATAACACGTCGTCACCCTTAACTCTTTTCTTACCACGCCACTAGGCATCGTTCACCGGTGAACGATGATTTCGTGCCCCTATTTTTCAAAAAACACCGTGCCTATGGACTTGTAGCACCATCTAGGCGATAGTACACACACTAGATTTGCTTTTTCTGTACGGTTCGCATTTTTACCGCGTGGCGGTGATTTTTAAAGGTCACGCCCGTTCAAAGGTTGAAGCGCATGTGATTCACGTGATGGCGTCAACATCAGAAACCACGCGCGCTCGGAAAAAAGCGATTTCGCTCGATGCCGACGCCTGGACGAGCGATCTTTTGAATTCCTCGAGTAGTGAGGAATCAGGCAACGATGTGGTGACATCGGATTTTAGCTCCGATGAAGAAATTTCATCAGATCAGCCGGGAACGTCAGCTGTTAGTCGCGGGTATGTTTGGTTTTCACCTTCTGTTTTGTTTGTCGTGTTCTGGAGCTGGCTGACTTGCTCTGTATGTGTCCCATATATTGTTATTATTATTTCTAGCGTGTCTACTTCATATGGGGGCGATGTGCTGCGTCCAGCACAAAGACGCGTGGACTTCCGACCCCAGAGGGATCCGGGAATCGACCTCGGCATGGCGCTCCGCAGTCGCGCACATCGGCTGACGAGAGCACTGGATTTTTTTCGCCTCTTCTTCACGGCGGAGGTGATCCGCGCAATCTGTCTCAACACCAACAAGTATGCGTGGACCCACATACTTGAAAAGCCGACATACAGTGAGAAAGACGGATCGTGGAAGGAAGTGACGCCGGAGGAGATGAAGAAGTTCATCGGACTCCTGATGTATATGGGGATATTAGAACTTCCGCATCTAAATTTGTACTGGAGTACGACTAAAATGCTTTCTGGACTTCTTCCACCAAAAGTCATGTCAAGGCCGCGTTTCACCGCACTTCTGGCCATGCTGCATGTTCTGGATCCTGAAACGAACGGCGCTACCGCACAAAAACTAGACAAGGTGTCTTGGCTTCTTCAACACATCAATGACTGCTCTGCAACGTTTTTCCAGCCGTATCGCGAAATTTCAGTTGATGAAAGAATAGTTAAATCCAAAGCGCGCTCCGAAATTCGGCAGTACATTCGAGACAAAGTTGTGAAATACTCGGTAGAAATAAGTAAATCACTACGACATTTGTTGTGAACGTACCTAATTATTTGTGTTTGTCAATTTTTGTTACCTATTTAGATCTGCCAGTTCTTCCGTCAAATGTACCTTTCCAACCCTACATTTAGTACTTGCATTTTGGTATGTAATATTTTGCTGTAAAGTTTTTTTTTCTTAAAAAAAAAAAAAAATCTCGCGTAGGACCAACTCAGAACTTCACTATTTCGCTATGCATCAGACAATTTTTTTGTAACTCAAAAACAGCTTTGTCAATTTTAACGATTCTTATAAATAATGTTGCCCTGTGATTACTAAACATTTTGTATATTTCGAAATTTCTCAGAAAAATTTTTTGTCTGAGATATTGCTTTGTTTTCAAATAAAATTTCTGAAATTTTTTTATTTTTTTGTATACAAATTTTTTTCGCCAAATAAATTTTCTTTGTTGTTTTAAAATAAAAAGCATTCAAAAGTACATTCATTCTTCTTTATTTTGATGTATTGCATGGCACTGTAAATCTAGTAGCGACGGCACAGAAAATTTCTAGCTGCAACATACAAAAATAGGCCAATTTTCCCGTAGTAAGGAAAGAGTTAAAAAGGAATTCGCGAACTTTCATTGCATGGCCGCGTCTCGATGAGATGTAAGGAGGTAACTTAATATACTTTTCTCACTCAATGCCGGTTTTAAAATGGTATACACCATGAAAAAATTTCATTCTAAGGTTTTTTCGCCGATCTCGCAAAACCTGCCATGATAACTTACGTTTGTTTTCCGTCATGCTTATTGTTCTATAACGGTCGAGTACAAACCAAACCGCCTTATTTTGCACCCTTTCAAGCTGCTCTGTGAGATCAACTGTGTGCGGTTCCCAACAAACACAACCATAATCAAGTATACAAAGATACAAAAAGGATCATTTCTTCAAAAGTCTTCCTGAAAAAATTGCATGCCGTTGCCCTCATATGTAAATCTTCGCAGTAAAAGAACAACTAGACACAGTCAACAATTTGAGGGCTACTTTGACAAGCTTTTTTTTTTTTTTCGATTCAGCGATGTCATTATGATTTCTGCTTTCTTTTGTATATTACGGTCATATGCTGTATTGTTTTATGCATGTTTGTATTTTATTTTTTCTTGCTTTTATTTTCCCTCGTGATTGGGCCAAAGTATTGGCCTGCGGTATTGCTAAATAAATAAAGTAATGGGACACTGTGAATACTGCCTCGTGACCATCTCTGCAATAAATGCGCCGATATGTCGCAAGCTTTGAAGATTTTTTCTGGAGACCCCCTGTAGAGCGCAGCGTATGCCAAACATGCACAGAATTGCCCATCGAGAGCCGGCTGTCGGCACCGGATTTGGTGGCACCAGTACCGAAGATTGTGGACCCCACTGTGGATCTCCCGGGGCGCCGGAACCACCGGCCAGGGGTCTTTCCTCCGCTGGAGTGTGGCGTGCTGAACCGAGAGCCAGTGCAGTCCAAGTGAGTTGTCTGTCACAATGGCAGGCTGTTCAGTGTTTCGAGAACTCCATTAGGTTTCATGAGTGGAGGGCAGGTATGGATAAGGGAGGATGGATGGCGGAATACAGATATACCTTGGATTTAGAAGAGCTGTAAGGTGAGCTAGGCAGTCTTGATTCATCTTCAAAGTGTGCTTTGTAGATACGAACACGAGACAGAAAACACAGTACAGTGCAGTCAATGCATTCAGTGCATTCAGTAGATCAGTTGGTAGTTTGCTCTCGTTGCGTCTAGTACTTTGCTTTCATCCTGTGTCCATATCTACAAAAGTAACGTTTGGAGAAGATGCCTTGGGTTCTTTGTTACATAAGGATGTATGTAAACGGTGACTAGGTAGTGGATAGTAATTCATAGTCCTTGTTTCTGTGGAATTCTTTGTAACTGGTGTGTTTCGTAGGGATGTTTTATTTGATCTGATGTCGAATGGTACATAGCTTTTGTGCTAAAATCATGTGTATTGGTCCGTTCTATAAGTTAGCTGCTGCTGTCATTTTCTGATTCCCCTGGAGTGGTGTGTTTGCCTACCGTATTAGTGTGTTCAGTTGGGCTGGTTCATAGATTATGACTGGGACGAAAATGAAAGAGGACAGACGATTTGCTGCCTAAAATAATTTTACTGAATTTTCACTTATATACTGTACCATAGAACAATCGGTACGAATAGATAGATTTATATATGAGAAGTCACTGTGTTCAAAGGGAAGACAATCCTTTGTTACATGGAAATATCCTTTAATCAATACTTCGAATCAAAAAGTAGGTTACTGCGTAAAGTTCAATAACTCGAGGATTGTGAGACCTTCAAGAAAAATAAAAAGAAAATGCAGGGTTCAATTTTTTTTTTACAACCACGTAAATCTAACAGAACAGCCAGCTTGTGTTTGGGTTTCATGTCCCAGACTATGCAGAAAGATAAAAATTAAACAAGTATCATCTTTTGTGTTATGATTTTATTACTTCTCAAAAAATGATGAAATAATTTTTACATTTTTCTACAATTTTTTTTTGCACCTCAGAGCAATCACTATGGTAGACTCATTAAACAAAACCTAAGAGTATTTAAAAAATATGTTCCATTTAATGAAACTTTCATTTACTAAAATATGAACAGTGTTTCAGCATCCAAGTGTAAAACCAATCATAGCAGAGGAAACTGTTCTATTTAAGCAGCAGTTTTGTTTAAAAGAGATTCCTGTTTACTCTGAGTCCCCTGTAGTGGTTTTTGCTAAGCAATTTGCTTTCTGCTGACGTTTTTTATTTGGTGGTCTGCTGCTGTTTCAGGGTCAAAAAACGCGCGCATGCCCAGTTTCGTAGGAAAGACCGCTCCATCCAACAGGCTGAGCACTTGAAGCTCACAGCCGAGCAGAGAGAGGTGAGTGGTGTATCGGACTCGAGATGAAGGAAAAAAAAAAGCTTGCACAATAGTGTGGCAATGTTGCAAAGCCAGCTCTTAGCCCGGTCGTGTTACATTCTGTGCGATTCAGTTCGCGTCTATCTTTTGGACATTTTTGTTTCGATGAATAATTTAACTTTCTCGTGTTTTGGATTTCAAAACACCAGAGCATTTTTTCAACATCGAGAAGTAGAGTACGCTGTCCTGCTTTGAATTTTACGTTTTGCTTCAGCCAATCACACGGGGCCCATCCGGCCTACAAATAAGTCAGGGGCACGATCTTGTATGTAATCTACGAACATACCAGTATTTTTTTTCTGCACGCGATTTGTCAAGGCTTATGCAGATGTCGTGAACGGGTGAACGTGCGTGTGAGCCTCCACCAATCGCGTGCTACAAAAGCGTTCATATGTGTAAGGCACGCTAGATTGTATGCGTTAACTTAATAAATGGCAAAATGTTCAGAACGGGCATTTGCAATGCGTACATATTGATGTGTGAATGAAACCGCTGTTTCAAAGTCCTAGCGCGTCTGGACATTAAACATGTTAGAGTATCTTTTTTTTTTATTCTTTGTAGTGTTTTAATTGAAGAGCACTATATAACAGCCTCTGAAATGAAAAAAAATTATTTGTAGAGATTTAGTGATAAATATTCGATAAGAAAATTAGCATTACATGTAATTACATTCAGTTAGTTTGACTGCTACGACAAGCCTACATTAGTCATCACTAGCCAGTATTACCCATTGTTACCCGACATCAAGACATTAATCAACATTAGAGCACTTGTATTATGCAAATAGTAAATACGGTCCACCAGGCACAAGCTATGATTAACACTCATGCAATAAAGGAATTTTCTAGAATAGACTTCGTTTCAAATGGGCGCTCAATATATACATATAGTATATACTTTTTTTCATGTCCAAAGCTCCCAGGATGATTCTCATCTAAAGCAACTGTGTCCCTCACAACAAAAAACACCAATGGTTGAAAAAAAATTTAGAGCAAACAGCAAGTGTACAGATGCTAATGAACTCCTGCATTGGTTCTTATTTAAATAAAATAAAAGTGGGTATAATGGACTTTCCAATAGAGTTGTAGGACGGTATGCTGCAAACATGTGGTTTTAAGCTATGAATGCTTTCAGAAACCCAAATATACTGTTTTTTGTTTTCAGATCATTCTCAAAGTAAGTTGTGCTCGTTTGGTTTTCACATATAATTTTTTTTTAATTTCCTCAAGGTGTGCATCTAAAGTGGTAATTTTGTGTTCTGGATTATCATTTAGTGGCTCATTGATGATTGAGCAAAATGACAACAAATTATGCCCGTCTCATCCACATAAGACTAGGCGGACGTCATAAGACGCACTTTTGAAGAAGGCGTCCTTTTTAGGCCTGTTTCACTGGCTTTTTGTGACAGAGCAATGGTGCCAACTATCTTGTTATCAAATTGAACATGTTTCATATAGAGGCATTCTTTAGCTAGGTGTTTTACATAGTCTAGCTGCATAACCAGATTTAAGTTATGTAGGTACATTTCACGTAAACAAATGAATAAATTGGTTGTTGTTATTCCGATGCTTTGGTGTTCTAAAGAAGCATAAATTCTGCAGTTTTATTTTCATCAGGTGGGGGGGCCATTTTGGGAAGACAAAAAGAAATGCAACATTGTCCTCAGTCCAAAGTGTTTGGCTGTCTATTTTCATCTTGCCGTCATTCTTAGAACACGGGAAAGCTAAGCATTTCGTGCTTGCTCTATCGACGCTACCATAAAACACCGAGCGAGCACCCCTGGTCGAGCGAGCACCCCCCCCTCCCATCTTTGGGAGGTACCAACTATTCGGCCCTCCTCCTCTTCTCCCGCCATTTCCACTGGTCCACCGCGGTGGATCAGTGGCCGAGGTGCTTGGCTGATGACTCAAAGGTAGCGGGTTCGATGCCACCTGAGGGGGGGGGGGGGTCGCATTTCTACGGAGGCTAAATGGTAGAGGCTTGTTGTGTACTATGCGATGTCAGTGCTCGGTAAAGAACACCAGCTGGTCAAAATTTCTGGAGCCCTCCTCTGCGGTGTCTCTCAAATCCCATGGGGATTTTGGGACATAAAACCATAAAAATTATTATTATTATTATCATCATCATCATCATCGTCATCATCATTTTCACTGTTTTATTCGCAGTTTTTATTTGACAGTGAACGAAGGAGGTGCTTGCTCGGGATTTTACGGCAGTTTGAATTTTGTGTTATAGAAGGCATAAAATAAAAGCTAAAAAAAATTAAGCAGTATAATAAACCCAGAAACATGTCTAGGTAAAGCTCTATTCTGTGTTTTTGCTGTGTTTACTGATTATTGAATAAAAAAAAGGAGGGTATTCGTCAGACAACCACATGTTCTGCACTTAATTTTTTTTTTGCCTGAATATTCAGAGATGCTTGGTTTCACTTTTTTTTTTTATTGCTCCTTGCATGGCAATTTGTGTGTGCGCATTCTTTTTTTTCTAGTTTGTGTTCTACCTTTCTTTTTCTCTTGTTTCTTGTCTTCTTTTTTAGTCTGCCTGTGTTGGCACGAAATCGAAGCATGCACAATTGTGGCAAGTGAGTACAGCCTCGATGCAACTCTATGTTTTAATGCTTTGTGACGTTCGTTTGAGCCCATGTTGTAGTGACGTGATGTTTGTGAAAGTGTGTTGTGTAACGATGCGAAAGTAATGTGTTGCCTCTTTCGTGCTTTTCGTTGCTTTTGACAACGGACACAAGGCCACCTTACATTTGTCACAAAAGCTTGCTGTGGAACTGTTCGTCTTTGATTCCGTTTTTCCGATAGCTCTTTCAAGGGCCATCACTAGGGCTATGCCGTACCACAGAACACTACTCCATGTTGGTCTTTCCCGATTGGCCATTTCAAAATACGGCAGATCCTGCCGAATGTGCCAACGGCACGACGCCAGATGACGCAGAGCGAATGGAATAGTGCTCCGTATTTTGTGGTACGGTCTCAGACTGTAGATTTAGCATCAAGATCGAGGTGCTCTCAGAGCAAAGCATCAAATATGCTGAGGAAAAGAAAGGAAAATAGGAGAAAAAGAACGGCAGGGAGGCAAACCAGCCCATAGGCAGCTAGTTTGCTACCCTGCACATGGGAGGGGGATGGGGGATGAAAGATAGAGGAGAGAGAGGATTTCTTCTGGGGTACAGGAGGTCAAGCTGCTGTTGGTAACGCTTGCTCAAGGAAAATATGATGTGAAGTTTCTGTTTGTAACATTTGCTGGGCTTTCATAGTTATTTGTGGTAATATTTCAGTGAAGCCTAATAAATGTATCTTTAAATGCCATAAAACTGAAACGGAAAGCACTACCACAAACATATGTTGTGCCTTTTTTTCATACAGTGCCTTAAGCCTGATGACAGCCAGTGATACTTGCCATGCATCCGTTGTTTTTTAAGTTTCATGTTATGTGCCCAAGCTGTGGTATGTGGCCTGGCTGCACTCGTGCTCACAATATCATCCTTCACTCTTTTTTTTTTTTTTGTGATACTCACCAGGTTGTTATCATCATGTTGTTTATGGTAAGCTGTGGCTGGAAATTAATGGTACCACTCCTTGTAGACATTAAAAACGTGAAGTTGGTACTTATTGGCTTGTCTGCCTCCATGCGTAGTATTTAGGGGCATATGGATTACAGCCACCTGACCCCTGACATACATCATCAAAATGTCATTAGAAGTACAAGAGACTTTTGCCAGAGGCAGTCACTTATCTTGATTTGAAATGCTCATAACTCTAAAACGTGAATGTGCGCTTTCTGTACCAGCCTGTATTTGTCGCTTAGTTACATTCCCTCCACCAGCAGTGTTTGTGTAAAAATAAAACTGTAGTTGAAACGTAAAAGTTAGTCGTACATATGATTGTGTAGTTCGAATCCCGGAAGGGGCCGCTGCATTTTCGATGGAGGCGAAAATGATATAGGCCCATGGGCTTAAGATTTGGGCGCACGTTAAAGAACGACAGGTGGTCGAAATTTCTGGAGCCCTCCTCTACGGCATCTTTTATAATCATATGGTGGTTCTGGGACTTTGATACTGGTTACTGTTCAAAAGCGCATCCCTTCGACAAAGGTGTAATTATGGTGCAAGCTTTTTGTATGTGCTCTGAGCTTTGCAATTTATGTTTGAAACAGCACTCATGGCTGCAACTAAGAAACATCACATGGTGTTGTCAATTTTTCTGTGCACCCTTACGTGCTGTTAATTGAAGCACACCTGGTGCAAAGTGTTTAAAAACTCCATTAAAGATTGGTGGGCAGGATGAGGAGACACGAGTCCCCCCCCCCCTTTTTTTTTTTTTCACTTCACTCCAAGCCACTGAAAACCTTAGCCACCGACACACTGTTCCCCCAAAAAAAATTTGCCGGAGAAGAACACTAATTGTGCACCATGAACATAAACTACACCCTTAGGTCATCAGTGGCAAATATAAATTTTGATTAGTAATAGATTAATGATTCTGGGACAGAAGCAACAGAATAAGTCGCACTTCTTGATGTATTTTGTCTTTCACATTATTAGCAAGATGTCTCTCCCTTCTTGAGCTAAAGCAGATTTTTTGGGGGGAAGGGGAGCAGATAAGGAGGGGCTAGGAGTCCTATAATGTGCACTTAGCATAGCTTTCTATTCACTGTGGTGGAAAGCTTTAGTTGAGTCTAGGTGAACAACTATCTTGTTGCATTTTGTTACATTTTTGGTGTAAAAAACTGGTCCTGGGCACGGTTCTTGGCCTTAGTTTGCTCATCCGGGCACGTTTCAGTCTCATACTTGTGTTTTTTCGGTTTGTGGTTTTAACACCCTGTTTCATTTTTTTCTTTTCTCACGCGGTTTTTCCCTGGTTTTCTGTTTTCCCTCTTCCACAAAATTGCACCAAACAAAAGTACCAAGTGAGTTTCAGTGCACTCGCTAAAATTGCACTGCGTTTCGTCTGCATGCCTTTCGGATGTTTTTTTTTCTGTTTGTCATGAGGTGATCAAGAGCAGTACAATGGTGGTGGTGAATTATCAGTGTTCTAAAAAAAAATCTTGTAAGTTTTTGTCTTTTTATTACTATTTTGTGGTATCGGGAAATGGCCTTTTAAAAACCTGTTTCATTGGCAAGTTTTGGTGCCACACATGTAGTATCCTTAAGAGTGTTGCATATGTAAGAATTGTGCACTTAGCATAAAATGCACGCATAGAACTTCACCACATGTGCTGAATGTGAGTCCAGGCATTCCTACTTGTGCAATAACCATTATGGACACTACATGTGCAGTAATAAGACTTGCTAATGTTACTTTTAAGTGGTTGTAAAATACATGTAACAAATTGTGTGTGTATGTGTCTGTATGTTTGGCCATATGTTTGTGGAGTTTGTCATGTTTTGCATGCGTCTTGCATGCCTGGCACGTTTGCATTCATTCAGCATGTGTGTGTTTCTATAACATCGCTAATTGGTAGTGCTTGTGTTATGATCACTAAAAACTTTGCTCACTGGATAAGCATGTGCATGTTGTTGTTTTTTTATTGGTGAAATAACACACCTAACATTTCTTACATTAGGCCATATGCTGTATATGTGTCTTATAAAATTGTGCTCTGATGTAAATATTTTTGCGAAGGATGTACATTTTTCATTGGTTACCTTTTATGAGTACTGCTAATGTGCTTATAAAAGCTTTAGCGTAAATTGGTTTTACTTTGTTAACACCTTGAAAGCATCGAATATAAGCCATATAAAATATTTACAAATTTATGCTGTTTTTAGTATATTTTTGCAAAAACATTTAAGTCCAATCATTCTTAACATTGCAGGGAGCAAATTAATGAATTATCTCGCTTTATTAACACTTGTTAATCACTTACTGGGTTACGCTCTTAAATTGTACTTAAATTATTGCCTTTATTTGATTCATACTTACTTACAAGCCAAGAAATACTGACCATTGTTAAACAGCTATCTCACAGTTGACAAACTTGCAGATTTATGTTGTCCACAGTGGACACTTATGCAGTCACTATTCATCATAACTGAAACTTAGTTGTTCAAATAACATCCTCTTTCAGCTTTATTGGACACCGATATGACCTTTGGCCTAAATTTTATGACAACTCCCACTTTTTCCGCAACATACGTTAAGGATACATGCATTACCGCGTGTACACTACTGCATAACACTTCTACATAAGTACACTGCCGCGTAAACTGTACACTAGAGCTGGAAGTACTTTTGCTAGACAAGTACTGACAATGGTCTAATACGCTTTTTTTGCGTCATCGTTGTCAACCTGTAGAAGTACATGAACGAAGCACGGGCCAAGCACATGAAGCAACCGAAATTCAGTGACACAGCATCGGCTGCGGTCATTGCACAGACCAATTGGAAATTTGTGGAGGCGCTGCTCATGGAGTGCAAGACCAGGGTGAGTCGGAGAGCAAAGTGCACGGATAAGCCCTTTCTTAGCAGTAACCACCAACTAAATGTCTTTATGGTGATCACTTGTATCAAAAAGTATTTCTAGTCCCACTGCTTTTGAAGTCAGACAAGTAGATTGCTCTCAGAACTTATCAACTAGGCAATGTTGTATGTTGTTAACAGCTCATAAGTTCCTTTGGCATAAGGGTGAAGTGATGTAAGGTATTTGAGAAACTTATTAGATGTTCTTTGTGTGATGCGCACGCAGCTTTATTCAATTGGTGTTTTGTAAACATGGAAAGTTGCTAGCACAAAGGTTACGTATAATACTGTATTAATATTAGTTTACTGTCCTGTTTGTGGGCATTGACCATCAAACTACAGTAAATTGCAAGTGGGCATCATGTGTGACAATGTCACTCAAAATTTTTCTGTCCTGAAAATGGTGGCATGGCACCACCTTTACTTGCGCAGAATTGGCATGCATCTACAACAAACACGCTCTTTTGTGTGTCTACACGCCTTTGACACGTCAGTGCATGTTTGTGTTGAAACCCGTCTCGTGTCTCCGTGCAGACGAAGCGAATGCTGGTCGAGAAGATGGGAGTCGAGGCCGTTGAGCTGGGCCACGCCGATGCCAGCATCACGGGTCTCGAGGAGAACACGCTACTGGCGTCGTTCTGCGACCTCCTTGAACGCATCTGGTCACATGGCCTGCAGGCCAAGCAGGTACAGAAGATCGACGTATGTAACTGCGCGGTAGTAAACACGGACGACAAGAAGATACAAGGACAAGCGCAGACTATCAACTGAAGGTTTATTTTTCACAAACCACATATATATGACTGAAACAGAAACAGAAAACACGAAAATCTACAAAAAATGATGACTTAGCACTTAACAATCGACAAAACGTGAACGTTTGACAAAAGCAGATTCAAGGACCATGTGCGCCACTTGCCAGATACCGTAGTTCTTTATCTAAAAGAGCTAACGACGGTTTGCTGACGCAGTGTTCTGGTTCCCGTGCCATTTTTTCCGCTTCGACAATCATACGGGTATGATCGTCTTTGTGCCTGAACATTACGACCGTGCTTTCGAACTGCGCAAGGCAGCCACACCTACTGACGTGCTGAGCTAAAAAACCTTCATTGCCAGTGCGCACATTGCGTGCGTGCTCGCGCAGGCGCTCATTTAGGCATCTCCCAGTCTGCCCGATGTAACACGCACCACAAGATAGCGGAATTCTATAAACTACATTCATGTCACATCTGACAAACTGGGTTTTATGCCTGACAGTGCAAGCTTGTTTGGGCCTATTGTTTACACATGTCATTTTGGCTAGCTGAGAGAGCTTGTAAGGTGCCGAAAAAACGACCTTTACGCCCATGCGCTGTCCGAGCTTTTTATCTTGTGAGATAGCTGGTGCTTGTAAGGGATTACCGCGACTTTGTCACGTTTGCTTTTGTCTCTGTCATTAGTGCTCTCTCTGCTTCTGGGCTTTTTCTTCTTTTTTATTGTTTCTGCCACAGAAATGAGAAGCGAATCCGGGTAGCCAGCTTCTTTCAGACGCTCAACTTGATTTTGGAAGCTTGTTTCCATCATATGGAAACATGATCTGTCCAGGGCATTAGTGAAGCAGGAGTTCACTATGCCTCTCTTAACCAATTTGCTATGCGCTGATTTAAAAGGCAAAAGCGGTTTCATAGCGCGAGGCTCATACATCCAGCATGCGTGATTCACGCTGAACAAAAGTCTCATGTCTAGGAAGCGAATCGAGTTTTTCACTGGGAGTTCATGGGTCAGTACGAGTGGACTCAAGCAGTCACTAAAAACTTCAATGACATCAGATGACAACCCCATTACTCTAGCAGATTCACACTTAAAAACCACCAGGTAGTCGTCGACGAACCTGAAAATCCTCACAACTTCCTGGCAACACAGCCGCTCTTTCAAGTTCCTGTCGAACTTCGCAAGCAACAAATCACTCAGAATCGGTGCAATCGAAGATCCTATTGACACGCCATTATTTTGATAAACATCACCGTTCCATTCTACATAGGTAGAGGTCAGATAGGTAGCTAGCAGGTCAAGAAAACTGCTAACACTGACACCCGCTGCATTCTGGAACGTTACGTGGCCCATTAGATCAACACATTCTTCTATGCATGAATACAAAGCGTCACGAGGGAGAGAATAATATAAATCTTTGATATCTATGGAAAAAGCACTTAAAGTGTAGTTAGAATACTCTTTGAAGAATTCAGTGACCACCCTTGAATTCCTGACTAGAAAGGGATCATTAATCTCTAAAGTTTCAACTTTTTCTGCAAAAACATCCCTAAGGCGTTTTGCCAAGAACCCTTCTCTGTAACAATGACACGAAATGGCACGTCGACTTTGTGTGTCTTTGCCGAAAAAAACATCTCTAGGGCCAACTTCTCACTTTTTTCTATCTTTCTTGCTATTTCAGACAGGTTAAGCTTCGTGCACAGTTTTTTCGCCTTAGATTTGACTTTAACCAGGTCAATACCACTGCACTTTTGGAAGACGGATGTGACCGCACTTACAGCTTTCTTCAGGTACAAGTCTTTGTTGAGGACCGCGAAGCCTCCCTCCTTATCCGAAGGCACCACGCACAATTCGTTGTCTCGTAGATGTGAAATTGTCCTGCTTAAAGGAAGACTACTTGCGCACGGCTTAACTTGCTGCAGCACATCAACTCCTTCAGACACGCACCTGTTACAGTCTTCTTGTGGAGCAAGGCTTGAAACACGTCTCACTATGGCCAGAAGATCCGGTGCGGTGTACTTCTTGTCTATGGCATACTTGGGGCCTAAGCTCAACGTCCGCCGCACGAAGTCTGGAAGAACTACGTCACCGCACGTGTGCACAACACCTTTGAAGCGCTGCTTCGCCGCGATTCCAGAGCGTAGCCTCCTGAGTTCGCCTGCCCACAGAGTGTCTGTGGTATGCTCGATGCATGCTGTGAACTCCTTCATTCTTCGTCTTTTGATACTGGGACTGGCCTCCTGTTGAAGCTGAAGTTGCAGGGCTTCTCTATACAGGCGGGCCTGTCTATTCCACTCTGATCTGAGAATCTTACAAATCCGGAGACCATGGCTGCTGGAGGGGTTGACGCCACCGAATAATCCTTTCACGTCTGAAGGCAGCTGCTTCTGTCTAATGTGGAACGCGAAAGCACGGGCACGGCAGGTAGCCAGTGCGACGAGGGTGATGAGTATAGACGGAGGAAGGGTTAGGGACGAAACACTGCCCGAAGAACTAGAAATGTAACTAATCAAGGTGGACGATTGGGCGAGTTGGTGATTCATGATCGACGTATGTAACTGCGCGGTAGTAACACGGACGACAAGAAGATACAAGGACAAGCGCAGACTATCAACTGAAGGTTTATTTTTCACAAACCACATATATATGACTGAAACAGAAACAGAAAACACGAAAATCTACAAAAAATGATGACTTAGCACTTAACAATCGACAAAACGTGAACGTTTGACAAAAGCAGATTCAAGGACCATGTGCGCCACTTGCCAGATACCGTAGTTCTTTATCTAAAAGAGCTAACGACGGTTTGCTGACGCAGTGTTCTGGTTCCCGTGCCATTTTTTCCGCTTCGACAATCATACGGGTATGATCGTCTTTGTGCCTGAACATTACGACCGTGCTTTCGAACTGCGCAAGGCAGCCACACCTACTGACGTGCTGAGCTAAAAAACCTTCATTGCCAGTGCGCACATTGCGTGCGTGCTCGCGCAGGCGCTCATTTAGGCATCTCCCAGTCTGCCCGATGTAACACGCACCACAAGATAGCGGAATTCTATAAACTACATTCATGTCACATCTGACAAACTGGGTTTTATGCCTGACAGTGCAAGCTTGTTTGGGCCTATTGTTTACACATGTCATTTTGGCTAGCCGAGAGAGCTTGTAAGGTGCCGAAAAAACGACCTTTACGCCCATGCGCTGTCCGAGCTCTTTTTTTTTTTTTTTTTTTTTTTTTTTTTTTTTTTTTGCGTGTCAATAGGATCTTCGATTGCACCGATTCTGAGTGATTTGTTGCTTGCGAAGTTCGACAGGAACTTGAAAGAGCGGCTGTGTTGCCAGGAAGTTGTGAGGATTTTCAGGTTCGTCGACGACTACCTGGTGGTTTTTAAGTGTGAATCTGCTAGAGTAATGGGGTTGTCATCTGATGTCATTGAAGTTTTTAGTGACTGCTTGAGTCCACTCGTACTGACCCATGAACTCCCAGTGAAAAACTCGATTCGCTTCCTAGACATGAGACTTTTGTTCAGCGTGAATCACGCATGCTGGATGTATGAGCCTCGCGCTATGAAACCGCTTTTGCCTTTTAAATCAGCGCATAGCAAATTGGTTAAGAGAGGCATAGTGAACTCCTGCTTCACTAATGCCCTGGACAGATCATGTTTCCATATGATGGAAACAAGCTTCCAAAATCAAGTTGAGCGTCTGAAAGAAGCTGGCTACCCGGATTCGCTTCTCATTTCTGTGGCAGAAACAATAAAAAAGAAGAAAAAGCCCAGAAGCAGAGAGAGCACTAATGACAGAGACAAAAGCAAACGTGACAAAGTCGCGGTAATCCCTTACAAGCACCAGCTATCTCACAAGATAAAAAAGCTCGGACAGCGCATGGGCGTAAAGGTCGTTTTTTCGGCACCTTACAAGCTCTCTCAGCTAGCCAAAATGACATGTGTAAACAATAGGCCCAAACAAGCTTGCACTGTCAGGCATAAAACCCAGTTTGTCAGATGTGACATGAATGTAGTTTATAGAATTCCGCTATCTTGTGGTGCGTGTTACATCGGGCAGACTGGGAGATGCCTAAATGAGCGCCTGCGCGAGCACGCACGCAATGTGCGCACTGGCAATGAAGGTTTTTTAGCTCAGCACGTCAGTAGGTGTGGCTGCCTTGCGCAGTTCGAAAGCACGGTCGTAATGTTCAGGCACAAAGACGATCATACCCGTATGATTGTCGAAGCGGAAAAAATGGCACGGGAACCAGAACACTGCGTCAGCAAACCGTCGTTAGCTCTTTTAGATAAAGAACTACGGTATCTGGCAAGTGGCGCACATGGTCCTTGAATCTGCTTTTGTCAAACGTTCACGTTTTGTCGATTGTTAAGTGCTAAGTCATCATTTTTTGTAGATTTTCGTGTTTTCTGTTTCTGTTTCAGTCATATATATGTGGTTTGTGAAAAATAAACCTTCAGTTGATAGTCTGCGCTTGTCCTTGTATCTTCTTGTCGTCCGTGTTTACTACCGCGCAGTTACATACGTCGATCATGAATCACCAACTCGCCCAATCGTCCACCTTGATTAGGTACAGAAGGCTTAATACAAATTTTGATGTTTCATCTTAACCCTTTCAGGTGCCACCTACGAAGAAATGTCTGTGAATACGTCAAATCACTACAGTATCACTTCGAAGCACTCAATATTATTTTGCAACAAGAATCATAAGAATAGCCAGTGGACCCTTACTGCTAGGGCTCAACTCGCTATAGCAACTCGGCAGGCCTGACCCAGGGTCGCCAGATAGCTAGAGACAAAAGCCAAAGGGGTGTGTAACATAAAAGACGGTCAGGGAGAGTGACAACTAGAGGGCTGCGGAGGCATGGTCGGAAATTACAATAAGAATGTATGGGCACCTTGCCAATACCTTATCGGTGGCCGAAAATGGTTTCCCAGCAAGTCACCAGAGTGCCCACTCCATTCGCTGTAACTGATTGGCGGCGCACAGAGACGTTCGTTACACGTGTGATTTCGTGCCATTGAAATAATCTGTAGAATTTCCATGGTCGCGCAGGCATAGTTTGTTTTAAGCGAAAGTTAGTTTTAAGTGGGGGCCGTTACACATGGGCTCAACTGTATTTGAGTGTGCTTAGCAGGTGGTCTTGAACACGACAAGTTGCGTGATGTTGTATTCACTTATTTCCTATTTTTCGTCATATATATGCCCTGGCCAGCATGTCATGAAATGCTGACGTGGTGAATCAGTTCTTCTTGTACTCATGTGGCTGTAGCTCTCCTCCATAGTCTCTTTCTGCAGAGGCATGCATCGTATGGTGTAGACAAAATTGAAACGGCACTATTTTCTGTTGCCCAAAGAGTTGCGGGTAGCCTGAACTTTGCAGCTTCCATGTAGTACCTGTCACAGTAAAACGTCTCGGGCCACGACTAGCCGCTGATGAGACCTTCGGCCCATTCACGCAGGGCAAGTCAGCGCTGTGGTCTCACCTGCTCAACTATTTGGAGGTCGAAGAGTGTCGGTCCAGCGGCAAACCGATCGATCGGAACTTTTTGACTCCAGGTAGGTGGTTCGTTAACGAAAGCCATGGTTAGAACAAGTTTAGGCTACTCATTTAACATCTTCACTGTTGCATGTTTCGGTGTCCTTGCCTTGTGTGCGCTTCGCTTTGAGCAGTTGCAGCTGCTTCTTTTAACCGCACTGCTTGTAGGTGTGCTAATCTCCGTGGCATTTACGGTACTCGGCCAGTAGAGGCTTTGTTTTTTCTTGTAGACAACTTAATTATTAATTAATACACAATCTGGTTTACTGAATTCTAGCATCATTGCTGGTTAGAGAGTCCTGTAGAATCTCGACCATGGTGATCGCACTGGATCTGTTAAGGCATCATGGTAATGACAAGAATTATTGGGCCCAAGAGGAGTAATGCTGCTTGCAAAGTTGAGAAAGTGTGGAATTCAGTCAGACAAGTGATTCTTCAGTGTCGGGCTCCAAGCTGTATGCTTCTCATTTCTGATAGTGTTATTAACCAATTAATGCTTCAACTTTTCAATTGACATGCATTCGTTACCGTTCAGAGACAAGCTTGAGAGTCATGTGTTGGTAAAAGCTATGAATAATTCGTAAAGAACCTGTAATGTTTGGTGGCATTGTTTAGATTAGGCATTGCAAAGCGTGACTTGCACGCTATCTGTAAACGAAAACATTGATAGCACGAAAAAATTTATTATGATGCGAGTGATGGTCCTGGGAAATTTAAAGGCAACATTTTCACGGTGTGGTGCATTCTTAATATGTTTAATTAAGAGTGTTAGAATGTAATCTGGTATATTTGAAATGCAATTGTAGACTGGAATTCTGTGTTGCTGATCTCACAAGGGCACTTGTGCTGGTGACTTCCGTTTGCATGTGGATTAATTATGTTCTTCTGTAACAAGGCACATTAATGAATTGTACACATATCTGTTTTTATTGATATTAATGTTACTTATTTGTCAGCAGACAAATTAATTTCGATCAAACGCCAGAAAAGCCCAAACGTCACAAATATTTTTTTCTAATAACCATGATCCGAAAATTTTCGTTGTACTGACCAACTCTAATAATGCCATTAAGGAGGCTAGACAAATATTTGGCCACCTTACCTCACTATCCTTGTCTCACTAGTTGCCTTGGTATTGCAGTAATGTAATATAAGTAACACATCTTAACTAGTAATAGTGCTATTATTTCTTATTAGCCTCCCTTTACGGAGCTTTCGCTCATTGTGTTATGTTTAACTAACACACTGCTTTCTGCGTTTTTCTTTTTTCTTCTCTTTGTTTTTGCCATCTATCTGTGCAGCCCTTGCTTGGTGCGTCTTGCGGAGGCGAATCGACTGTATGTCACTCATTTCTCATAACCATCTCTTACTCCCTTGCATAATAGTACGTTTGTTTGAATGGTTTCTGGGGTTGTCCAAGTCTGGCTACTTGAAACTGCACGTCTGCTGACCCCACTTGCTGTCTCCTAACAGTGTGAAGGTGCAATGTGCTGCGAAATGGCATATTCTGTTGTTTTTTTTTGCTTGTTTTAGTATTTAAACCACCTGCATCTTTATCGAGGGCTTTTATGCTGGTATGGCATTGTAGGCGAATATGTTTCCTAGAATGGTATTTGAGTCGGACTGTACAGGGCATCTTAATGAAGCTGTTTGCTTGCATGTTGCATTCCACATAACAGTTTCGGAAAAAAGTTGACAGCATTTATGTAACTGCCTTTCCAAATTCGCTAATCTGGACTCATTTTCTTCGCTAAACAGAAGAAAAAAAAACATCATCCACTTGACAACCTAATGGTAAAAGGTTATATGGAACTATGTACTTCTAAAAAAACTTTTTTTTTTTTACATTTGCAACTAAAGGAAAGTTGGGTTTGAAATTAATGAATGAACAGGGAATTTACACATTTGTAGTAGTCTTAACTGTGTAGCAACTTTTCTAAACGACTGTTGTTGAAAGGAACTACTTACGCAAATATGATCTGCTGTGATTAAATGAATTGAAGTGTATGTAATGATGAGATACTGGAAGATGTCATTCATAGCTAGGGAAGAAATGAAGTTGGTGATAAATCTGTTGAAAAATAAGGAAAAGAAGCAGGCATTTATTTCACGTCAAAAAAGCTTTCCTTTACCAGCTTGCCGAGTCATCTTTAAAGATTATCTTTAGTCGCTTTTTTGCGGCCTCAACGAGTTGCTTTCTGTGTTTTGTGCAATCGCTGCTTTCGTTTTTTAAAGCCTGCTCTGCTTGCTGTGTGTTGTGTTTGGTCTAGGGTCGGCAAAGGAATGATTGGTAAGGCTAGTTGTTCCGTGCTATTTCACTAAGCGTTCTGAATCGTAGGTAGGTCCAGGGACATTATTCGCAGGTGATTGCTTTATATATACGTAGTTCCTCTTTTGGAGAATCTTACGTTGTCACTGACCACTGCGCAGTTGCTAAAAGTTTCAGCAGCTAAGAATGCGCCGTAATTCCTAGTGACACGCTTCTTACAGGTCAGTGTGGAACGAATCAGGCATGTAGACTCGGGCACAGGAAACGGAAAGCGCGAATGCTGACAAATCAACAGAAAGGTTGCACATTGGCAAAAAATGCATATGGCAGATATACAGTGCACTTCTAGTTTTTTTCCTATGAGGAATCAAATTCCTGAGAACTAGCAGCTGAAATTTTTTGTCATACCAAGACGAATTCGCTTGGTATTGTTCTGTTGCTTACACATGCTGTGACTGCCATTAGCCATGCAAGATCTCACTTAAGATAGTTATTTTTGATCTTCTGAGCATAGCACCTTGGAACATGAACAGTAGGGCTTGAGACGCAGCTACAGAAGGCTACACTTCTGCACATTTGTTTTTATAACTACTCTTCATAGTATTCTCTACGATTCAGCACGCTTTAAGAAATAGTGTCATGTGTCTGCTTCTGCAGCTTGTTGGGAGGTGAAGGAACGCTACGCTTCGTTTTTTTTCTGTTTCATTTTTGTTTTACCCACCAACCCCTGTGTAGTGCCAGTGCGAGCCCAAGTCCCAAGAGTTTTGGTTTCCCCGAAATTATCTTCTCCCTTAAGTCGGGTGCCCTAAACGCCGTTACGAAACATCTGGCCAACCTGGGTAAGTGTGGCTCAGCGGCACCACTACCCCACCCACCCTGTGCTCTTTTCTCAAGCCTCTTCCTTTGAACCTTCTTCAAACTCTGTCCTAACCCCCAAAAGTACATCATTGATTGCAAAAGCAGAACAATCCACAAGACAAAGACAGAAAACACAATGTCGGCACATGACACCAAGGCATGAAACGCCAGTCAATATAACTTCCTAATGCTGGCCTAAAGAAGTCATATGTTTGATCCCCAGCCATAGTGGGCCACCACATTCGAGGTGATTGAAGAGGTGTAAACATTTGTGTATGTCAATTTACTACTTCACTCTGAATTTAACTACCTGAGGGTGTCAAAAATTTTTCAGGATCTTCCTCTGCACCATGTGTCTTGTTGATTTGGTGAATTTAAGCTTTGTGAAACAATCAGTTAACCTTTCTGTGAATCAGTACCTAGAACAATCATATCTGCTTTAAATCTGAGCTTCACTATAAAGAAGTAATTTCTGACAAAAAAAAATCTTCATTGCATGCACATTTATTATATGCACATACTTAGCATCCTAATACAGTAGAACCTCGTTCAAACGTTTAAAAAAAAACGCTGAAGATAAACGTACGATTCGAATCCAGCAAAAATTGTGGCTGACAAGTCCAAATAGAGGTGTACGGGCTCAAAACATTCATTTCTCAAAAGAACATTATAATTTACTGCTGCTGTCTCTCACCCTTGGACAAGGAAAGCTCCTTTCTGCACATATTGGAGACCCTTGTCCGCTTTTTCATTATTTTTCATGCAAAAGAAGCTTTGTAAAGATTCCAGTTAGCAAGGCCTTGGGCGAAGTTAGCGGATTGGCGCGTGCTTTCGTTCTTGCCACTGTCTCTCGATGCCTCGCCCCCCACCTCCTTCGCCGCATAGCCTCGTACCACCTCCGCAATAATCTCGGCGACACTTTGCGGCTTGCAAGTCGGGACGTTGTCGTCTAACGAGATGAACTCTAGCGAACAGTGCATCGGCGCCAGTGGAGAGCAACTCCACATCGACGTCAGTCGTCGATGTCAGACACGCATGCCACAGGGTCTTCTTCGCTGCGCTCTGTATCCTCTGATGCAGGCTGCCGCTGAAACCTGCACTTCCTGAAACAGCTGCTAATCTTTTCACTCGTCACACTGTCCCAAGAAGTGCTTAGTAGCGCATTGCGTCGAGAAGCGATAAGCTCCCGAAGTCATCACTTTGTGACAAGCGATCAAGGAAGCGCAAGTTCAATCCAAGCAAAGCTAAAGTGGCAAGTGTGCATTAAGGCGTGTTTGTGCGTAGTGTCCATGCTGTGGTTACACTATGGGGCGATACAAAAGCTACGCGGCTGCTTTCAAGTTGAAAGTCATTGATCATGCACTAAACAACAGCAACAGGGCCGTAGGTAGGCTCTTTGGAGTCGCTTAGTTTTGTGTTCGCTACTGGCGATGGCAGCAACGGCAGCTGAAAGCCACCAAGAAGGGCTTCCGTGTGCCAAATTTTATTTCAACAACAGGTAACTGCAGACGATTCCGTGTTTTATGGCCATCAGCCTAAGGTTCACGTCGTACACTAGCACTACACCCGCAAGCTTTATGTATGGTATTTGAAAACTCTCGTGCATCAAATAAATCTTGCCTTGGGTTGAACCTGTGGTTTTATTGTTCAGGTAAGGCTTGATTAGTGCTTCTCAAAGCATTTAGTTAGTTGCTAGCATGACAATGCTGATTTGTGGCCACTTCGTCTTCTTTTTTTTTTTCGCTCCGTACGTTTTTCTATCCCCTAACTTTTCGTTGGTTATCTGCAAAAAAAAAAAGTGTGAGGATTATGAGAGTAAATACGGTATTCCTAAATTCTTTGCCAAGGTGCCAGCTGTGAAAGAAAACCACCTTGCTGCAGAAAATAACAGGCATCTTTTAAAAATTGTTTAAAGACTTTGACGGCTCGGACAGGTTTGTCTGTTTGTCTGTCTGTGGGGGGAGGGGCTGTTCACCGGCAGTCTGCCATTTTGCCCTTCACAAGCACGTGAGAGTGATTTTTTTTTCACACCTGAATGAGAATTGGCTCCTGTCCTAGCATTTGTTCCAAATGAATGCTGAAATTAAGAATCTAAATTTTTGCCTGCGGAATGTATCGTACGACAGCAGTTTGTCGCAATGCCGAGCTTTTCTGCCGAATAATCTTATTTTCTGGGAACATATCAAGCGGGACTTATTGACACATAACTCTATGGGCGCAGTTCTAGTTTCCACGATTTCGAGCGTAGGAGCCGGGAAATCATATTAAGTGGGAACGTATCAACGAGGTTCTGCTGTATCAGTCGGACATATTCTAGATTGACATTATTATATTAAATAGTTGGTAATGTTCTTATTTAATATCACCTGATTAAACTTTATGTATATTCCTTTATTGTTTTAAACATACCCAGTCTTAGTTTGGCATTCTGGTACTGTATCTGCGCATAAGCATTTACTTTGAGACATGGTTCATAGCGGTGCTTTGGTGTCTCCTGCTTTTTATGTCCTGTGTCGTGCATGTTTTTTTTTTTTCTGCATGCCAAAAGTATTAGGAAGGCAATCACAACTAGTATCAGAAAGGCAATGATAACCTCGTACTGGGGTTTAACAATTTTCAAATTTCCAATCTTCTAAATTTTTAAACACCAGTACGAGGTAGTTACACAGAAAGCAGCTAGAAATATCATTTCTGACACCTGACAGACATCACTGATGCAGAAGCTTCCGTGTCACTTTTTACATGTACAGAAACTTGTGTATGTGTGCTCTGTACGGACACATACGGGAACTTCCGTATCTGCCACACACATGGAAATGTCTGTACCTTTTGTACATACGGGAGCTTTTACATTGTTTTCCATGCTTACAGAAAAATTTATGTGGCACACACAACGCCGACACATACGGAAACTTGCTTATGTGTGGCAATTACCTTGCTCAAGCAAAATGAGCGACACACCCTTGTACAGATATTTACGGCTGCTCTTAAATGAAGTCATGCAAAATGGAAATGTATTGCACCACTACTTCCATTGCACATTTTTCTACCACTGTCCTATCCTCTTTCTTTCACTTTTCGATATGTGCGTGATGCCATCATTGTGAGTATGTGAACTTGGGCATGTTGTTACTAGAATACGGACAAATTTTGTAGTTTGCAAGTGCACACTGCTGCACTATATACTTGCCCAACTAACGGCAGCACTGGTTATTGTTTAAACGATAATGAAGTGACACCTGCCTATGGTGACGCTTATTTTTTGCATGTGGTTTCAGCGTGAGCTTTTGTCTACATTATTCGTCATAACGCAAGCAAACTGTGCTCGCACATGCTAAAATTTACTTTGCTGCCATTAGTTTGCCAAGCTTTCCTAGATGGAAGCTACCTTACAATTGAGATAGGGTTTCTTTTACCTGTCATGTTTTTCCTTGTTTTTTAGTGGTATAACTGTAGGCATTTACGGTCTGCTCATTTAGCACAAATTAGGTTGTAATCGCTGTTCACTTGGTAGCCCTGAAACTGACACATTGAAGATTGGTGTTGCCTGTTTGGAGGTATCAGCGTAGTTTAGGCCAAGGTAAGTGAAGCGTTATTGGACATACAGTGGCATGCTGTCAGCGATGTGCAGTTTCAAGCAGCCATACTGTGCCATGCATGTTGAAAGACAGCTCCAATTGAGTTTGTAAAAAACATTGTGGAAGTTCTCTTATTTTTTTGGTGCCTTTGTTATCAGTAAAGTACACTTAAAGGGGCCCTGCAACACTTTTTGAGCGTGGTCAGAAAATGCTGCCGATCGGTAGTAGAGGCTCCCGACCACACGCGAGCCAAATATTATAGCACAGCACGCGGCCTGGAATTCACAATAAGTTATCAAAGTCAGCTAAAAAATGCTTTCTTTTCTCTCGACAAATCACGTTAAATGCCCCAAAATCACACATCAACGACCCATCTATCAGCCATTGGCTGATTTGAACATGGCACGCTCGCTCATTACAGAGATCGCTGCCGGAGGCCACTATTTGTCCACGTGTGCGCGTGCGATCACACTGAAAAAGTCGTGCATTCGAAGGGAAAAAAAAAAGAAAGAGCTCAAGGTCGCGAAGTGCGCGTGACGTTTTTCTGTGGCTCTGCCTTCCCTCCCGGCTTAGCTTCCAGCGCTTCCATTGGGACGAGAGAAGAGAGAATGCAATTGCAGCATGTGACAAACCATTGTAACTCCACGTGCACTGCACGTATTCTTAAAATTTTTGTGACATTGAATTGTGAGGCAATAAGCTCCTCCAGTGAATTCATTCCATGGTTACTTGAAAAGGTGTTTCAGGGCCCCTTTAAACCTCAATGTAATGAACCAAGATAAAGTAAAATATCAATTATAACAAAATACATGAAATGTCTTGCAATATATATATATATATATATATATATATATATATATATATATATATATATATATATATATATATATATATAGTGTTAGGAATACATCATTATAACAAATTTTTAGATATAATGAACTTATTTTTATGTAATGCAACCTTGTTATAATGAGGCTTGAGTGTATATTTATATATGAAAACTGTTGTGTATGAAAGAGCAACTCCGGTGATTTTTTTAGTGTTAGCTGATCTAAATAAAAAATTTTGTATAGGTTCTCTTTGGTCCTTCTGGTGATCTGTACCAAACGACGTGGCATTAAGCCATTTAGTTTTCGTGAAAAATAAATTTAAAATATAGCCTGCACATTCGAAGATCGCGTAGTCCAATGCACAACATTTAATGGGCTACCTCGTCCTTATGATGTCAGAACCTGCCGAACCCAGCACTTCACAAGTCGCCGTGATAGACGAGAGTTGCCCATTTTTTCATCGTGGTGTAGCACCACATTTACTGTGTACATTTTACGAGGATACGTTGCGAAATTATCATAGACATTATATGAGACAACTACCAGTTGCAATTTCGGCACATTGTTTTTTTGATTATTGAAAATTATAGCCAACTATGTGAGCTAATTCAGTCAACCTATCACTTGTAGGACTGTCATACTATATCCCCTTCAAGTGTGAATTATCACACATTGTCTTCAAATGTGTGAAATTTGCATGTCATTATTCCAAGGCACTCAATATTACATTTCAAGAAATAAAATAAAAGGAATTGCTGGTTTGTTAGTCTTGGTAATTAATATTAATTAGCATGTAATTAAATGTCTGCTATGTAATTAGTCAACTTCAATCCTTGCATGAAAAAATCAAGCATTAAGCCTAAAATGCATACACAGTTTGATTTTTTATTGCACTCATTTGTAACAAAGGAAAAAAACTCTACATAGATTGTGAAACATGCCACATAGAACGATCGTAGAACAACTGTAGTGTTTCCAGCGAAGTGATCATCTGCAGCAATACGCAGTGCAATGAAGTTAAGTGACTGCTTGGTGCAGATGAGTGAGGCGCAAAAAACATTTTGTGAAACGGGAAGAGCAGAAGAGAACAACAAAGCGACTGCTGTTTGTCCACTCGGAAAGCTTGCACGAATGTGCACACCAAGTTTCAAGCCATATGAAGAAACATGCTGCGCATGACATTTCTCTGAATTCGATGTGTACAATTGTACACACCACCACCAGAGGGGATATTTGAAGATAGCAATATCCTAATGTGGTTAAAAAAAACAACGGAGTTGCTCCTCAAAAATATAACACCACACTCCAGCTGAAGTTGCACCGGTAGTGTCCCTTAAAATTGATACACCCAGCGTCATAAGCACTGTTTAACAATGAAAACAAGGCCTCTAGTAGTGTCATCTTGAGACCGTGTACTTATAAAAAAATAAAAATTAACAGTTGCTTGTATGTTAGATGATTCTTGATGATGGATCCAAAGTTGCATAGCATAACTCTAACAGTATTGCCCATTCGTGCGGTCCATGCTCGCTGCTTTGTGTGTTTTGTGTGCGGTGGGGACAACTGGCCTCTTGCAGACCTCTCGAACCTGGTGCCAGACGAGATGCCGGCGTCGCGGGGCAGGGAAGCCAAGGAGCGGAGTCGTCGGGTCAGGCCGCCGGACCTGCCCGGCCTCAAGCCGCTTCCTGTCTCCCTCTTGATGGACGTCAAGTGAGTTGGTCAGCAGGGAACTGTCAAGACTGGGGTGAAGTTGAGCTGTAGATAAGCAATCATCGTAGAGCAAAGTTGGGCTTGCATTCCGAGAAAGCTAGACATTCAGACAGATGTGCAAATGAAGGAAAATGTATTCAACTAGACCAGACTGACATCAGTTTTCTTTAAATGTGTTTGCAATGTATACCCGCCATGGTGGTGTAGTGGTTCGGCTCCTGAATGCGGCACCTGCATTTGTGATAGAGGCGAAATGATGGAGGCCTGCGTGCTTAAATTTAGGCCTGCAGAACCCCAGGTGGTAAGAATTTCCGGAGCTCTCCGCTATAGCGTTCTTCCTAATCATATTGTGGCTGTTGGATGTAAAACGCCTCACATAATATGGTGGTAACGTGACTACTCTTATGTTCGGTTTGGTTTTTCTATCTAATATCTTGGAAAGAACTAAAGAAGCATGGTGTCCTGTTGGTACTACATTGGGTTGAAGAGAATAGCCACTGAGAGTTTGTTGTTGTAGGTTCAATCAATCCTTATTTGTGAGTGATGACAATGCATTATATTTATTTGCATCTCAACAGCTAACTTATTGAACGCATAAAGCTTTAATCTGTATGTACTTATGTTGAAAGCATTATACTAAATTATACACTCTATGCAGAGTCATTTAAAGAGTCTGTTAATGAGCTCAGGGACTTGAACTATAGTATCAAGTGATTTGTTAAATATCTTTAATTTAGTGCCCTTCTTTAACCCTTTGCGACACGCATTTTCATTGACTGCTCATAAATATGTGGAATTTATGCAATTTGGCGCCATGATTATCAAGACTCTGGGAGAGCAGAAACATTTGAATAAATTAAAGACTGTTTTATAGCAATTAATTACATTTAAAACTTATTTATCTAATTTCTGTAAAGCTACCCACACAATATTTTTTCATACAAAAAATTCAGTTACTTAAATTGCATTTATATAGCATAATAACATCAGCTACACCATTGTTTAATGTGTAGTTAATTCAGTGTTCCATCGTCTCTTTATTGCTACTAGTGCACAGAAATGGCGAAGGTAAGATGTGTACAAATCTAAACATAGTGTTGCACAGGGTTAATAGTGACTGTAACAGCAATACAGATCCTCCCACTACTGTGTTTCTGCTTCACAGTGGTGTTGAACCCACTAATCAATCAGTCAATCAATCAATAAAATCAATTGTTTTTCTACTGCAGGACGGTGCAGGCAATGACAGAGGTCAAAACAGACATTGGCTTCGCTCGGGCTTGGGTTCGCCTGGCCCTGGAAAAGAAGCTGCTGTCCAAGCACCTCAAGAAGCTACTCTCTAATCAGGAGCTGCTCAGGTCAGTGTTCTTGAGGCATGACAGAAGCAGCATAACATTGCCCTCGATGTACCGCACTTAGCCATCTAGCTATCATCACCGTTGTTGCTCTTCTCGAAATCATTGTTGTTGCAAGGCCTATCATTGCAAGAGGTGATTGCGCTTGTGGCAACCTTTGTAAACGTTTACTTTCATGCACGTGAAGGAGTTCCTACAAGCGGTACGCTTTCTTGCGGTGTGAAGACGAGAAAGAGCAGTTCCTCTACTACCTCCTCACGCTCAATGCTGTTGACTACAAGTGCTTCACCAATACTTACACGGCCACAGGTGGGTAGGATTTGTGTAATACTCATGTTTACTACTCTCAATTCTTAATTGCAACTTGGGTATTAACGTTTTTTAGAGGTACTGGTTTGACAGATGATACTCGGTCATACTTAATTCATTAGACCTGGACCTGCACAGCAAATGCTTGTACAATGAAATGTTCTATGCAATGAAGTGTTCTTTACAATCCAGTGATATTACAGGTGTTAGTGTGACTGGACCTGTATAACAAAGTGTTTTGAAAGTCTCGATCACACTGCTGTAAAGGCACTCGACAGTTGGGAAACGCTCGGAAAAGCACTCCAGTCTGTCAATCAATCAACCTGTCAATAAAAATATCAGTTATTCTCGGTCACAACCGGAAAAAAAGCGTTTGCTCCACCCACAAAACCACGCTGCGCCTGCCATTCATCTGTGAAAGATAGTCGTGGTAGCTGGTTTCCGCTCGAATCATAAGTATATTTTGTTAGCTGGTGTATTTAAATACTATGCATATTGTTATACTAGTTAAAGGCTCAACATTACTACCTAAAACATTACATTTGGCAGAGCTGCGATGTCGAAATCCCTGACGATATTTACTGGGATGGTCTTGATTCCAATCTAAAACTAATGGCGCAAACATGCATTTGTGTAGGAAGTCGACTATCTGTAAGGCTCTAGAAGTGCTTGACGTCTCAAAAATGAGTAAGCTTTATGGATGGAGCATTAATGAAAATTCTTTATGGGAGGGACAGCGATGGCTGTAGGTTGCGCTGACATTTTTTCTTGATTTGTAGCCGACTAGTACTGCAGTATAACTCATTAATGCAATATTAGAGAAAATATGCTGAATGAGGTCCCAAGGTTAAAACGCTTGGCGGGGCCTCCTTGCAGCTTGTTCTTGGTGTGCAAGTGTTTCGCATGCTTATGCATCTGCCATGCTTTCTTCTTGTTTTGTCATCGTGTAATCCATGCTGCCCATGCTCTGCTGATGTGTCATCTTGCCGTCCGCCTCTCTCGCTTCTTTTCCGGTGCGCATGCGCAGTCTTCTTCCTGCGTGTCTGATGACACTAATGGCTCCTCCTCCTCCACTCTCATCCTCGCTTCCCTCCTCCTTTTACGTCCGCCCCGGCGAAACCCAGAGATGCCGTATCGGGTCGTCGTGTTCCCGAGCCGCAAGCTGAGTGCCTCGACGACGTCGGCCAACGCCTGGGTCAGCGTTTCGGGCACCATGGGCACCACGGGCGTCATCCCGGTGCCCAAGCAGTCGCTCGAGTTTGTCTGTCACGTGAGTGAGCTGTGTCGTCCTGCAGAAAAGCTTGGCTATCTCGCGTTCCCCGAAGTTTTTAATGCCTAACATGTGCATCTCCTGGTATCCAGTTTTCTCATATACTAAGACATGGTGTACAAAAGGGAAAGGCATGATGTTGTAAGGGGAAACAAGTCTCAAGGGCTCATTTCTATGTGGATGACAAAATAATAATCAGGTTTACTTTCGCATGAATACAGTGTAATGTGATAAGAAGAGGCGGGTGGAAAAAGCTGCCATTTATACTGCTTGATGAGGCTGCAGGCCCCCTCATTGGCAATAACAGCAGTAATACATTAACTATTATGTACAAATTACAATGTACATACAGGAGAACAATAAGATACTAATTTTAAAAATTTGCATTCCTTTGCAGAGACAAAAAAATGCTAAATTATTCACATGTAACCTTTGTTTTTGTAGAGAATCTAAAAACACACAAACAGGCATGCAAGGTTCATAAATGTAAAGCATCAAAAAGGTTTTTCAAAGAGCATGTGTTTTTAGATTAAAACAACTGCCTGTAGCTTTTAAAGACATGTTATCTAATTGTAGCCCCACATAAATTAATCTGTTCAATAATCTTGGTAGGTTATTTCAGAGTGTTTGTTTGCCATATATTGTTCACACTGTTTATGTTTGAGGTACAACCAAGTGAATGCAACAGACAATTAATTAAGCAAAGGGGACAATAATATCGGGGTCTGAGTGTACCCTCAAGGTGTCTTCCATCACCTAAAAAAGGTCTTTTTTTTCCGGCCCATTTCAATTCATTTGAATTTATATCATATAATATTAAACTTAATGTACATGTATACTGGGGGTCTTTTTTTTAATTCAAAATTAATAGATCAAAATAGCTATGGCTAAAACAACAGTCAAAGAGAAATTAGTATGCTGTGCGAAGCACTGCTGCCTACACTTTTTTTTTCTTTCGAGAGGCCGCACCACTAGCTTACGTTACAGACGTCTTAGCATCTTTATGATGTTGTTGCTCATCTCTCATTCAGCACAAAAACCTCGGTCTGCTCACGACGCTACGGATCGGCCACGACAACACGGGCCTCTCCCCCAAGTGGATGATCGAGCACGTAGTGGTCCGCAACGATGTCACGGGACACACCTACAAGTGAGTCAATTCAATTCAATTTATTTTCCACCTTACAAACACAGGTGGAGGAGTTGTAGGTAAAAGGCTGCTTAAAGGCAGCTTGACGAGACTACAAACATTTGACCGTTGGTCAATAAGCTAAATGCAGCAGATTATGAAGGATTCTCTTGCCATTACTGTTAGGTTTGGAGGTCTGGAACCTTTATTAAACAGAGTAATTCAGAAATTGTGAACCAACCCGCCCATGAACCAGCTCTAGCGAGCTTTTATGCGACTAAAAAGTTATCGCTTCTTACGTCTATGGTTTCTTGCGGTAGAAGGCAATGCTTTGTTAATCGTCAGTGATCATAGATACCGAGAACAGCTGTAAAGCCTAATGCTGTGCGAAAGCTATTTCTTTTCTTTTTTTTTTTTTCTCACTTTCATGCTGCTGGTCAAAAAACACCTGGAAAGTGAGCGACTTACAGTATCCGAAGTCTGCTATTAGTGCTTGCCGCTGTCTACAATAACTTTGTCTAAAGTAAACTGCAGTGGGTCACGCATGCGTCTACTGTATGCTTTAGATTGCCTGTTTTAAGCTTTTTTCACTTTGTATGCGCGATATTTTTACCGAAACCGTGTCTGAATTGTTCGTTTTAAAAGTAAAATACTTTAAAAAATGTTTGCAGGAGACCTTAAAAACTGTTTGCTATATGTGTACGCAGTTTCAATAGGTAGCATAGGAAAATCGTAGATACGCCGATATATGGTCGTTATAACCGATAGACCGTTGAATCTGGGATCGTTATAAGTGGATTTGATTGTAACAGTATTTTGACGGCAAATGTGAGTTTGTTATAACGAGGTAGTGTGAGTGTATTTACAAACTGTGCCATTTGAGCGTTTCGAGATCATGTGACTGTGCGTTTGATCGTTTCAGGTTCCCTTGTGGTCGGTGGTTGGGCAGAGGCATCGATGATGGCAGTACGGAGAGACTCCTAGTTGCAGAGCTGGTTCCTGCAGACATCGACAATGAAGGTGGGCACGTTTTTCTTTTTATTGTTGTTTTGTTTTGTTCTGTTTTGTTTTATAGTGAAAGTTGTTATAAGATAACATCAGTTTATTTTGGTGGCTTAGTTGCCCGCCACTGCCAGAGTCTGCAACTGCTATGGCAAAGAGTATTAAAAAAAAAACGGCATTGAGCAAGATTTCAACCCACGCCCTCCATGTGGCAGTAAAGTTTTGTACTACATATTTCAACTGGTGTATGAAACTTGTGGGGGTGCTGACACCCCCCCTGTAAGGTTGTCTGCGCCGCGTGGCGCACGTGTCTCGCCCCAGGGCGTTATTTCGGTGGTGACCACCACCGGGCGATAGATGGCGTTCGCTTTGAGTACCACTGTTGGTAGAGTGGTAGCGCCGGTGGTGGCCCCTGGCGGAAGGCGGGCTTTGGTGGTGGGCGAGCGTTGAGCGAGCCTCTTCTGCGCGTGGCGGCTGCCGCGAACGGTTGTCTGTAGCGCGGGTCCCCGGTGCTCGGCACCGCGGGCTTCGCGCCGGGGTCCCACGTGTAAAGTCAGGTGTTGGCGACGCCGCCTTGGGTATGTGCTAGTGTGTTGGGTGTGTTAGTGTGTGCTTATCATGTTATTGTGTGTTTAGTGTGTCCTGGCATTACGTTGTTTGTATGGTTTAGTGTTAATTGAAATTGTTGTATCATTCGGCGGACGATATCGTCGTCTAAATTGGTTAATAAATGTATGTATGTGGTGTGCTTTGTACTGACCGCGTCTGCTGTGTCCGTTCACTCCAAGGGCGTGGCGAGGCGCTCGTTCGCCTCGCCGGGACCCCACACTGGCGCCCAACGTGGGGCTCTTGGAGTATCGGACGACAGTTTTTGCGGTTCGGTACAGGGATTTTGTTAGAGCCGGAGTAGAGTAGGCCTAGGGGGGACTTCTTTGCTAGCGTCGGTGGTGTGCTTTGTTGAGAAGCGAGGGGATTGGTTTTGTAACGTGTTTCAATTTGTCGGCAGGTTGACTTTCTATTTTTTTTGCTCGCAAGTGTTCTTATTTTTTTTGTTGTTAGTTTTCAAAAACGTTGTTGAATTAGGACGAGAGCCATGCGGTCCGCATCCTGGGGTGAGCAAGGCCTAGAGCACGTGGTTTGTAGGCCAGGCCCGAAGCGAGTGAGTACGGAAGCCTCGTGGGTGGTCCGATCTTCTGTAAATAGCTTCTTCTATCTCTTTGGGCTCAGGGAGCCGGGCGTCGTTGCTGACTTGTATTGCGGCTCGACGCCGGGGCGTCGTGACACCGCCCGGGGCGGTGGACGCCGATCGCTCGGTAAGCTGCTGTGTGCGGCGAGCGATAGGGCCACCTCACAGAGTGGACGTCTCCTCGCGGCTGCCTCTTCTGCGCCTAGGCTGGGTGCTGGGTGGATGCCGGTTGTTGCCGAGCGACTCATTAGGCCTAAGGCTCTGCGCAGCCGCCTGTCGCACGTGGCACAACTAGGTGGATCGTAGCGTTGAGGTGTTGCGCTCTGCTTCCCTCACTTTTTTTCTTCTTGCGAGCACGAGTTAGGAAAAGTGATTTTTGTTTTATTTTGATGGGCGTCTCGACCGCCACCGATGTATTAGCTAGCAGTACTGACCACCGTACCACGTGGCCGAAAAGCCTGAAGCTCCCTCCCCTGGGCCGCGCTCCTTTGTTTCTTTCGAGTTTTGTTTTTTGTCGATGTATTCAGCGGGAGGGATGTCATCCACGACCGGCTGTCCTGCACATCGTCAGCGTCGTTGGCCAGGAATGCGGTCGTGAGGTCGGGCGATGAAGGTGCCTTGGACCTGCGCAACTGCCTGCAGTCCGGCGCCCTCGCGAGTGCTGGTCGCAACTGGAAGACGTGTCGGCGCTAGCGACAGATCGTCGCGCCGATGGCAACGTTGCTGTTGCGGGGCCGGTACTGAGGTGAAGTCTAGCCGGACAGTGCAGCAGTGTCGACCGGCGGCGGTGTCGTGGTGCAAGGACATTGTGGTCGTGCGATATTATTTTTTTGTTAAAGCTTGTGTAGCTATTTTTTGAGTTCGGGGTATGGTTTGATTTAAGGTTGGGGGAATGTGGGGGTGCTGACACCCCCCCTGTAAGGTTGTCTGCGCCGCGTGGCGCATGTGTCTCGCCCCAGGGCGTTATTTCGGTGGTGACCACCACCGGGCGATAGATGGCGTTGTGTTCGCTTTGAGTACCACTGTTGGTAGAGTGGTAGCGCCGGTGGTGGCCCCTGGCGGAAGGCGGGCTTTGGTGGTGGGCGAGCGTTGAGCGAGCCTCTTCTGCGCGTGGCGGCTGCCGCGAACGGTTGTCTGTAGCGCGGGTCCCCGGTGCTCGGCACCGCGGGCTTCGCGCCGGGGTCCCACGTGTAAAGTCAGGTGTTGGCGACGCCGCCTTGGGTATGTGCTAGTGTGTTGGGTGTGTTAGTGTGTGCTTATCATGTTATTGTGTGTTTAGTGTGTCCTGGCATTACGTTGTTTGTATGGTTTAGTGTTAATTGAAATTGTTGTATCATTCGGCGGACGATATCGTCGTCTAAATTGGTTAATAAATGTATGTATGTGGTGTGCTTTGTACTGACCGCGTCTGCTGTGTCCGTTCACTCCAAGAGCGTGGCGTGGCGGTGCGCGCGTTCGCCTCGCCGAGACCCCACAAACTCCTTTGCAAAAAGACCCCATATCAGCATCATCCTGGACAAGTAATCACTTTACTGAATGTAATATAGCGTGGTAGAAGATTGAAATAACACCAGCCATCACGCAGTGCTAATTGCATAACAATTGAGTGGTCTAAAACTTAGCGAGCATAACGAAGGCTTAATCATTATGCTTTATTGTTTACATCACAACAACAACAAAGTACAGTGTCTTATAGATGCGTAGTGGGTACCTTGCTTTCCCACAAGATGACAAATAATGACACAGTCAATACCTTGCTACTTAGAAAAATTATGATAATTCATGGCATAGCGGGTACCTTGCAACTGTACCTGTGGTCACCAAGCTCTAGAAAGGCTTCTTTTCCACTATTTGCTGTGACTGTGCTGCATGTTTCACATAGACCTGGCGTACTTCTTTTTCTGCTTAGTTGGGCACCATTATAATGAGTATATTTACCCAGGATGGAAGTCTGTTGCGTCTTGACATGTAATGCAGTTGTATTGTATGCATTGCCAGCGTGTCACGTATGCTGTGTTAATGTGCAATGCTAAACATTTTTAGATGTATTTTCACACATGCTATAAATATCTTCTGTTATCGTGTTGTTGTTATTTATTGATGTCAATAACTCTATTATTGTTCACTTCTTTAGTCATTGCAGCAGTTTGTGAAAAGCTACTGCAACTGTACACTTTAACGTATGCCAGTTGCATTTTGCTGAGTGCAGCCGTGACATTCTGCCTCTGTACTGGTTTGGCATATGCCATCTAACTGACCACTTTTCCTATTTTTCCGAGCAGCGTGCAAAAAAAATTATACTGTGCTTACCTTATGCTCTGCTCTTCATCTTAAATTTTATTTTTACGTGGGGGAAAAACATTGCGGCGCTTTCATATGGCATATGAAAGTGCCACAGTGCACAACCTGTGCCTTTTGTGCCACACTGACTATTGTAGCTGGGCTTTGCATTTATTTTATTTTTATTTGACTGTCGGGTCTTTTACAGCAACCTAAAGAGGAAGGGTAAAAGAACACAATAAAACCAGGAAAAACTCTTAAATAGTTTGTTAGCTTTTGCGGAGGCTGGAACTTTCTACGACTGGCAACGGCACCGTGCATGTGACAGCAGTTAGTGTGCGATTTGGACTGAAAGGTTCTTTTGATGCGCAGAGCTGATGGAAGCCTGTCGAACACCTCCGCGGTGCCGGTCTCCCAGCGTTCCAAGAAGGCCAAGTGAACCCCGTACGTTGAGTTCATCACGTTATTGAAAGGAACATGCTGCCCAATCGATGAGGTTTTAAGGTGAAGCATAATGTATGATCTTTGGCAAACTTTCTGAAGCAGTTTTTGGGGTGTCTTTAATGAGATGTTTTTCTCAACATGAATTATAAGATGATAGCATGTACACTCAAGCCTCAATATAACAAAGTCACATCTGCTGCAAAACTTCTCTATATTTCGAAATTTGTTTTAAACGTTATGGGAGCGGCAGCCATTATGAGATACAGCGGTACCAGCAGCACTGTATCTATAACAAGACTATGCTTCACTTACTTCGTTATATCCATGCTCGTTATATCGAGGTTTTAGTGTACGTCATTGCGAAAACAGCCAGGTACTTGCAGTGTCTGCTTATGTACTGTACTAGAGGCTGCGCAAATGAAAACTGTAGCCATTACCAGCATGGCCACATTACAAAAGTGGCTTCAGTTGTATAGATACTATGAATTCATAACAAATTTAAGAAAAGGGAAATTTTGCTTCAGCTAGCCTCTTGAAACCTCATTGGTACGTCTGGTGACCTCCCTTTTCACTTAAAATTACCTGTTCTCTCTTGTGCAGGGCTAACCATTCCAGAAATTCAGCAACTCCTTGGCGATGCAGTCAACAACATAGTCAAGTACTTCTACAAGTCCGAGCGAGAGGTCAGGCTCGGTTGTTTTTCTCGTCATTCGAAAACTCTCCACCAAACAATAAATTTGGGTTGATCTGTTTGCCTGATTTTTGTAAGGTCAGAAGGGCCGTGAACCACTTTTTTAAGTAATCATCGAATGACCTCAGCATCAGAGTTTATTGCCTCACAAATCGATTGCCGCAGAGATATCTGGAATCTATCCTGAACTAGCAGAGTTACACGGGTTCTACACATGCTCTAGGCTCTTTCTCTCTTCTCTCGCCCCAACAAGCACGTTGGAAACTGCACAGGGAGGGATGGCACACAGGAGAGAGCGATTATGTTGTTACTCATCATGACCTTGAGTGCGCGTTATGCAAGGTCATTGCTCTCTCCCACTGCGACTCCTGCAAGCGAGTGTGGCGTACTGTGTAATCTTAGCAAACTATGGAACACGGTGCTGACACCCCATGACAAGAAGCCTCTGTGATCCAAATCCCACTCTTGATTTACTTCAGCCGTTGGCCAATAGCAAGCTGTCTGCTGTTCGACGTCAAACAGCAGGCTCTGAAAGCTCTGGAGAAAGTGAGCGAAGGCTTATGTATGGAAATAGGACGCCTGAGAAAATGGCAACTTTGTGCTCTGCTGCGCACGACTTCAAGATTTGGCGGAGACGTTCCTTGCTGTATTTGCTGCTCGCAGGCTGTGTTTTCTCTCTAAGCCAAAGTGATGATCCACAACCACTTCTTTATTGTAGTGCTCAGCTCACTGCAGTGCTCAGCTCACTGCTTTGTGTTTGCCTCTTTGTGATGAGCTAGTCTACTCGGGGCTATCTAGATTGCTGCTTCCATTGCGTATTGATGTGTCAGGCTCGAAAAAACGGGATACTGGGATTGTGTAGCACAGCGAAGAAACAAAAGCGTGTGTGCTTTGTTTACTTTCAGAGGGGCAACTTGACGATCCTGCTTTGTGGAGAGCTGGGCCTCGTTTATTGCTTAGAACAGGTCTTCCTGTATGGCTTCAAAGACACGCGCTTCTTCAGGCACGTCTACCTCTGGGAGTACTTTGGTGTGTATTCAGTTCTCTACTAAACTTGTTCTACGTCTGTGAAAAACGAAAAAAAAACAGTAAGAGCGTGCTTTCTCGCCCTCACTTCCTCATTTACGAAGTACCTTTAGGGTGCAGTAAAGGCTATGTTGGCTAGAAGGGGTGCTGGGTCAATTATTAAGCGAGGAAGCACGCTCCTACTGTAAGAAATAAGGATGGTACGCATTCAAGCACACATTTTGCACGTGGATGCATGCCAGGCTTCATGGAAATATTGCCACACACCCTCCTTCTTATGTTATATGTTGCTGGCACATTGCTCATGTAGGTACTGCCTTGCGTAATGTGCGCCAGAATGTCTGAAGGCATTATAGATAGTTGTCTGACCACCTCTTTCACGTGCTAATGGGATCAGCTGAGTTCATTCTGGAACATACTCGGCCGTCAGTGATAATGCTCGCACGTTCAACGCCGCGTGTATAATTGTCGACATGCGTCACCACAGATCAGATTATCGACAGTCGTTGTTCTGTTCACCGATATCAGTGTACAGCATGCGTTGTTGGCTGTAGTTTCCGTTTCCGAGCCACCAGCTCGGCCAGATAGTTTTACTTTGGACATGCCATCTCTGCCTTTGTCAACGTCATGGCCATGTCATAACATGGATCTTGGAAGCAAACAAGATCAAGGTAGCTTATGGGAAATTTTAGAGGCATTTTTTATATAGAAGAGTAGTTGTGATTGATTGAGCAAAGTTCCAATCCGCCTGTATGAGTCAGAAATGCAGTATCTAGAAAGTGTCCGATAGCATGGTTAGGTAGACGGAAGGTTTAAGCCTTCGGTGATGGTGTTGGCGAATAGGTGTACAGTAGACTCTCATTAAATGGAACCTGAAGGTACAGGGAAAATATGTTCCGTTTAACTGGGGTTCCATTTTCTAAGAGGTGAACATTGATGCATTATACAAGCCTGAAACCAAGCATTGCAGAGGTGATAGTTCTGTTTAAGCAGTAGTCTTGTTTAACAGATTTCCGTTTACTGAGAGTCTGTTATACTTAATAAACATGCCTTTATTCCTCAAGGAATACACATCTGTAAGTGAATGCCATCTGACCTGTCTATGTGTTGCTCTGTTTTTCAGTGTGATCATGATTTTGGTGCTTAGTTCACTTTTGATTCCAGACATGCACCAACTATCTCAAGAGCGAGTATTACGTACTAGAAACTTCTTACGTTTATTTTTTTTCATTTATTAATAAATTGATAGTGAAAAAATAGAGACACTGGAGTTTTTATAGAATAATTTATTTATTGTTTCACTTTAGTACCCCTTTAAATGTGAGCTCGAGCTCGTAAGTTCAATATCTGGCAATGGTGACCACGTTTTAATGTGAGCGAAATGTAAGAGGATTGTGTACTTAAGGTTCAGATGCAAGTTAAGCCCAAGTGGTGAGCATTACTCTGGAGATCCTGCTTAGTACACTCAAATGTCTAATATAACGAATCCAGATAAACGAAACATTGATTATAACAAAGTAAATGAAGAATAGTCCTGTAATAGATATAATCTTAGGAATATACCTTTATAATGAATTTTTGGATATAATGATCTTATTTTCGTGTATGATGCTACTTCATCATAAGGACGTTTTGAGTTTAGTGTGCCTCTTCTAGCCAATCTTTCTAGACAGTACAGTTGGCATTCAGATGTGATGCATCCCTCTTTCGCACTCGCTTTGCTTTGTTATTTTTTCATTGCAGTGAAAGTCAAGGAGTACTTTGAGTCTGCTCTACAGGACAACATGGAGGAGGATCGACCAAACCACGTGTGGCGATGTTACTGCCACCTTGCAAACAAGGTGGAGCGTGCCTCGCACACCATGGGCAAGGACGGCAAGTTCCAGCTGTTCATCTGCCTCGCTGCCAGGTGGGGCTTTGATCATCTTTGGCCATCGTTTAGCTCCTTACGCGGTGCTGTAAGGTTCAGAGCGTGCACACGCGTGGTTGTTTTTATTTCGTGAGCGTGGCCTCATACCCATGTCGCTACGGGCAGTTGGAAGGCCATGAAACCGATGGTCTATTGACTCGACTGTCAAGCACGAGCTGCCACTCGGGCAATTTCGAAGGCCATTGAGCCAGTAGTCAATTGAGTCAACGAAGCACCCCACACCTCCGTTAGAATTGCAGTGCCCATTGAGCGATGGAAACAGAAACGGCGCAAACATGCCAACGTCAACAAGCGGTGACAATAGTAGCCACAGTTTAGTTGCTCAACAACTTAAAAACCAGACATGCATTCAGACAAACAATTTACGAAAATGTTAATACAAAAATAACAGACACATGTGTGCGTTTAAGAGTATTTTTATGTCACTTCACTTACGATAACATGAAAACAAAAATGAAGATTTGCAGCCCCACACAATTTTGGCAAGAAACACCTGAACCACTCAACGGTCGTTGAAAACTATCATGTAGCAGCGCGACAACTCTGTCGAGTCAATGAAGCTACAACATTTCGATGGCCGTTGACTCGACGGCCTTTCAAAAATGCCCGTGTGAGACGGGTATCAGACCACAGCGATTGAGCATTTCGCTGGTTCATCCTGTGATGCGCTTAATGGATGCTTCAGAAACTTGCTAAGCTGTGCTTACAGCTCTCACAATTGCTTCTGTCACTTGCAGCCAGCTCAACAATGGTCTCCAAGGTCTGTGTAATGAGCAGTTGGCCTGTAGTTGAGCCGATAGCAAGTTTGTGTCACTTCTGGAAATTTTACGTTCCACATTTGTTCAGTTATTAAACGGCAGGGAGTGCTGTAATGAATATGATCCAACTTGGTTACAGGTAGACGAGTGTACTGCAATTCCTGTACATGTTTGTGTCTTCTGTTTTGACACAAGACTTTTTCTGTTCCTTTAATTTGTACTTGTCTGTACATTGTGTGGCAGGTACTACATTCGATTGTAGTACTGGAAATAATTGTATAATTTAAGACTTCTGTGTGGCGAGATTCACTGCTGTGGTAAAATTCATAAGAACTGTGCATTTAAATTAATAAAGAGTGCTGCTGTAAGGTCCAAGGGCATGCAGTACCTCGTCAGGTTGTTAATCACCTTGTTTAATTTCGAACGTGGGTAGGGCCTTGTCAGAAAAATGTCTCATATTGTCGCTGCTTTAAGCGCAATTTTTTAATGACCTAACCTTTTACCCTGTCCATACCACTGTCTTGTGCAGGGAGCACTTTCTGCACCAGATGATGTTCGACTTGGCCGCCTGCCCCGTAACAGCCACGATGTACGAGGAGAGGTCATTCCTGCGCGACGCCAACCTCATCGTCTTCCTCGTGCAAATCCTTGAGGCCCTCTCCGAGTTCGACATCGCCCTCGAGAGCTCCATTACCCGTGGGGTGGACAACTGAGACGAAGTATCAATACGCCATGGCAGCAGTACGATACCATTGCACTAATATTACAATGCAGTTACATATAAAAGCGCCACAGGTCTGGTGTGTGTATTACCATTGTAGGTTTTCTAATGACAAATGGGAATGAAAATGTCGCAGCACAGCTGCAGGTCACGATTGAAGGAGTGATGTAGTGCGGCTGCATAGGAAAATGCTGCAGTTCAGGTTTATGTCATCATTACAGGAACCTTGTGGCGCAGTGGCATTCAAAAGTGCCACAGTGCACATGTATGTTACCACCTATAGGAGTCTTGCGGTGCAGTTGCTCATTAAAACGCCATTGTGCAGCTGTACATTGCTGTTCCAGGAGTCTAGCAATGCTGTTGCATCTGAAAGTGCCAAAGCACAGCTGCATGTTACCAATGCAGAAGTTTTGCGGCGCAGTTACATGTGAAAGTGCCACAGTTTAGGTGTATGTTACCATTGCTAGGGTCTTGCAGGGCAGATGCATATGAAGATGCCATAGCTCAAGTTCATGTCACTGTTACAGGGGCCTTACAGTGCAGTTTCATATTAAAGTGCCACAGTGCACCTGCAGGTTATCGATGCTTAAGTCTTCTGTACCCTTGCATATAAAAAATGCTACAGTGAGGGTGTATGTTCCCGTAGCAGGAATCTTGCAGTGCAGTTGCATATGAAAATTGCGCAAGTTTGGATGTATGTTATCGTTGCAAGGGCCTCACAGGCCATTTGCTTATAAAAGTGCCACAATTGGATTTTGTGTAGCGAGGCAGTGTGGTTAGTTTCAAAGAGGCATGGACACATTAACCCATGTCATTCACATGCACCACCTGATCCAGTTTACAGGGTGCTGATGCACCCTGAATTTATTTATTTTGTGAAGAAGAAGATGTGCCTGCAGCGAGCAGCATCGCCAATGCCCGGCTCTCTCGGCGCGTGCTTCGGTTCGTTGCTGTGTCGATCGCTGGACGGTTCTTCACGCTGTCTCGTCGCTGTCTCAATGGAGCCAATGGAGCTACAACATTTCGATGGCCGTTGACTCGACGGCTTTTCAAAAATGCCCGTGTGAGACGGGTATCAGACCACAGCGATTGAGCATTTCGCTGGTTCATCCTGTGATGCGCTTAATGGATGCTTCAGAAACTTGCTAAGCTGTGCTTACAGCTCTCACGGCTTAACGGCTGATAAACCTCCTCACATTTGGTGGAAGGTGCTGTAAATCCCCGTTGCTACACCCTGGAGCTGCGAAGCCGCACGCTACCACCTGTCATGACTGCCAACGCCACTACATCGACGCCTTCGCTCCAGTTCAACTGCCCTGGCCATCCTATGCTATGGGAGTCGAAGGTCTTCAGCGGTGCGGATGGGACCGACGTCGAAGACTGGTTCGAGCACCACGAACTGGTGAGCGCCAACAATAAGTGGGATGAAGCCGACAAGCTGGGCCACATGATATTTTATCTCACTGGCGTCGCCGAATTGTGGTTTAATAACCACAAACACAACATCCCCACATGGAGCGTCTTCAAGACGTCATGTGCTGAAGTGTTCGGTCGGCCGGCTGTCCGCAAGCAGAGGGCAGAACAGCGCTTGCGCGTCCGCTCTCAGCAGACTGGCGAGACCTTTACCAGCTATATTGAGGACGCCGTCGACCTTTGTCGACGTGTGAATGACACCATGCCCGAATCTGACAAGGTCAAAAACATCCTGAAGGGCATCGACGACGGCGCATTTCAAATGCTCTTGGCAAGGAATCCAAGCACAGTTTCTGAAGTCGTCAGCTTGTGTCAGAGATACGACGAGTTGAAGAAGCAACGCACTCTGACTAGGCAGCCTCAGCCTGGTGGTGAGTCGCTGTCCACTTTCGACTCCATGCCCGACAATTCACCATTGCTTCAGCAAGTCCGAGTCCTTCGTCCGTGAGGAAGTCGCCCGCCAACTTTCCCTAGTGCTCTTTACTCACGAGACCCCCACCCGTCTACCTGCCCCGCTTCGCACTGCTATATCGGAAGAGGTTGCACAAGCTGTTCCTCTTGCGCACTACGAGCCACCTCTATCTAGCCGTGGTCACTGCTCGTGTGTCGCACAGCCGGTAGGCGCTCCTGTCGCCTATCCGCCAGCCGTTCAGCCTGTGGCCGCGCCCCTAACCTATGCAACGCAGCCTGTGGCTCCTCCTGTCGTCTTTTCGCAAGAGATGCAGCCCGTAGCCGCGCCGCTCACATACTGCAGACGCTGTACGTAGGCTCCCGCAACCACCCTAGACCACGCGCTCACAGCCCGCACACCCGGCTACTTATACTGCACCTTGGGCGGCAGCACCAGTCGCCAAGTCCCTGGGGTACGCCCGATAACCAACCGATTTGCTACGCTTGCTTCACTCCCGGACACGTTGCTCGCTACTGCCGCCGTCGACCTCAGACATTCGGCAACTATGCCCGGTCGTCGCATCCCGGCAGCCAACCCTTCGTCCAATACGGGCCGGTCTCGCCACCTCACTATGCGCCTACTGACCACCTTGACTTCCAGCCGCAACGCGCACCCTCTCTTCGTCGGCGATCACCCTCCCCCATGCGTCGCCGGCCCGGACCCTCCGACCAGGAAAACTAAGCAACGCAGTTCAAGAGGCAAGAACTGCGCCGTTTTCGAACTGTCCAAACCCTCGCTCCTCTCCTGCTAACGTGGTCGCAGTAACTGTTGAAGGTTATTGCACTTTCGCCCTTGTGGACACTGTTTCTGTGGCGCCGCTGTTTCTGTTATTGCCGCTAATCTCTGCCATTTATTACGCAAAGTAACGACGCCGCTTTCGGGACTGTCGCTTCACACCGCAAGCGCACAGCAAGTAACGCCTCTCGCAGCCTGCACTGCAAGAGTCTCCATCGAAGGCATTCTTTACATCGTGGAGTTTATTGTTCTTCCTGTCTGTTCGCATGACGTCATCCTCGGGTGGGACTTCCTATCCTGCCATAATGCCGTCATAGACTGCGCACACGCCGAAGTTGAGTTTTCACCCTTGTGTGATGTCCCATTACTGGACACTCCTCATCAGCCGCCGAAGTTGCTCGTTCATGAAGATACCGATATTCCGCCTGGAAATTTCGCCCTTGTTCCCGTTTCATGCAACGCCTACACTGACGCTACAGTTCTTTTTATGCCTTCCGATATCTTCAAATGTCGTCGAGCTTTGCCGCTGCCTTTCGCAAGAATTGACCTTGCCGCCGGAAGAAGCAACATGTTCGTAAGCAATCCGCTTTCCACACCTGTCACATTGCTTGCGGGGGAATGTCTCGGCCGCGTGCAGGATCTCGACCCTTCGTTTTTGTTTGATGTCCCGGACGACTACTGCGACCACACAAAAGCACTGTCGGCACTCGGGGAGTCGTCCAATGATACGTTTTCCAGCGCCATCGCCGGCACTCTCACTCCCACCGAACATGCCAACCTGCTGGATCTTCTGCATGAGTTCAGGAGTTCGTTCGATGTGTCGCAACCTCAACTGGGCCGCACATCACAAGTCAAACATCATGTTGACACCGGCCTACACCAGCCACTGCGTCAAAGACCATACCGTGTCTCCGCTGAAGAGCGCCACGTCATCAACGATCAAGTCGAAGATATGCTTCGTAGAGACGTCATTCGACCATCTCACAGTCCCTGGGCGTCTCCCGTCGTCCTGGTGCGTAAGAAAGACGGATCTATCCGATTTTGCGTGGACTATCGTCAGTTTGAATAAGATAACCCGCAAGGACGTCTATCCTTTGCAGCGCATTGATGACGCCATTGACACCCTTCACGGAGCGGAATTTTTCTCGTCGCTAGATTTGCGGTCTGGCTACTGGCAGGTCCCAATGGCAGAAGCCGATCGCCAGAAAGCGGCATTTATTACACCAGACGGACTATATGAATTTAACCTCATGCCCTTTGGGCTTTGTAACGCGCCTGCCACGTTTGAACGTCTTATGGATAATACGCTACGTGGCCTCAAATGGAATATGTGCCTTTGTTACCTCGACGATGTCGTGGTTTTTTCCCATGACTTTCCTACGCACCTCCTTCGCCTCAGGCACGTTTTGAGTTGTCTGACCAACGCTGGTCTGCAGCTTAACCTGAAAAAATGCCGCTTCGCTGCACGCGAGCTCGTCATCCTAGGCCACATCGTGTCCAAGCACGGCGTATTACCAGACCCAGCAAAACTTCGAGCAGTCACAGAATTTCCCAAGCCGACGACCATGAAGGAACTTCTCAGTTTTGTAGGCCTATGCTCTTATTTCCAGGCGCTTTGTTCGCAATTTTGCATACTATCATGTCACCAGTTAACCCAGCTTCTTCGCCGGTGACGTGAACCTCACCTACTGGTCCCCTGTATGTGACGTTGTCCTTCACTACTCTGCGCCGTCTGCTCACTTCCCCACCTTTTCTTCGCCACTTCGACCCGAAGGCTCCTACCGAAGTGCACACCGACGCCAGCGGCGTCGGGCTAGGCGCTGTCCTCGCTCAACGAAAGCCCGGCTATTCAGAATACGTTGTAGCCTACGCTAGCCGCACTCTGATGAAAGCCGAAACTAATTACAGCGTGACACAAAAAGAGTGTTTGGCTCTGGTGTGGGCGCTTGGAAAGTTCCGGCCGTACTTATACGGCCGCCCGTTCGATCTAGTAAATGATCGCCACGCGCTTTGCTGGCTCTCCATGTTGAAAGACCCTTCTGGCCGCTTTGCACGATGGGCACTTCGCATACAGGAGTACGACATTCGTGTCGTATACCGCTGCGGACGCAAACACTCTGACGCTGATGCCCTGTCCCGCTCAGCTTTACCACCAGATCAGACGTGCGGAAAACTTGCCTCCAGACCTTGTCATCGCTAAATCTCGACTCGATTGCCACCGAACAACGTCGTGACCCGTGGATCGCCTCTCTTATCGAATATTTATCTGGCACGCCCAACCTTCCAGTATCTCGATCCCTCCGACGTCAAGCTTTCCATTTCGCCATCCACGATCAACTTCTTCATCGACGCAACTACGCTCCCGATGGCCGCCGGTGGTTGCTGGTCATTCCACGCACTTTACGATCGCAAGTATGCGCCTCCCTTCACGACGATCCGCAATGTGGCCACGCCGGAGTGTTCAAAACATATGAACGCCTTCGCCATCGCTATTACTGGCGCGGCATGTACAATTTTGTACGTAAATTCGTGCAGTGCTGTCCTGACTGCCAGCGACGTAAATCAACACTGCCACGTGCGACTGGCGCATTGCAGCCACTTCCATGCCCTGCCAAGCCATTTGATCGCGTCGGCGTTGACCTCTACGGTCCCCTTTCATTGACACCAGATGGTAATCGGTGGATTATAGTGGCGGTTGACCACCTGACACGCTACGCCGAAACAGCCGCTTTGCCGAGCGCTACAGCTCAGGATGTCGCCTCTTTCATTTTGCAACGCTTTATCCTTCGACATGGTGCACCTCGAGAGCTCCTTAGCGACAGAGGCCGCGCTTTCCTTTCTGAGGTCGTCGAAACTCTGCTTTCGGAATGCCACGTCATTCATCGGAAAACGACAGCATACCACCCGCAGACTAACGGACTAACGGAACGGTTCAACCGCATGCTAGGTGATATGCTCTCAATGTACGTGGCATTTGATCATAGCAATTGGGACCGTGTTCTCCCATACGTCACGTTCGCATATAACACTGCAATACAAACCACCACGGGATTCTCACCTTTCTTTCTTCTTTACGGACGTGAGCCTTCCCATACAATTGATACCCTACTTCCTTACCGTCCTGATGCTTCCGAGTGTCCACCTATCTCCGATGCTGCTAGACAAGCCGAAGAGTGCCGCCAGCTCGCCCGTGCGTTCACCTCGGAAGAGCAACAACGCCAGAAAGAAACCCGTAGCACCTCTCTTCCGGATCCCAGCTATGCCCCAGGGTCTCTTGTGTGGCTTGCCATCCCATACCAAACACCAGGACTCTCCTCGAAACTTGTCCCCCGGTACGAGGGGCCTTACACCGTTTTGGAGAAAACCTCTCCGGTTAATTTCCTAATTGAACCAGTTTCCCGATCGGACGACATGCGCCGGCGTGCACGTGACATCGTCCATGTTTCCCGACTGAAACCGTACCATGAGCTTTTGCCTGAAACTTCTTAAGTCGCCAGGATGGCTCCTTTTTCAGCGGGGGCGATTGTGAAGAAGAAGATGTGCCTGCAGCGAGCAGCATCGCCAACGCCCGGCTCTCTCAGCTCGTGCTTCGGTTCGTTGCTGTGCCGATCGCCGGACGGTTCTTCACGCTGTCTCGTCGCTGTCTTTAACGGCTAATAAACCTCCTCACAATTTATTTATTTATTTATTTCAACATACTGCAGCCTTGAAGGGCTATCACGGGAGTGGAGGCAAAACACCAAAGTTGCATAACAACACAGAAGATCAGTGGTTATTTGTTTCAACATTGCATCAGTGGCATTACGTAAACCACACTGTTTTTTGTGTGCGTGTGTTTTTCAACAGGCTGAGGAAATGTGCTGGGCGGGTTCACAGCGCCATTTGCGCGCATGCGGACGTGTGGGAATGAAGCAGCAGCAGCACGGCTCACAACACTGCGTACAATCACAGGCGCTTTTTAAAACCCACTTACTTGAGAATCCGCTGCTCCTGCACAATCGGGACGCGTGTATGCCTCGGAGACCATCCATGCGAGCAGTTTGTGAAGATCTCAAACCTGCATGGATGGCGCACATAAAGTTAACAAAAAGTAACACCTGCAGTGCGTTGGCACCTCGCCATACTTTTCTAGTGTCGTGTTATGCCCACACTGGTGAACTCGAGCCGTGCAATTTCTTAACTTCTCTGACCACAATCGGAACTGGTTCAGAGCAGTGCAGGTCAATTAAATGTATTTATTGTAGAAAGGAGAGCTGGCACTATGTAGCTGGCGATATCAGCATGCCACAATGTGCATGAATGTGCGTTGTATATTGACGGATATTGGATAGAGTACTGATGCATTTAGTTATTGTGTTGGCTTCAATTTTCGCAATCCTGTCTAGATACAGACCACATACAGACGAGCTGGTACTCTAGCACTTTCTCTAAAAGTGCATCTAAGTATAATCAGCCACATTTAATTCTGTCATGGTTTTGCAATGTTCTTTTATCGCTTTAAAAATAAAAAGATGGTGGTACGTCCTCTTTATTGCAACAATTTCATGCTGACATTGTTTCATTATTTGAGCAGTCAGTTTACCCAAACTAGTTTTGCTAACACAAAATATGTTCTTTTTTTTGCACACTCCGCAGTTTGATTCACAGGACGAGCCAACGCAAGCGTACTGGTTCATTTGAGGAATCACGGGCGACACGTGACAGCCATTGGCACTGACAGAAGATGGCCTGCGGATTTGGCCAAGCCCACTGAATCTCCTCTCGGCCAAACGTTGGGCAACGTTGCCTTCAAATGTCGTGCGCGGCGACGCAAAGTACGACGTTTAACGTCGTTAGTTCCTCTAGCGGGAAAATTAACTAATTCCCCAGTGTGCAGTGGTTCCTGCGTGAAAGGAGAAAAAAATTGTTTTGTTCGTTTCTCGCTCATAGTTATACAGACTTCCGTGGCTGTACTTTTCGCGTCTGTGTTGTTTCGTTTTAAGATTCGTGCATGTAATTAGCGGTTCTGTGTGTTCGCCAGGGAAGGTGATGTCCGTTTTGGAGTGTAGCTGCGACAAAACAAAAAATCGCTTCGGCGAGGAAATACTCCCTAAGTGTTCTTGTTTTTCATCGTTTCATCATGTCGTGTCTCCCATTATATTCAGTGTACATAGCAAATTATCATTCAACCGACCCTTGTAGTAGGCAGGGAGTAACTCCGTGACGAATTTTTAACGGAACAAGTCATGACTAATCTCCCATTAAGTTTTTGTTCATGTTACTGCTTGTTATGTTTGTTCCTTTTTTTTAGTCATTTTACATAGCTTCAGATTATGCACTACACCACTTCATTTAGTCATGCCTCACAGGTGTTTCAGAGTTCATTGGCTTCAAAACATTATTGTGCTCTGTCTATATACATAATTAAAATGGTATTGCCTTGGTGTGACTTGTTGGTTTACTTTGGCATTGGAATTATAGGAATTCGGCAATATCAGGTGGCAATATGACCCGGATGACTTTGAATCGACAGCTGTAGGGTATACGTGTGCAGAAGTTCAGTTTCAGTGTGACCATTCCATAACTTCTGCAGAACACTGTGCCCGGGCTGTTAAAAAAAAAAAGGCTTAATTGCGATCCTTCAAGATGCAAGTGTAATCTTTCGGTATCACATGCTTTAAGGCAGATGTGACAGCATTTTGTGTGTCACTAAATGTGGTACCGTATACATTGTGTGCATTTTTTAATAGAATGTTCATTCTTGTTGCACATGACTGATCAACAGCTGCACGTACCTTCCCTGTTCAGGGTGTTCATGTGATGTTCAACCAATCGCGTGCAGTGTGGATGATTGTTCTATTATAGATTGCACATAAGATCGCGCCTCTGGATTGGTATTTTATAGTAATGTTTTTCCCGGTGCAGACCTTTTTTAGGCTTCAGTTATGTTCAGAATTACGATATGCCCACGTTATCAACAGGATCACCTGGCTACTGACCATTTGACGACAAGACTGAGATAGAGTTGAGTGTAATGTATGACTATGATTTACGAGCCCTGGAAATCTTGTCACTCGTGAAATCGTGTCTAGAATAGTTACAAATCTGTCACTAAAGAATAGGATCCGAGCCTACACAGTTAAGTGTACATACTAAACTTGTCAAATTTATTTAATTCACCGTGTAAGATGACATATCTTGCCTCAAACGGGTGAAAGCAACTAAGTCAGTTATGGATCCTAGTTCAAGAGATTACAAACTCCTCCCTTTTAATTTTGGCTTCTTAGACTCTTGTTTGAGGATTGGCTTTGTCTTGTGTGAATCACTTTTTAAGCCTTCAATGTTTTATTGTCTCATTAAAGTGCCTTGTTTGGTGTTGTCGTTTATGATTTAGCCAACGTTCTCATTTCCAACTGTGTTCAGTGCCATTACTTATTATTCAAGCTTCTTAGTAAGTTCCTTTATAACAAATGTTTTAGTTATTGACCCACGGTAGACATCATGTGAGACATAACGCAAAACGACATTACAAATCTGCTTTTATCATCAGCAGTTTTGGCTGAAGTTATACTGCTCTCACAGGAAACGTAACAAAACTGAATTTGTTTTGTTGAATCTGTGAACTGACTTGTCAGAGAATGTCGTACGAAGGAGGTCTACTGTGTTGGTGTTGAGTGTTCCATGTGTAACTTGTGTTAAAATGTATTCTTATTGTATGACATAGTATTGCTCACTCCTTTTGTTAATGAAAACTTGTGACCCAGTGTACTGTGTCAATGTTTAGTTTTCTAGTCTTGGTGAGGGAGCTGGCTGCAAGACAGTTAATAGAAGTGCCAGTTATAACTGCAAGTACACGTGTTCCGTACTGCTGTTTTACTCCCTCATAGGTGTAATCCTAACTTTCTCCTTACATTTTAAAAACGGGTGTTCGATATGGGAGTGTATTTGCGACATACAATCATTGTCTGTCACGCCCACTTTTTGTTTGCGTTAACGCAGCACACTTGATATTTTCATTTTAGGAACTCTGTACGCTATTAGGTTTACATAGCACTAGTAACACGAACTTTTCAAGCACTGAGTTTCTACACTTTTAAGAAATAATGGTGTATTTGGGGAGTACTTCTGCAACTCAATAATAATCGTCGTCTGACTTGCTTGCCTTTCCTTTCTTGAAAAGCCGGCACTGGCCACTTTCCTGTCAAGAATGTTATGTCTAACTGATAACACTCGTACCGTTTGTGACCGGGAACTCTCGGAACCGTGGTAATAAAGCGAGAAAAGTATGCGAAGCAGATGACGATTATTGTTGTGTGGTACAAATACTCCCCAAATACTCCTTATGTTTTCCTAAAGTGTAAGGAAGTGAGTGCAAGTTAGACATCTTTGTGTGACAGAGACTTCCGAAAAGTTGAAACTCTCTTAAAAAGAGCTATGATATACGTGAGTATGCGCCACTGTTTAAAGAATCGTTAAGCTTACCTAGTTTTCAGAACAAATATTAGATAACTCAGCATACGCTTGTGTCTACATTGTTGCTAGACACAACCAGATGGCACTTGGGCCTAGAAAGCCACAGGGAACATTAAATGTTACTTTTAGCTGTAGTGCAGTAATTATAACATAAATTGAATTGTATTAATGGGAAAAAATGCCCCTTCCGGAAGTCTGTGATATTCGAACCTACAACCTTCCAAATACGCCTTCGATATTCTACCGCTTGAACTACGATGGAAAGCACTTCCATGCCCACCTTGTTTGGTATTTACCTGAAATTTAGGTGTTGTTAGCCAGTGCTGCTCATATCCAAGGTAGCGAGTTTCGGAACACTCTTTTCTGCTAGGGGGCATCGCGTGGTGCATTATCTTTGTACGAGGCAGCAGCTGACCAATAAACACTTTCATGCTAACCCAAGGCATTAAGCTTGTAGTGGCAGGGTCCTCGCAGTGAACAAAGGATGAGAAATTTTTGCAGTGTTGCTCTCATTTAAGAATAGGCTAGCTTTTACAACCAGTGTTCTTTTTTTTTTGCTTGGTGTGATGATTCACTGTATTTCAGAATTTTCTCTCAAAGCTTTTTGTTCGGGATGCCCCTTTGTTCTTACTATCAAGTATGCTCAGAACTAAGAGTGCGTTTTTTTTATGGTGTATTCAATTACTCCTGGAAGGTAATAATAGCACTCTGAGCAAACAGTTTACAGTACATAAAGCTACCTGTTCTTGCGTTACCTTTTATGAACATGTGAACTGATACATGATATATTTTCTATCTACATATATTTCTTGTATTGTATATTTCCCATATCATATATTTCACGTATCGCATATTTCTCGCATCATATATTTCTTGCTCTTTGTCACCAGAATGGCGCATGACATGCGAACCTAACATGCAAACCTGTTAATGTGTGTTTGCCCATTTACATTGGCTAGCTGCTTCGTGCCATCGCCTGCTTGGCACCGAGCTTCTTGCAGCCCTCCTGCCTTACCAAGACTGTCAATTTATTTAGCAAACACTCTAGCTTTGCCCAGTACTATTTAATTTTCGGTTTTACAGCAGCTCAGATGTCTCGCTATCCCTCCTGGCCCCTTGCCTCTATTTTTTTATCTTATTTTTCAGTTTAACAGTATGTCGCACTCTTTTCAAAGCTGAAAAATTTCTACAGAGACCACGGCGTGCCTTTTGTGTGAAGCGTGACACACTTGTGTTTCAGCTTGTTGAGCGGAGTAGCACTGCCGACAGCTGAAAGTTAAAGCCTCTTGCAAACATTGGCCATATTTATCCTCCTCACTGCAGCATATTGCAACATCATAGTTCCTCGCCAAGACGAATGCAAAGTGTGTTGGGATTATGTCTGCAAAAGAGCGTGCGTTGTAACAGTGAGGGCCCACGTGCTTTTGCTCTGGCGTTCCTTTTGTCAAGCTTGTCAAACGTTTTGGAAGCTATGCCTTTGGAAAGAATTTAGTTGTGCGTTTAAGATAATCCAGTCAGCTCAAAGTTATCCAGCTTTCACCATTGTCTTATTTTTAGTTTTTTCCCGCATTAGCTGCTGATAGAGTATCATCTGTAAAAAAGTGATAGCTAACCAGGATGTCGTGCTCACTGCTGTTTTCTCTTCGTATCAGGCTATGTGGTTACTTTTTAAAGAACAATGTATAAAGTTTAATTATCATTAAATTCATGTAGCATTATGTCATGTATAGGAAAGTAGTACCTGGGATTTTGTGACGATTTTCTTTTTCAGATGAATTTTGTAGGCATGCTTGTATAATCTGGCCTTGTGTGTGTGTGTTTGTGTGTTCATCGCGTGTTGCATGTTGTTCATCGCTTCTCACAATTTAAATGCCAGAGCATCAACTTCCTACTTGATACAGCTATTTTTTAAATTTTTTTAGTTAATGTGAAGTTCCAAAGTTGTTTAAGGAGGAAAACGTTATTCTGCATACTACGTTTACGTTTGTATTGCTGGAATTTTGCCTTACGTGGGGCATTGTTTTATTACCCTTTCTTGGCTGTTTTGTTGAACATGCCAGCGGTTGGGTTGGTTATCTTGTGCAGTTACATTAGCCATTTGGTCTTTGTAGAGTTGCCTGTCTTGGCAAAGCTAATTAAAGATGTCATCTATCTTTGTAGCCCAAATCTACAGTATAATGGTATACGTGTACAGTATAATGATATACGCAGGGCGTGTTAGCGAAATACCAGGTTACTCGATTCTCATAGCACCTTGAGATGCTTGATCTAACCACTATTATAGACAAATTCTCAGTCCGCGCAGTGGTATAGTGGTCACAGCGCTCGGATGCTGATCCAAAGTCCTGGCCGTGGAAGGTGCGTCAAATTAGAGGCCATATGTCGAAGGCTCGTGTATTATGCAATGCCAGTACACATAAAAACACCAAAGCCCTTCACTCGTAATTTTGTTGTAGTTTTAGCATGTAAAACCTCACAAATTATTATCAGAGACAAGTTCTTTTGTATTTGACAAGTATTGTTGAGAAAAAAGATTTATTTGAGAGGACAATGAGTTCACGATTACGCCACTGCCGAAAATCGCAAAGTGGCATCCATTCCAGTACGGCAGTAGGAAGTATGGTAGTCTCGTTGAGCTCCACACCATGAGAGGGCATGACCACATTGGTCTTTCTGAAGCTCCTGTGAAATAGCTTATGTAGTGACACGTCAGTGTACAGGCACTTCCTCTCCTGTGCACTTTGTAGATTGCAAGTGAAGTTAGTTGAGCAACGAAGCTCGTGTATTGACTGAAGAAAGGGGCTTGTGCGATTCTTCCACTAAAGCGCCCAAGGGCACTGCTGTTCTAAGAGATGCAAAAGAAAAAGTTCTGCGAGACAAAGAGTGTAAAAAATGGCAATAAATACAATGTAACGTATACGGAAGCAAGTGGCATATTATTATTGTGTCTGACAGTATGAAAATATGCGGTACATAATCGGTTAGTGCGTGAAAGTGCTCGCTTCTGATGGCAGCAGCACTGCAGACTTGACGGCGCTGGGAAATCAGCAGTTTTTAAGAGTGGCGCGCTAGCCTTTTAGATTTTGTGAGCACCATCTTGTTTGTCCACATCTAGACTGTTCGGACTGTGGTTCCGGATGCTTCGTTATGCCAACCTGCTGTGCCAGTGATGCAAGTGAAACAGCAGGCACGAGAGCAAAAAAAAAAAACGGCGTTTTCACTGAAGTGGAAAAAATGTGTAGTTTTCTACAAAAAATGCGCAGCTGCTAGGAGAAGAGGCGGAGGTAAAAAGACTGCTTTGTATTTTTCAGGGGCTTTATTTCTTTAGTGTTTCATGCTCTTTACTGACCCGGTATTTTGCCGGTCTGTTTTCGTACACCAGATACATCAAAAGCCTTAATTGTCATCGCATGTTCTTTTGCGTCTTTAACTATAAAGTCATATTGCAAAATCCAACTTGCATCTTGTGTATGGTTTGTCGACATGTTGCTCAGTTGGTAGGCACAAATGGCATAGGAAATGTTATTCATCACTGTATGGGGATGTCCGAGTCATCTGTCATTTGCCGTCGACAAAAATCTCAGGCAAACGAAGTACAATATTCTCCTTTCTTTTCTCCTTTTAGACTGCCTTGCGTGAATGCAGATATTTAGAATTGTTTTTACCAGTTTAAGGTGTGTTCATGGTTCGTTCCTCCTTTTTTTCTGGTGGCTCAGCCATAGAGAAGATGCTCTTTCCTTTAATCATTTTCTTACCCGCTTAGCACCTTTTCATGCTCTCATTGTATTTCTGTTAAACGTGTTTATGTCTCACGTTTTCTGCAAATGAAAAGCATGATCTGATTATGCTGACAAGGTGGAGAAAAGAACAATGGTGCATTTTTCAGCAATCTGAATTATTTTGTTTTGAGGCTCCTGGATTCTGACGGTTTCATGTAATGTGTGTGATATAGTGTGTGTGTGTAAAGACACCTGGCCCTTGGGAACCATGAACTCGTGAAGGCGTTGAAACTGCTATAATGACATGTGCACAAGGTTTTCTAGATTTTTAATATGCTCAGTTCCTGAGTACTAGCTCAATGTGTTTCGATAATGTGTTTTAGCTGAGGAAACTGTACAAGCTGGAAGCTCAAAGACTGTAAAAAAGTTGCCTTTCCAACAACAGATTTCTCACAGGAGAGGAGTGCAGTGTCTATACTGTAAATTAGCGTGTGCTAAAGGCAAATGATATTGAGGACTTCTGAAATCGCTCTAGTAATGAAGAGCTGCTAATGCCATCTAATTAGTGAGGCTTGCTAAATACTTGTAGTATGGAGTGTTCCTTAACCCATTTATTGGTAAATATTTGTTAAAAGCTGCTGATCATGATGTGTCACTAAAACTGCCTAAAGCGAAAGCTTGCTAAAACTCTCTAATTATGTAGAGTCGTTTGCTAAAGCCACCTAGTAATGGTGACTAGGTAATAAAGTTACCCAGTAATGTGGAGTTGCTGAAATCATCTAAATGAGACTTGCTCAGACCCTCGTAGTAGACAGTTGCTGGAAATGTCTAATATTATATAATTGCTCCTATCTAATAATGGAGACCTTTAACACAGTTGCTAGAACCATCTAGTTATAAAGGCTTGCTAAAGATCACTTTGTAGAATTGCTGAAAGCATGTATAATAAACAGTCGCTAAACAACTGCTAAAACTTTCTAAAAAGGGAAAATTGCCGCGACACTTATTTAACGGAGTATTTGTTTAAAGTTAGCCTTAGTAAGCTTGGGCATTTGCAACAGTCTCCATGCAGCTGTGGAGCATGGTCGCATATTGTGAAATGCTATTTGCTAAAAACAATGGAGTACTGCTAAAACTTCTGTTGAAGAACTTTAACCTGTATACATAACTTTGTGGAATAGTATAGATTTTAACTGGAACAGCAGCTCTAGGAGTAATGCCTGGTAATGCTGCACGCAACCATAACAGTCACAGTGTTCACTTGAATGAATAACAATCTTCTACTTAGCTGCTGGCATATATATGCTAGCTACGACATGTTCTTTGTGTGGTTATCTATTGCTTTTATATAGCAAAGTATTTATCGGTGAATAGAAAATTGCACGCTAGCCAAGTGGCATCATTTCTGAAAAGACGTTTTTTTGCTTGTGCAGTGTTGTTATGCCTCCACCCAAGTTCATTTGGACATTTCACCTGGATTTGGGTATTGAGTAAAAGTTTGTAAAATGCCACCTAAATGGCGCTTTATGCCATTTTATGATAATAATGTGAAAGAGCGATGGGGCAAAGCTTTAGGTTTTGTGGCAAATCTGAAAAGTATGTTGAACTATCCTCAAGCAAGTAAGTTTGGGGGCAAATATCTTACTTTGCTTGCATGGATTAGCATGCACATGGAATCATGGAAACTTAAGAGCATTCATGGCTTTGAAAAGTTAGTTTCTATTTGGATTGAAAAGCATCAAACACCCTAATTTTCGTGCCTTTAAACATAGTGCAATGGAACACGCTTTTTGTCGGTTAAGAAACTGTGAAGTCTGTTCACACTTTTAGCGTTGCCGATCAAATTGTTATTGTTTGTTTGCTGACACACTGATGCAATTTTGGTGCTCTGTTATTGTGATTTGTCTGCACTCTGTCGCACATTATCTTGCATCACAGAGCTACACCGTCTGTTTCAACTGGCTCTTGAGTAGTTTCTGCTGCTCACTTGTGAAGGATCTTCATCAATGCACAATGAAAAACAAATAGTTCCATTTTTCTCCGTCACTGCATCAACGGAAACTGCACAAGATGTGTGCCCACTCAAAAATTCTCTGCCTTTTGCTTCTTACAAGTACTCGAAACCCCCATGCTAGCAGTCAATAACGCCAGTGAGATATCTTTTTTTTTTTTACTCTGAATTTGTGGCAACATTTTCACTAGCCAAGTATTTCAAATGACGGTATTCAAGCACTAACATGGCAATTTGAAACACGAATGATAAAGCTAGCAATCGCTGTAGATCTTTCAAATAATTTCTTATCTGAACACATCCGTACACTATCTGAGAATAAAAATTCTAAATCTGTGTGCATAATTAAGTTGAACATTTCGCTCCTTACATTTATATGTCGGAATAGTGGACATCGCAGGTTATTATTACATTGTTTAAATCTGCGTAACTGAATTGTGCAAGCTACTGCAACCTAATTTTTATATTCGTACTAATATGACTTTTATAAAAATGTAACACGGGTCATAATCCATAACAAGCAAAACTTTTCATGTTTGAAAAATAGTTCTGTCATCTCGGTTCATTTTTCGTGTCCCAGGTGCGTTTAGAAATTGCGCGCTGCCTTTAGTCTTGCTTAGACGGAACGTTAGAGTTACAAAAATCATTTTACATTATACCATTCTTGTCCTCAAAATACATTGCATAAGTATCTCATGATGTTGGTAACGTGTCTGCCTGCTCTCGCAATGACACATATTAGTGTACATAACACGCGAAACAAATCTATATTTTTATCTGTCAGTCCCCAGAATAGTATCTATATGTAGCATGCTTCTTACATTGTGTGCATGTTGATTGATCCTGGTCATCTTTATCTGCCGAAGCAAAGGAGATATTGCCCCTCTGGGATGTTCTCATCAGTTACATTGATACACGCCACATCTGTGTGTACAATGATATGTGTGTGTTTGTTTTCTCATCATGTACATATGTACATAGCCCAGTTTTTTGTTACTCAAGAAAAGGAGAGTTTGGCTAAGGCTTGTGTGCGGATTGTGAAATGCTTGTGTGTGTACGGTTGCGCAAGCAGAGCGGGGCGTGTTAGTGTTGCTTCTGTGTTGCTATGTCATGCTAAAGAGAGGTGTCATGTTCGTTGACCTTTGTGAATAATGGTGTTTCACTTGTGAGTGTTCGGAGAAGAACGTGAATGCTGCCTTCTTTTTCTCGGAATGTGAAGGAATGCAAATTAAATATGTGCTGCAGAAGGAAACCTTGAGCAATCATTTGTCCCGAGTGGGAATTCGGAGTTTCCAGTGAGCCAGCATCAATGGGCGTCCAGCAGTTACACTGGCAAATACAGTTAACATCTTTATAAGAGGCACTGAATTAAGAGACAAATGAGTATATGAGACAACAGTGTGCCTGTGTTGAAATAAGGGGTTAAGAAAATGCATACATGGTACTCTGCTTATAAGAGACACCTCACATATAAGACAAGATTTACTCCACACTGCATGTCTCTTATGAAGGGGTTCAACTATACATTTCCACAGTTTACCACACATGATATGGCTTTCGTATGTATGTAATAGATCATTGGCTGCAATATAAGAGATGTGGATATAAAATATCAGATAGAATAAAATACAGTTTACACTCTTTATATAAGAGTAATAAATACATACTGTTTGAATAAAACACTTTTGTTGTTGTTTAATATTTCTTTAAACATGTAACCATTCCATTCTGGTACCTGCAAAAACAGGACAGATTAATGTTGTTGAATTCGAGAATCCTTTGTGTTGAAGTGTAATAAGAGATACAAACTTTGGGCATTTTTTTGCCGATACTGGCATGTACGCATGATGAAGTGCTAGAGGAATTAAGATGTTTTTGTGTAGAATATGAGTTTTTTATAATAATTACGTGCTAACTTCAAATACGATATTACAGTCATTAGCTCATCATTTTTTGTGTTCACACCAAGTGCATAGTACTACCTTACCATCAGGTCTGTAAGAAAGACTGGAAATTGATACTGCTTCTTTAAGCCCCCCCTTTTTTTTTAATATTTGGAAAACAAAGTGTGCTGTGAACTTGGCGGCTTTTTATATTGAATAAAAAACTAAGACAAGTGAAAAGTCGGTCTTCTGTTATACTTCGCTTGATGATGTGTGGCATTTTGTGGCACAAGCCATATATAGGCCAAAGGGTACTAAATTGTTGGCTTCATATGTATGCTCTAGTTGCTTCATACAACCGGCCCCTCGGTTTAAATGCCGCTTTCCTCAATTGGGTAACTGGTTGCAATTGTTTTAAGGGTCATTACTGCTTACAAAAAAGCAGCAAGCTGCAAGTTTTGAAACAGATTGACGTTCAGAATGGCTAAGCAAATGTTCAAACAAGGGAGCTCGGGTACATTGTCATTCATGTCATTCTGGCATTTTCCTCTCTATATTTTTAATAGTAGACAAAGAGCGCCGCCGTGCTGTGCTGTAGCACGTGAGTACAAAGGCTGACGTCACAGCCTTGGCAGTGCGGGGGTCGCGAGATACCCTGCAGCCAGTCATTGCAAGCCTTCTTTAACATCTTAGATTGCAGTGCACCTCATCTAAAACCGTCGAAGTTGATCTGTACTTTGCGACTGTTCGCAATTTTATGACCATAGAAGCATGCGCGGTACACGCGCTAATGTGTGTACTATCGTACAAATTTGCCGCTTTTGTTTCTTTTCCCCTCTTCCCCCCTCTTTTTTCTTTTCCCCTCTTCCCCTGCGTAGAGTAGCAAACCGCGTGTACAACCTATACCTCCCTGCTTCTCCCTTACTTTTCTCTCTCTCTTGGGGGGGTGAGGACGTCGCGCATATTCAGCACAGTCCCGCCGCCGCCTAGGCAGCTGTCTATACTTTTCTGACGGAGAAAAGTATCCCCTCCTATCTCAGCTGTTGGGCGAGAGCGCAAAAGCTGGCGTCACAGCATCCGCAGTGAATTTCTGAAGTTCATGCGCATTTTAGCAACAGTCCAGAAAGGACGAAGCCGGTGCATGCCCAAAGTGTGTGCGTGTGTGTGCATTTGTAACCTATTGTGCCAACTTCCAGCCCTTATTTGACCATTGTGTGTAGAGGAATGCCAGTAATTACACACAACGCGGAATTATTTGTAGGTCACTATGCAGTGACTTCGTTAATTATACCATTAAATGGTAGTATATATAGGTGTATGGAAAAGGGACACAGTGATAAATCAGGTCGCGGAGAACATTGCTTGCTTTCATTTAGGTTCAAGTGCAAACACTTTTATTTTATCTCCTTCCGGGCGTTCGGCAACGGCAAGCGCGATTGGCCCGAAGCCAGCTGTCGTTGACTCGTTGCAGCTGAGTCCACAGAACACCTACACTGATTTTTCCTAGTCCTAGCTAGAGTTATGGTAGTCATGTAGTGTATAGGTGTTCAGTGAAATTCATGTATATGCTACCTTTAGATAGCTACCTACGGTAGCATATATCGCGAGCACCTTCTGGACAAATGCGTCAGCGAGCGAACTCTCAAAGTGAACAAAAACTGATTGCACACATAATCCCCGCGATTGAACGTGTAAATTCGCTCGATGAAATTGCCGTTTTTGTTTTCCTGGTGGTTCCGATATCAGTCTACAGCTGTAACGCCTTATGCATAATAATTCAATAAGCATCGTTAAAAAATAATAAAAAAACCTTCCCCAGGTGAGGCTCGAACTCACAACCCCGGCATAGCTCACGAAGCACTGTCGTATAAGTACCGTGCGCTAACCAATTGCGCCACTGGGGAGATGAGGCGCATTGTTTCTTAAACGTGGATAGACCTGTATAAATGTCAAGTTTCTTCATTCAATGGCCTGAATTGTCGAGCTCGATCGGCTCTTCAGGATTATAGTGCTGCCATAATCCCCTATAGCTAGGCTGTGGTTACCATACTGTGGTCATGGAAGAAGGAAATGGCTGTAGTTAAGTCAGTAAAGTCCCTAAATTCTGGGGACTCGCGTGCCACCCAATAGTGCTCTGGCCGCGGCTCTGGCGAAGCGGTGACGTCGGTGAGATAACACATGCCACACCAACGCCTCCTCTAGAAAGATGCCTGAGGAATGGCTCGCGCTCCCAGCGAAGTTGGCCTGCCTTCAGTTTTAAACAAGCTCCGCGCGGTGACGCTCGCGACCGACGCTATCATCACGGCGACGGGTGGTACCTGCTTAGCGTTTTTCATCTGCGGCCCATAGCGGCGCGTCAGTCGAGAGTTGTTCGAAACCTGCAACTGTACACCGCTATTTCGGAGGCTATCCAAAGTCTTGCGTTGTTGCACCGTCCGCCACAGGTGACGCTAGCGACCGAGAACATTTTCAAAATGAAGGAGAGAAAGGATGGGGCAGCTTTTTCGTTTTCTCATGCGGCAGGTATCTTCCTAGAGGAGGCGTTGGCCACACTCCAGAAAACAAAATCCAAATAATGGATAAATTGGTAAGCCGCGGAGCCTTGAAGAAGCTATAGAGACAAATGGTCTCGTCTTCTTCATGGCAGCAAAACTTACAGCTTTAGAGTAAATTGCTGGCTTCAGCTAAATTTTGTGTTCATCACTCCATAAAGGAGCTCAAGTGCGCGTTTTACATAGAGTTTTAAACAATATGAAACAAAGTTTTCTGTAATGAAACTCTGCGGTACAGTGTGCGTGCAGTGTATTTGCGGCCCAGAGCTATTTCTATGTCCTCCTGCTTGGTCCATGGTGGTAGAATGCTCGTAGGTTTTGTTTTTCTGCGTGTTTTTTGTGGCCCCTAGTAAGATGGTGTTCTGCCAGCTTCAAGCCCTTTGCTGCGTTATTACTCCACACCGTGACTTCATTGTTCTGCGCTCTCCGGCATATGTGTGGTCGCGGGAATTTATTTTGTGGGTATTTGTTGACGTTTTTGTTTGATTCGATGGTGTTGCGTGCTCGTCGTGTGCCCGTGTTTTGGACCCTCGTAATCGGTAACCCCGCGCTATGGCTCCTTCACTGCGCAGGTCAGGTAAGATACCAATTGTCTTCATTTACTGCAACGACATGGGCGCAAAGTTGGCTTTTCGTGTCACCGTTGGTAAATGTGCTACGTCGATTGTGCGCAGCATGCCGTGATCGCGCTTCAATGAAGCTTTTGTGGCTGTAAAAAACAGGCTGCATCAAAAGTTTATTTTTCCCTGTTTTCTGGCCTGTCGCCTGAATTCAAAACAGAAATGTCTGATCGCCCCTATACACTCGTATTTAGTAACGGTTGCACTATCACTTCCTTGTTGTGCGTCCGCAACAAATTTGCGTATCTTGCATGATAAACCGAACCGTAGCAATGACTTTTCGCGTGATACGGTGCATTGACCTCATACATATGGTCTGGGCTTTCGTAAATTTTTACGCTGATGTGTTGTGCACGGTACATTGCCGATGTGGTGGCGAAGTTGTTGTGGCCAATTTGTTTGTCCTTCGGTGCTCATGTACGAAGTTTGTTGCATCTGTCAATCAATATGAATCGCAGAACATTAGTACCAAGCTCGGGCTTGCCTTAAAAGCGTTTCCCGAGCACGTAGATATGTGAAAAGACGCGATATGGGTGGTGATCGCATATAAGTATTGTACAGCGGCTGTAAAGATAAAACTCGTGTTTGGGGGGGGAGGGGGGGTATGTGCCTGGTGTGTCACCCCCTGGCTATGCCATTGGTTCCCATAGCGTATCATTATGTGTTTTTGTAAAAGGATACTGTGCAACAATTCTCTAGAAAGAAAAAAACTTGAATCTGTAGCTTTCTATTTGAAGTAAACAGAACTAATAACATGTAGTAATTGAAACACATGAGACTAATGCTCATATAGTAGACATTGTTATGGGACATTTAGGTGCTAATTTTGCTGTTTGAAGAAGTTGCTGAAGTTACCAACTGCAGTGGCAAAGTAAATGCGACGTTGTAGCTAACCACGTGCAATAACAATACTGGCCGCTTGAGATTGGCAGAAAAAAGTGATTGGCCCTTCTGTGTAGCTTGAGAAAGCCACGGAATGGAGCAAGGAAGCAATTGGGATCTAGAAGTTAGGTCTCGATTAAAATGTCTCTGAGTGACTGAAGTATTCATTGGCATTGGTTTGTTGGTATTGGAGTGTTATGAGGACCTTAGGGGGTACTCAGGTGGAAAATAAATTTTCGGGAGAGAAGTGGGGATTGTGAATGTCACGTGACAACGCGACACCAACGTCGCATGGTTCGCGATCCCCACTTCCCCATGTCATTTCCCCCCAAGTGGGGGCCTAGTGACCTGTCCTATCTCTGTACTGTTGTTTCGAAGTACGATCGACTTCGTGGACATCAAGTGCTGCAGATAAGTTTCCTAGAATGGTTAGTGTATTCACACCAACATCACAAAATGCTTGATGTGTAGCACTTGTTTACAATTACATTGATATTGACTGTTTTACATATCTCTACACAACATTTTATGCGACGCAGAAGTACCCTTATACATTTAGTGCACAATTGCTGACAAAAGGCTTTTCCCAAAGACTGGGTTTTCAAACCTGCTGATTATTCTGATGCTCTAGTGACTTCATCACATGGAATTAGTGTATAATAGCAACTTAAAGTTATGCAACTCTTGTTGCATGAATATTTTATGTGCACACATCATGAACATAACTCTTAGTGGCATAAATCAGGAGTGTCATACTCACCTGTAGTCATGAAATTTAGTCTTGTAAAGGCCAGGTTGAAAAAAAAATATTCGCTAAGGGGACAAAATCTCATCTAACATTTTCCTTTCAAAGAATGCCTTTTATATATGCCACTTAGATTTTTTTTTCTAACCGTCGTTTGATGGCAGGAGTTGAGAAACATATGGGCACCGATCTCCAGGATGACAAAACTCTGGAAAGTTATTCTGAAACATAAAGATTTTGCTTGATTCTTATGTTTCAACACACGGTGACCATATGAAGTGCCTTATGAAAAGAGCCTTGAGACCATACACGTCTGTGTTGCTTAGGCAAACAGAGTGTTATTAGTCGCAATAGGCAAGAAAATAGTGTAAGTATTATTTAGAAAAGGTCAGCGCTTGTGAACGTACAAGTTAAGAAAAAAAAAAGTGGGACAAATACTGTTATGTGCGGGCAGGCGTGTGGTTGATACTCCAAGCATGGGCTGTTATTGCTGTGGCCACAGTGCTAATAAACTGCTCACAGCAATTTTACAGGACAACAAGACAGAGAATATTTAATCAAACAATTGGTGTATATTCAAACAATCAGTGTATCCAATAATAAAACAGTCATTACCATTGCTTAAAAAATTTATCTACTCTTCAACCTTGATGCTATTAATTTTCCGAAATTGGTTCGATGTGCCAATGAATTTCACACCTCTGTCCCTCAACCTCACTGTTCAGCTGACGTAATGGCAATTCTGACCCACTGGTTCTTCAGAAGCGCACAAGTTGTAGTCAAGGGCGTTCGCAGGACTTTTTGCAGGGATGTGCATCCACGCGGGGCTGCCGGGGAGGGGGTTTACTGCCAAAATTTGACCGCCAACATCAGTAAATAGTGTGTAATAACGAGAAAAGTAGTTTGGCAGCTCTGAAGGCTGTTTCATTCGGTTATGCGAACCCCGAGTGTGTATATACATGTGTAGCTGATTACTACTGGGTATAAAAATATGTGAAATTCAGGGGGAAAGGGTAAGGGTGGGCCACCAGCTTTAGTAATTTGCAACTGGGAAGCCGTTCGAGAAATCCATATAGACTTAATTCTAGCTTCATGACACCGATGAGTGGACAATGAAGGTTGTCATTATCAACAAAAGAGCCTCTGGCAGACCCATCTATGGAAAGACTAGACAGCGTGCTAATGTTGCGTAACCGGTAGGCATCACCTTTCTTGGTCACATGTTCGCACTATTACTCTCTCTCTTGTTTTATTTACTTATCTTGTAACGAGGGCAGTGGGCATGGAGCTCGAGTATAGAAAAGGAAGAGTACTTGCTGTGATCGCAGGCTTGCGTTCAGTTAGCCCTTGCACTAAATAAAGCTCTCGTTTGCCGAGTCAACTCCTGCTTGTTCAACAACCCTTTTCAAGTGGTGGAGGTGCTGGGTACATCTAGCCCTCATCCTGGAACTTCGCAGCCGCACACTTCAACGACCGTCTACAATGACTGATCCGGGCCATCTCAGGCCGCTACCCCAGATCTCGCACCTGTGCCTGTCTTCTGCGCTGGCGCTCTCCAGCAGCGCGACCCCCCCATATTTGGTGGCACAGAGGACCAAGATGTGGACAACTGGATTGCCGAGTATGAACTGGTGAACGCATACAATAAGTGGAACGCAGCCGATAAGCTCACAAATGTGAGTTTTTACCTGACCGACGTGGCAAAACTATGGTACAGGAATCATCAAAGTGATTACAGTACCTGGTCGGAATTGGCAAAAAACCTCTCGGAAGTCTTTGGCCATCCTGCTGTTCGCCGCCTTCGTGCTACACAGCGCTTGCGGGGCAGAGTACAGAGAGCAGATGAAACTATCACGAGCTATATCGAAGATGTGCTCTTTCTTTGCAAGCTCGTCGATTCGACTCTTGACGAGGCAGGCAAGATCAAGAACATCATGAAAGGAATCGACAACGGTGCATTCCAAATGCTTGCTGCGAAGAGTCCCCATACGGTCGCCGAGTTGATTCAGCTCTGCCAAAGCTATGATGAGCTGCGTAGGCAGCGCGCTTCTACACGTTGCGCTGCTCAAGACACCGCGGACATCTCATTCCTCGACTATCACCATGACACCGCCGACCACTCTGCGTTGATGCCACTCATAAAGCAATTCATACGCGAGGAGGTCGCCTGGCAGCTATCTATAATCACAAGAACTACCGAGCCGATGGCACCCTTGTCGCCTTCGCTTCGCCAGGTCATTCAATCGCAAGTTGCCGAAGCATTGCCGCCAGCTTAGGCTCCACCAACTGTGACTGCACCACTAACGTATCCAGCCACAGTTGCTCGGCCATGTGCGCCAGCGTCTCCGGCCATCTACGAAGCTACTCGCCACGTTTATTCGTCAACGCCACCTTCCCGCTCGCTGACCGTCCCGTCTCCGGCTGTATACGAAACAGGTCAGAACGTTTATATGACGCCGCCTGCACGACCATTTACGGTACCTTATTCAGCGAACAGTGCCCCTACCGTCAGCCGATGGCGCACTCCGGATAATCGGCCGATATGTTTATCGTGTGGCATCCCAGGCCACGTAGCTCGTCACTGCCGTCGTCGCAGCTTCCCTTCTCATAACATTACATGCCCACCATGCCCACTCAGCCGCGATATCCCGTTCCTGCCGATCCACCTCTAGACGTACGTCCCGGTCGCCGACCATCCGACTCAAGCCGTTCGCCTTTTCCTCGTCGTCGATCAATTTCTCCAATGTTACGTCGCAACAGCCCACCGCGATGGGAAAACTGACGGGCGCAGTTCCGTAGGCAAGAACTGCGTTGGCAGCGAAAATTTCAAGACTATCTGCTGTCCCCCTAACGAAATCGAACTCTATATAGATAGCATTAAGGTGCACGGACTTGTTGACACTGGAGCTGCCGTATCTGTAATTAGTGAGAAATTGTGCCGAAACTTGAAGACAGTGACCATGCAACTTACCGACCTATCTTTGCAGTCAGCTACGTCCCATCATATTCAGCCTTCAGCTTTGTGCACTGCACGAGTTGTTATTCAAGGTGCGATGTACGTCGTCGCATTTGTAGTTTTATTCCGTTCTTCGCATGACGTTATCCTTGGGTGGGACTTTCTTTCCTCAAATTCTGCTTTGGTCGACTGTGCTCATTCCGAACTCGCGTTATCTGTGCCGTGCTATGACCCCGACGATGGAGCTTCATGTAGAGTGTTTGCTGCTTCTGACATTGACATTGCGCCTTACTCAGCTGTTGTTGTCTCGGTGTCGTGTGCCTCCCTTCCGAAATCGCCTGTGTTGTTTATGCCATCGGTCACATCTGCGTGCCGTCGAAATATCATGCTTTCGTTTGCCGTCGTCGTTTTTCGCAACGGTCACGCTGCCATTTATGTGTGCAATTCCTCGGACAGCCTGTCATCCCTACTACGTGGAGAATGCCTGGGAAGCTACGAACCTTACGAGTGCATTCTTCCGGCTACTATACCTGATTCTACGGTTTCGCACCCAATTTGTGCTGTCACTCCTATCAACGCGCCTAATGATGTTCTGGACGTCTTCTCGGATGCCATCGACTCTGAGCTCGCACCAACTCCGCGCGAAGAGATTATAAATCTTCTACTCCGCTTTCGATCATTCGATCATGACCAGTCAGGCTTGGGCCGAACCTCTGCGGTCGTTCATCGTATTGACACCGGTCAACAAGCCCCGCTAAGACAGCGTCCTTACCGTGTGTCATCTGCTGAACGCCGTGTCATCGACGAACAAGTGGACATGTTGAAACGTGGCATCATCGAGCCCTCCAACAGTCCCTGGGCTTCACCGGTTGTTGTCGTCAAGAAAAAAGACGAGTCCATCCAGTTCTGCGTTGACTACCGCTGGCTCAACAAGATAACACGCAAAGACATATACCCTCTACCGCGCATTGATGATGCTTTGGACTGCCTACAAGGAGCAGAGTTCTTTTCTTCGTTAGGTTTACGCTCCGGCTACTGGCAGGTGCTCATGGCAGAGGGTGACCGCCCGAAGACAGCCTTTGTAATACCGGATGGACTGTATGAATTCACCGTTTTGCCCTTTGGCCTCTGCAATGCGCCTGCCACTTTCGAAAGGATGATGGATAACATCTTGCGAGGTCTGAAATGGAAAACGTGCCTCTGTTATTTGGACGACATTGTGATATATTCAAGCGACCTTGTGACCCACCTCAGCCGCCTCGAGCAAGTTCTTACGTGCTTTGCCACGGCGCGACTTCAACTTCACTTGAAAAAATGCCACTTCGGCGCTCGCAAGCTTGTAATTCTTGGCCATGTGGTTTCTAAGGAAGGCATTCTCCCGGACCCTACAAAACTTAATGCAGTTGCGGCATTCCCAAAGCCAATCACCATCAAAGAGCTTCGAAGCTTCATCGGCCTATGTTCGTACTTCCGGCGCTACATCCGCAATTTCGCCTCCATTATCACCCCCTTGGCCAATCTTCTTGCCGGGAGTTCTGATTTGTCAGCGTGGTCGCAGGCGTGTGATGATGCATTTCAGGAACTCCGACGGCTCCTCACCACGCCTCCCATACTCCGATATTTCGATCCGTGTGCTCGAATGGAGGTTCATACGGACGCTAGTGGTGTCGGGCTAGAGGCCATACTGGCCCAACGCAAGGATGGCTTTGACGAGTACGTCGTTGCCTATGCCAGCCGCACCCTCACTAATGCCGAGAAGAATTACAGTAACTGAAAAGGAGTGCCTCGCCATTATTTGGGCAATCTGAAAATTTCGGCCTTATTTATATGGACGTCCGTTTGATATTGTAACAGACCACCATGAGCTTTGCTGGTTATCTTCACTAAAAGATCCTAATGGTCGGCTCGCTCATTGGGCATTGCGGTTACAGGAGTTCGATATCCGTGTTATCTACCGTTCTGGCCGGAAGCATTCCGGCGCCGATGCCCTGTCACGTTCGCCATTGGCTTTAGAGCCTGTCGGCTCGCCTATCTCCACCAGTGCTGCCTTGGCCATCAGCATTTCGGACATGCCTTCCGAGCAACGCAAAGATGCTTGGATTTCTTCTCTTTTGGACTTTCTCTCAAACCGGACGCTCGCTTAAGTTTCCAGGACGCTTCGCCGTCAAGCAGGACACTTCGCTATTCCGGATAACCTGCTTTACCGCCGAAACTACAGCTCGATCGGCCGTAAGTGGTTGCTCGTCATTCCCCGACATCTGCGCTCTGACATCTGTACCACGTTCCACGAGAGAGAGAAACAACTTTTATTGAAACGGCAAGTGTTAGAGGAGTTGACTCCCCTCCCTTAGATGGCAGCTAGGAGTCCTTGGGCCCTAGCGGCGTCTTCGGCTTGCCTGATGACCTGTAGTTGGTCCTCGATGCTTGAGCTTAGCAGCGCGGTCTCCCACTGCTCCGTATTCATGTATGTGTTTGGCCCCTTCACGATGTTGGGGCAAGCCCAGATAATGTGTTTGAGGTCCGCCCGCTGATACGTTCCACGATGATCCGCAATGTGGCCACGCTGGTGTGTTAAAAACATACACTCGCTTGCAGCTGCGGTACTACTGGCACGGTATGTACCGTTTCGTTCGCTGTTACGTAAGGTCTTGCCTTAAGTGCCAGCGACGCGAAATGCCCACTCAACATGCCACAAGTCCCTTGCAACCATTGCCATGTCCAGCACAAGCTTTCGATCGTGTCGGAATCGACCTTTACTGTCCGCTTCTCTATACTTCGAGTAGCAACCGCTGGGTCATTGTCGCTATCGACCACCTAACGCGGTATGCTGAAACAGCTGCGTTACCTTCTGCTACCGCAAAAGACGTTACATCTTTTATACTGCAAAACCTGGTTTTAAGGCATGGAGCACCTCGGGAGTTACTAAGCGACCGCGGCCGCGTTTTTCTCTCCGATGCCATCAAAGCGTTGTTGAGCGAGTGTCGCATCATACACCGCACTACCACAGCCTATCATCCGCAAACTAATGGGATGACAGAGCGTTTTAATCGTACACTTGGGGATATGCGGGCCATGTACGCTTCATCCGGCCAGTCAAATTGGAATAACATACTGCCTTTTGTGACATATGCTTACAACACTGCAATGCAAAGCACCACTGGATTTTCGCCTTTATTTCTTCTTTATGGACGCGAGCCATCACCAACAATAGATACCATTCTTCCTTATCGACCGGACCCTTCAGAGATGACTACCGTTTCTCGAGCAGCAGCACACGCTGAAGAATGTCGGAAGCTTGCTCGTGCGTTCACGTCACATGACCAGACGCGCCAAAAACATCGCCACGAGGCGTAAACCACGCCTATGAGCTTTGCTCCGAACTCACTGGTGTGGCTATCGATTCCTTCTACTCCTCCAGGACTATCCCACAAGCTTTCGTTCCAGGTATCATGGCCCTTATCGAGTTGTACGCCAAACATCCCCTGTCAACTGCATTGTCGAGCCGCTGGATGCATCTCCGGACAAGCGCCGTCGGGGACAAGAAATTGTACACATCTCTCGGCTCAAGCCATACAATGATTTTTCTGTGTACACCTGTCCTTAGATCGCCAGGATGGCTCCCTCGTCGCCCGGGGGTGATTGTAACGAGGGCAGTGGGCATGGAGCTCGAGTATAGAAAAGGAAGAAGACTTGCTGTGATCGCAGGCTTGCGTTCAGTTAGCCCTTGCTCTAAATAAAGCTCTCGTTCGCCGAGTCAACTCCTGCTTGTTCAACAACCTGTTTCAATTTATATATCTTGGTAATGAATATGAAGAGAGGGTCGGGCGAGTGGTATGCTCCTGCTATTTCTCTTCTCTTGCATAACAGTTGCCCTCGCAGAGTATAGAGCATGCACAAGACTGTAAGAATGCATAGAGCACTTATCTACTCCCCCCCCCCCCCCTCAAAAAAGCAAAAAGTGTCTACTCAACACAGAAGTTTACGAAACACAAGTATGCACACAAATGAAATTTTCACTCACAATAAAAAAATTCGCGAAGATTTTCTCACAGCCGATCATGTGTCGCTTGCAAAGCCTCTCTTAAGTGCAGTGTTCCATGCAATGGTCAAGCCTTATAAAGAACTCTACTAGCATGTAGTCCAAGAATACTAATTGATAGTAATGCCAAAGAAGTTTTTATCATCTCTAGTACTTTTGTGATATTCTTGTTCCTCCAAAAATTGGACTATAATGCATGCAGCAATGTTTTGAAAACATTTTGTTTGCCATGAACCTAATATCATTCTTTTTAAATCAGTCTGCTATGATTTCAATGTGTTTACTACTAAACTTGTGTCTCACATTTTGAACACTTTTTTTTCCCTCACTAGCGAAAGTTCCGAGACAAGCAGCACAACTTGCGAGTGCCAAAATGGAGCTACCAAGCCTCGCACACAGTTCCCCCAGGAAGCGCTCCCATCCTGTGAGCAGCAGAGACCCTTCCAGGCGGAGTGTTGCATCTCATCCTTCAAGCCCACAACATCAACGAAAGATGCCTCGACTCGCCAGTGGTGGTTGTGCTCAGAGCCTCCTCAAGGTGACGGGAGACAGTCATTTTAAGGACACTGGCAACAGTGTTTGTGACGTGATCCACAACAGCATGAAGAGGGTAAAGTTTCAAATATCACCATCTAAAAGATCGTTAGTAGAGCCTGCACCTGAATCGAATACTGAAAATCAGGACGAAGTTGGTGAAGCCACTGAGAAGGCGAAGTTACAGCAATCACCCAGGAGGGCATCACGGAAACACAAGAGTCATCTTAAGGACACTCGTGACAGTGTTTGTGACCTGGCCCAGAGCACCACAAAGAAGGCGAAGTTGCAAACATCACTACCTGAGAGCGAGTCGAGAAAACCTGCACTGAAGTCGAATGCTGCAAGCCGTGATGAAGTTGGCAATACAGCCAATGAGAAGTCGCAGCAATCACCCGTGAAGGCGTCACAGCAACTGGAGACTCATCTTAAGGACACTGGTGATAGAGTTTGTGACGTGCCTCAGAGCGCCATGAAGAAAGCGAAGTTGAAAACATCACCACCTGAGAGGGCGTCAAGGAAAAGTGCACCCAAGTCAAATGCTGCAAGCCGCGATGAAGTTGGTGTTATGGCCAGTGAGAAGGTAAATTTGCGGCAATCACGCAGGAAGACATTGCGAAAACCTGGCAGTCATCTTAACGACGCTGGTGATAATGTTTGTGACCAAGCCTGTAGCAGCACAAACAAGGCAAAGTTGCAAATATTGCCCCCTGATAGGGTGTCGGGAAAGCAGTGTGCGCGAGTCGAACGCTGCAAAGCGCGATGAAGTTGGCGATGTGGCCAGTGAGGAAGCCAAGTCACAGCAGTCATCTGGGAAGGTGTTCCAAAAGCTCAACAGTCATCATGGAGATACTGGTGACAATCTTCGTGACTCTGCCCATAGCAGCACAAAGAAGGCAATGTTAAAAATGTCACCACCTAACAACTTGTTGGGACAAGGTGCACTGAAGCCAAACACTCATAGCTGTGATGAAGTTGGCAATACGACTAACGAGAAGGCCAAGCTGCAAGAATCACCTGCAAAAGTATCACAGAAACCCCTACTTAGGTCAAGCTCTGAAAGTCCTGTTAAAGTTGAAAATTCAGCCCAGAAGAGTAAGCCACAGTTGTGCAAGACTAATCGGGTGCTACGTCGACGAGTGACTAAGGTGGGCATTCAAAGCTCTGGTGACGATGACGCAGCCTGTCACAGGAAGTCAAACTTGCAGAACTCACCTGTAAAAGCATCACGGAAACCTGTGCTTAATTCAACTGCTGAAAAATCTAATGTAGACGATGCAACCTGCAGCAAAAAGGCAAAGTTGCGACAGTCGCGCTCTAAGGTGCTACGAGAGCCTGTGCTCAATTTAGAGGCTAAGATTCTAATGTTCCTGACGATACAGCATGCAACCTAAAGGAAACAATGTATAGATCACATGACAAGTTACTACAGGACCCTGTGCTGAAATCAGATCAGAAAGAGTACAGTGATTCAAATAATCCACCCCACAGCAAAAAGACAAGGTTGCTGAGATCTGCTCATAGGGCGCCACCGAAGCTCATGCTAAAGTCGGATACCGAAGACTCAACCGACGTTGACGACCTGGATTACAAAGAAAAGGCAAAGTTACTCAACTTGTCCAGTGGTATCCTGCGGGAACGTCTTTTGGAGTCGGACACCGACGACTCCAACGACCCAACTTGGGAAGAGAATACAAAATGGCCGAGGTCGTCCACAGGGGTGCCACAAAAGACCACGCTAAGGTCAAATGCTGAATCTGGTCAAAACGCGTTGTCGAGACAGCCTGAGAAGAAGAAAGGTAGAGGACCCGGCAGACCTAAGAAAAAGGTCTGGCGAGGCAGCGTTTCTGTGATTCACAAACCTTGTGAAGAAGAAAAGAACACACAAGCTGTGAAAGGTTGCAAGGAAACACCCAAGACGGTCATGACGAGCTCGAACTCCACCCGGCAGGCAGAGAGGCAAGTTGAAGAACCTTACCGTGAAACAAGGATCTTTGCACCACTATTTAGAAGACCTGTGTAAGTTTACATACATCTTGGGCTTTTGCTGTTGTGGCATTTTTGGTCGAGCAGGACACACTAATATAAAGACAACAACAACGAAAAGAACTTCCAGGGTTCCTTATGCATTCATGTAAAACTTTGCTTGGTTAGCGAAGACAGCTTTATTGGAGATTGATAATTCTTTGTTTGCTAGGGTTGCGGCTCGGTTGAGTTGGTCCATGCTTATAAGAGGGAAAACAGCGCATAATTCAGACGCATACAAGATAAAGAAGGCACGGCCCAAGCGCTGACTTGCAACTGACTTTATTTTGTGACATGTGGGCACATACATACCTGGACAGTAAAAAAATATGAAGAAATAACGTGATATGATGGCCGTACCACCTGTCGATATGCGTCACTGCCAGGCACCACAAACACGTACTGTACTTATCACCTATATTTCAAAAAATCAAATTCTTTTTGAAAAAAAGTTGCAGATGGCATGCTGACACAGTTAGCCTCGATATGTTCTATTTGTGCCACTTTACTTACCTCTCTAGTCTTATTATCTTTGTCTCTATTACTGTTGTTTTGGAAAAGATTGGCTTGCATCCACATTCCTATCAATAATGGCCTAGGTGGCCACTAACAGCCCTATTATTATTAAAATAAAGTCAGTTGTAAGTCAACATTCAAGTCGTATCTTTTTCATCTTGTGTCTATCTCAATTTTGCGCTGCCTTGCCCTCTTACAATTCTTTTTGTTGTGTGGCTGTTGAGGCATACATGTTTGTGCACTGCTTTCATTGCCATAGCCCTACCTGTGAGTGCTTGTGGAAGCAATTTCAGCACATTTCACATGCGTGTTTGAAAGATATTGTACTAAAAACCTGTTGAAAATCTAAGAAGTCATGCAGTTTGCCTTAGTGAGAAAGTGTGGACTGCCCTTGTGTTGCATCATAGGTACCCCAAAGTGAGACAGCATTTGGACTGATGAATTGTTTGAGAGCGTTATTGCTTTTGATATCAGAATTACATCTTTATTACAAGAGAAAACGAAAGTCAGTCTGACTTTTGTGCAGAAAACCATGCATCTGAATGTCAATGGGATGTCACTCATTTAAAGATATTGGTTTGAGCATACGGTCCCAACGAAACTTCCAGAAATTTTCGTTCCACTGCCTGCTTTAGAACACAGTGTAATTAGTTTCAATGTATAAAGGATTTCATGGGCTTCAGCAGGCCTGGTCAAAGTCTATGACATCATAACGAGTTGGTACAGAAACTTAAGTTGGTAGTGCCATCTGTATATTCTTTTTGCGCATTTTCTGACTGACGTAGCGTCATCTTGTAGCAAAAGCAGCACTTTTTGTGTTTTCAATAGGTAATTTACTCATAAGTACAAAAATAATTATAGTCTGTTGTGTCCCACTAACAGGAGAAAAGTGTATGTATGCATCTATCAACCTGTGGCTTACTTTCCCCCATTTCTTTTTCTTTCACTGCAGTTGCAAAAGGCTCCGTGAAAAGTGCTCCGTGACGGGATGCCCGCATGCCGACGAAGCACAGAGCCCCACCGGCCTTTGGCTGTTTGCACTCCCTGACAAAACGAACGAAGCGGAACTTTATTCCGAGTGGCTGCGGCATGTGCCCATTGACGATAGTATCAACAGGCCGCTAAGTCCACGTGTGTGCTTCAAGCACTTCGACTCAAAGAAGCACTTTGTGTCAATGAAGCATCGCATTTTAGGGCTAAGGCTAGACGCTGTCCCGATCAACGCTGTTGCAACCCTTGAAAAGCACAAATGGCAGTCCGGCCAACGCATTTCGTTGTTCGCCCAAACAGTGCACTTCAGGTGCTAACCTTGAGCAAGCCAGCACATCGACAACTGGTGTGAGACAGAAGCCGTGGTCTATGAGAGCTTCCAGAAAAAAGCGGAAATTGCAGTCCGCCGCTTGTGCCACTGTGATGCAGGAGCCGCAATCCTTGACATCAGCTGGCGTTGCAGAAGAACCTCAATCCACAACAGCTGGCAGCCGCACAGGAGTTGCAGCCTCCAACTACTCCAGTTGTGGGGCAGGAGTCGAAGTGCGAGACTTCTGCCGATGTAGGTGTCGAGTGTCATTCAGTAACACCTTCTGGAGCAGCACACAAATTGCAGTCAATGACTGCCAGTGCACTTATTGCTATGGTGCAGGAGCCACGGTCCATGACTCCTGTGGATGACAGTTCGGTGTCTCAGCCTGTGAAAACGAATGAAGAAGCAACGAAATTGCAGTCCACTACAACTACCACAATTATTCAGCAACAACATTCTATGACTTCTGCTGCTGTTACAGCAGAAGCTCAGTGTTTAATGGCTGGTGGAGTAGCACAGGAATCGCAGCCCGTAGCTACTTCTATCATGGGGCAGGAGTTGCAGTCTTTGAGTTCTGCGGATGCCACTTCGAAATCTAAGCCTGTGGGGACTGAAGAAGCACAGAATTTGCACTCTACCATTAGTGCCACCATTGCACGGAAATCCAAGTCTGTGACTCTAGCTGATGTTGGGGCAGAAACTCAGCCAATGATGACTGCTGGAGTAGGACAAGGATCACAGTGCACATGTGCTGCTTCTGTGATGCAGGCATCGCAATCCACAACTTTTGACTATGATGTCAATTTGCAGTCTCAGCCTGTGGCAATCGACAAACTAGTGCAGAAATCGTGGACTGCTATTACTGCCTCAGGCGCAGAGGAATCCCACTGTACTACTTCAGCTAATGTCACAGCAGAAACTGAGTCCAAGATTGCTGAAGTAACACAGGAATTACAGCCCACAGGTACTGCTATAATGGTGCAGGAGTCGCAATGCATGGCTTTCGAAAATGTCAGTTCCGAGCCTCCGCCCGTGGAAACTGATGGAGAAACCCAGAAATTAGAGTTCGCTATTAACAGCGCACTGGTGCAGGAACTGCATTCTGTTGCTTCAGCTGATATCGCAGCTCAAACTTTGTCAATGACGTCTGCTGGAGTAGCACAAAAATCACAGTCCACAGCTGCCAGTGGGGCAGCTGTGGACTGTGATCAACACAGCAAAGGTAGCTGTGAATCACAGTCCACAGCTACCTTTGCTGATCAGGGTGTGGAGTCTCGGTCAACAGAAGCAGCTGGAACAGCAAACGGAACACAGTGCACAACTGGTGCTGCCATGTCTCAGGAGCCAGAGTCCATGGATTTAGTGAATACTCCGGTAGAAATAGAGTCCACACCAGCCACTGGAGCAGCAAAGGCTGACCTGTCCACTGTTTCTACCACCACAGAGTTACTGTCTACAACTACTTCATCCGTGATGGAAGCACTACAGTCAGCGCTACCCGATATTGCAGCAGAAGTGCAAAAATCACAGTCCACATTTGCTGCTCTTACAGGATTACAGTCTGCAACTGCTACTTCTATAAAGCAGAAGCCACAGTCTGTGACTATTCCCGATGCCATTGTGGAGTCTCAGTTTGTGACAGCAGCTGGAACAGCACAAGAATCACAGCGCACTACTAGTGATGCCATGATTCAGGAGCATGACTTCATGGCTTTAGGCAAAGTTGCAGCAGAAGCAGAATCTATAATGGCTGCTGTAGCAGCACAGGCTGTGCCATCCACTGCTTTTGCCACCACCGAGTTACATTCTACAACTACTTCTTCCACGATGGAAACGATACAGTCTGCACTGCCCGATGTTTCAACACAAGTGCTGGTCATGACCACTGCTTCAGAAGTGCAGAAATCACCGTCCACATTTGCTGCTCTTGCAGGATTACAGTCTGCAACTGCTACTTCTATAAAGCAGAAGCCACAGTCTGTGACTATTTCTGATGCCATTGTGGAGTCTCAGTTCGTGACAGCAGCTGGAACAGCACAAGAATCACAGCGCACTACTACTGATGCCATGATTCAGGTGCCAGACTTCATGGCTTTAGCCAAAGTTGCAGCAGAAACGGAATCTATAACGGCTGCTGTAGCAGCACAGGCTGTGCCATCCACTGCTTCTGCCACCACCGAGTTACATTCTACAACTACTTCTTTCACGATGGAAGCGATACAGTCTGCACTACCCGATGTCGCAGCAGAAGTGCTGGTCGTGACCACTGCTTCAGAAGTGCAACAATCACCGTCCGCATTTGCTGCTGTTACAGGATTACAGTCTGCAACTGCTACTTCTATAAAGCAGAAGCCACAGTTTGTGACTATTCCTGATGCCATTGTGGAGTCTCAGTTCGTGACAGCAGCTGGAACAGCACAAGAATCACAGCGCACTACTAGTGATGCCATGATTCAGGAGCCTAACTTCATGGCTTTAGCCAAAGTTGCAGCAGAAACGGAATCTATAACGGCTGCTGTAGCAGCACAGGCTGTGCCATCCACTGCTTCTGCCACCACCGAGTTACATTCTACAACTACTTCTTTCACGATGGAAGCGATACAGTCGGCACTACCCTATGTGGCAGCAGAAGTGCAGGTCGTGACCACTGCTCTAGAAGGACAAAAATCACAGTCCACATGTGCTGCTGTCTCAGGATTAGCGTCTGCAACTGCTACTTCTATAAAGCAGAAGCCACAGTCAGTGACTATTCCCGAGGCCATTGTGGAGTCTCAATTCGTGACAGCAGCTGGAATAGCACAAGAATCACAGCGCACTACTAGTGATGCCATGATTAAGGAGCCAGACTACATGGCTTTAGCCAAAGTTGCAGCAGAAGCGGAATCTATAACGGCTGCTGTAGCAGCACAGGCTGTGCCATCCACTGCTTTTGCCACCACCGAGTTACATTCTACAACTACTTCTTCCACGATGGAAACGATACAGTCTGCACTGCCCGATGTTTCAACACAAGTGCTGGTCATGACCACTGCTTCAGAAGTGCAGAAATCACCGTCCACATTTGCTGCTCTTGCAGGATTACAGTCTGCAACTGCTACTTCTATAAAGCAGAAGCCAGAGTCTGTGACTATTTCTGATGCCATTGTGGAGTCTCAGTTCGTGACAGCAGCTGGAACAGCACAAGAATCACAGCGCACTACTACTGATGCCATGATTCAGGTGCCAGACTTCATGACTTTAGCCAAAGTTGCAGCAGAAACGGAATCTATAACGGCTGCTGTAGCAGCACAGGCTGTGCCATCCACTGCTTCTGCCACCACCGAGTTACATTCTACAACTACTTCTTTCACGATGGAAGCGATACAGTCTGCACTACCCGATGTCGCTGCAGAAGCGCTGGTCGTGACCACTGCTTCAAAGTGCAACAATCACCGTCCGCATTTGCTGCTGTTACAGGATTAGCGTCTGCAACTGCTACTTCTATAAAGCAGAAGCCACAGTCAGTGACTATTCCCGATGCCATTGTGGAGTCTCAATTCGTGACAGCAGCTGGAATAGCACAAGAATCACAGCGCACTACTAGTGATGCCATAATTAAGGAGCCAGACTTCATGGCTTTAGCCAAAGTTGCAGCAGAAGCGGAATCTATAACGGCTGCTGTAGCAGCACAGGCTGTGCCATCCACTGCTTCTGCCACCACTGAGTTACATTCTACAACTACTACTTCCACGATGGAAGCGATACAGTCGGCACTACCCTATGTGGCAGCAGAAGTGCAGGTCGTGACCACTGCTCTAGAAGGACAAAAATCACAGTCCACATGTGCTGCTGTCTCAGGATTGGCGTCTGCAACTGCTACTTCTATAAAGCAGGGGCCACAGTCTGCGACTGTTGCTGATGTCACTGTGAAGTCTCAGTCTGTGACTGCAGCCGTAACAACTCAAGAAGCACGGTGCATCACAAGTGATGCCATGATTCAGAAGCCACAGTCTATGGCTTTAGGGAAGGTTGCAGTAAAAACCAAGTCCATAACTGCTGCTGTAGCAGCACAGGCTGTACCACACACCGCTTCTGCCACCAACGAGTCAAGCCCAACAACTACTGCTACCGTGAGAAAATCACCACAGTCCGCACTGCCTGATGCAGCAGAAGTGCAGATTATGACCACTCATCCAGAAGTAGAAGAATCACGATTTACAGCTACTGCGGCCACGGGATTACAGTCCGTAATGGCTACTTCTATGAAGCGGAAACCACAGTCTGGGACTGTTGTTGATGGTGACATGGACTCTGTAAGAGCTTCTGGAGCAGCACGAGAATCACAGTCTGCCATGATGAAAGAGCCACAGCTTCAGGCATTATCTGATGTTCTAGCAAGCACTCTCACTATCACTGCTGCTCCAAAAGCATGTAAAACAGAATCATCAACTGCTGCTGCCATGGTGCAAGAGCCAGGTTCGGTGACTCTCAGAGATATCATTATTGAGCCTAAGATGGTGATAGCTCCGAGAGTTGCGCAGGAATCGCACTACATGACCATCAGTGGCGTAGATTTGAAGACTGCAACCACTGTGGTCAAGAAGCAGAAGTTGCAGCCCACGACTTTTCGCTGATCTCGGTGCAGAATTTCAGTCTAGAAATGCTGCTCAAGCAGCGAAAAAGCCACAGTCTGCAGCAGTCACTGCTATGAAACCAGATTTAACTACCGTTTCCACGCAGCAGAAGCTTAAGGTATTAGTTGCCGTTCCAGAGCCCTCAGTCTGCAGCCGCCATTCATGTGGGGTGCAAATCGCAATCCAGAACTGTTGCTCCTGCAGTAAAGAAAATTATAGGTGGACAGAAATCGCAGTCTACAACAACCGTTGGCATTATAGACGAACTCGAGTCGGTGGCTGTACTTGCCAGCGAACACAAATTTCAGACTACAGTGGGAATTGGAAGGGAAAGGAGTGTGAGGCCCTGTGTGTTGTTGACACAGTGGAAACATTGCCGACTGCAACCGCTGTTTTTGCCGAGTCAGAGTTGCAGGGCCCAAATTCCATCAGCCTTACAACAATGTTGGCAGCAGACAGTAAATCAAAATCTAAAGCCAAGTTTCGTTTTCATTTTCCTGATTCGTGTGAGGAATTGGAAGCAGAAGAGCAGAATGTTGGTCATGTTCCCACAAGCCTGGCATCCGTGAGAACAGAGAGTCTCGAGGAATCAACCGATCGTGGTCCCGCAGACATCACAGAGCTTATTCATCTAACAGATGACAGAAACCCTGGACCAGATATGCCCTCAGAAAGCCCGACAGAGAAATCCATGCAGGCCACCAGTGTGTCAGACAAGCTGGTGGAACAGGCCGAAGAAATTGCTTGCTACTTGGCCACTCACACTCCTGTTGATTTTATGGACGAAAGCACTGTTAGCGTTTGTGAAAGCCCGTTATGCAGCAGTGACTGTGATGATGAGAATATCGGCAAGCACGTCATGTCTATTCCAAATGAACCACTAATTCCTTTGACTCAAAACATTTCTATGGCCAATGCTGAGATTTCAGACACTGTGCCTAACAAATTGCTAGAATTTGACCTTCGGACACAGCAACAAGCATTGAAGAAGGCTGTAGCGTCATCTCGAGCTACACAGATGTTCTCTGCAAATAGGCCCACCGATATCAACGAGAGGATGGTGCAACGAGGAACAAACGCTGACATTGAAAGGGATCATCCGGCTCCTCCTCGTCTCGTTGGCAGTCGTGCAAGCAGTGCTTCCACTGGTGTACTCCACGCAGCTCTAGAGAAGCCACCCGCATCAGACGTACGAACAGAGGCACCGCTTCCTAGAGAAATCGTGGTGCCCAGCGCAGCCGCACTCAGTCGCAGTCTCAGTAACCTCACCAACTCCAGAAACCGTGCGATAGAGGGAAACCAACGCGGCAGCGTTTCTGCAAAAGGGATGCCGCGTCTCTCTCTGCAGAGCTGTAGCAGTGCCCAAGAGGGCGACAGACACGTCTCGAGCCGTGCTGTCATGTGCACCTGTTAGAAATACCGCAATTGATGAGAACGGCCGGGCGGCTGCTTCAGTGGAACCCAGTGCATCGTGTTCCGAGCCTGCCAGGCGACACCGTCTGGACTTGCCTGGCAGGAGCAGTGCAGTTGGAGCCGAGAAAGTCCAATCGATGAAGGCTCCCTCTGCGGGTCACTTGTTCCATCCTTCTCAAGGAAGGTATGTTCTCAAGCAAGAAGTTTTGCAAGGCGGAGACGAGCTCGGCATGAGCGCGGTTTTCTGCACGGTTCTGTGGGTCCCCACAGGCAGCGGTGCCAAAACGTAGCGCTGCTGAACACATATTATCGGAGAAGTGCCTTAAACTTGCGGCTCGATTTGAGCACAAGTTATGAAACTGGCCAAGTAGGAGCAGCAGTGTAACGGCTGACTGGCACTTGAAGGAGTGCTGACACAAAATATTTAAGACGAGAAAGTGAGTGGGATAGATTTACTTGGAGGGATACACAAAATTGACAAAATATCGTATTTAAGATCAGTTTTAAAGTGCATGCCACGCGACTGCACGAGATGCAGAGCACCTCGCAACACTGACACCAATGCAGTTCAGTGTAGACAAACCTTCGTCGCGAGTATGTGTTGGCGGGTCAAAGCGGCATGCGCTCTCGTGCACAGCGCCTATGTCATAGTTTCACGTGGTCATGTGGCCAGCTGTGTTCACCTAGCCACCGGAACTGCTCCTGCCTAGTTTGATGTTGCTTGAAACTGAAACTGCGACTGGGCACTCTGAAAGTGTCTTCGAGTAAATAACCGTCGCACACTCGTGCAAACGAGGTTTTCAGTCGTGAAAAGTCGGTCATAACCTACCTATTGCCAAAAAAAAGAGGTACAAAATTAGTTTGTCAGTGCTCCTTTAAAGGAGAACTGACAAAAAAATTTTGCTTCTGCTTATTTTTGTTGCAGTTAAGTAGCTAATGGCCCACTTACCACAGCTGGAAGCTTGTACGCTGGAGCGTGCGGCAAGTGATTAATTGGAGATAATTTTATAGCACCCGCTCGCAGTTTCAATTTCAAAAAGCACCGAGTGAGGGGGTACCCAGAGTGGTTTTCATGTAAACAGAGCTGGCTATGTGAAGCACACAAAACCGCGTGCACATGAGGACTTCACTGACAACTCTTTTCAATAAAGGTTTTCTAGTTGTTGTAAATATGCATGACTTCGCACTAGAAATGCACGGCCGGGGCAGGTCTGCCCCCTCTTTCTGTTGAAAAGGTCTGCTAGGAGAGAGCGCTTGCAAGTATCGTGGCAGCCAACACAAACTCGTGACGCGAGTGGTTGTTGAATGTTTGCACGAAAACCAAGGTTTCGCGTATGGTGGCATGACATGCACTTCAAAATTGATTTCATGTATGGTCTAGGCTATATTGCCTGCTGGTATCTCGTAGTTGATGCGTGTGTGTCCACACGATTGTCACTCGTATGTTATCCCACCTTCAAAGCGCTGTGTCAGTGCTCCTTTAAAGCGCTCACGTGGCCCAAGGAGCCAAGGCCGTGAGCAGGCTGCATGTTGCGAGTTCATGTACGTTCGTAGAGGTGGCAGGAGTGCTTGTCTGTGTCAGCTTAACATTATTTATTGTCTCTTCAGTATGTGTGCACATTTCATTTGTGAAGTCACAAATGTCGTTATTGCACAAAATGTGATCGTTCCTGTAGGGGTGTTGTATAAATTGTACATAGAAACATTCCATGTTATTGCCATTTTGTGGATCTCTTATCAACAATATGTTGCCTTTTACATGTATGCAAAGTGATAGGGGTGGCCTTGATTAAGAGTTGACCTGAATTGCACCTCATTTGCAAGACTATTTGAATAAAAGTGCAGCAACAAAAGTTGCTGTGGAAACATTGTGGTTGTCCAGTGATTCATCTGTGGCTGGCTAAACAGCAAAGGAAAAAAAACAATCCTCATGAATGTGTCATCACTGTCGGCATTTTAACTAAATTATCTACGATAAAGCAAATTCACTGTAATGTGCTGGCACATAACCTGCAAGTTTATCATACCTGGTGTTATAAATGCTAATATATTATTTTTCTGGACCTGACGTAAATATGATGAGTTTGTCAACAATATATCTTCATAAATATTTGGTGTTTCAGAAACACTTGTCTTGATAAGAATTTTATGCAGCAGAAGGTGAAATATGAAAATAGAAACGAAACAGATGGACAGGACAAAACGCTCAGTCTTGTCCATACGTACCTTTCCTGTTTATGTATTTCAGCCTTGTGCTGTATAAAATTTCTTCGAGTGCATCACTACCAAGCCCACATTGCAATTCTCGTTGATAACAAGAACCAGCAGTACATGTGTCAATTCAGTATATTCTGTTGAATAAATGTTGATTGTTTAAGACATTGCTGAAATTTAGCTTTATGTGTGATGCCGTGCCACATGAACATTTTGGAACTTGCTGTGCAGCTTGTCATTTCTTGTGCGCTTTTGAACTGTGGTGACAAACTTTGTCTTGTGTAGATGGTCACACAGGGGCAGTGCAATGGACACCTGTAATTTGTTTTGTTCCCATCAGAGGCATAGACAGAAATTTGGGGGGGGGAGGGGGGAGGCAGGCAACTTTTTTTAATCAAAACTGGGGGCTTAGTGGCAGGGAAACAAGCACTTTGTGCTCTGTGTGCCATCGTGAAAAAAATTCCAGCTGGTAGGGGGGGGGGGGGGGGGGGGGTACGTGCATGGTGTGCCACTTTCTGGCTATGCCATTGATTCCCATAGCGTATCATTATGTGTTTTTGTAAAAAGATACTGTGCAACAATTCTCTAGAAAGAAAAAAACTTGAATCTGTAGCTTTCTATTTAAGTAAACAGAACTAATAACACGTAATAGTTGAAACACATGAGACTAATGCTCATATAGTGGACGTTGTTATGAGACATTTAGGCGCTAAGTTTGCTGTTTGAAGAAGTTGCTGAAGTTACCAACTGCAGTGGCAAAGTAAATGCGACATTGTAGCTAACCTACGTGCATAATCAAGATTGTGAAGTAGTGTTCATTTCAGGGCATTGGAGGTGTGTTCCTGGAGCTGATCACCGAACAAATACTTGTGCGCATATTTCGTGAACATTTCAAACGGGGCTCCCAAGCCCTAGCCAGCTGTGCGAATGCTGTAGAACTACACAAATTCTTAGCCTGGTGAAATGCGTCACATCACGCAGGCCAAAAACTATTACGGAATGCCATTTGGATTTTTATTGGCTGTTTTGAAATACTTCAGGGTTCCCAAGTGTGTGACATAAGGAGCAACAAGAACTGTCTTCTGCATTCATTGTCGCATCTGACGACCAGTGCCTGCTAACACAACTTGCCATCCGGTGTTCACATCGTCAGCTGCTGGCTAGGTGCACATTCAGTACACATTGAGCCCAATGGGGATTGAATTTTCTCGTCCGTGCATGTCCTTTTGTACAACAGCTGGTGGGGGGGAAAAAATCAAGAAATTCGGTCTAGCTGGGGTTATTCTGGATATTGTCAAATTCAAGCATTGGCCAATTACAAAAGGTCAACTATGATTGGCCCAGAGGGCTGTTACGGGCCTTACGGCCTCTATGGCTTAAAATGCCATTATCGCAAAACTTGACAAGGTGTGTAATTAATTTACTGGGGTACTGATGTGGTGAAATCTCGAAATGATCATATATTAATTGTGCCGTGACCATGTTGCTTGTATCCTCGTCAATACATGTCGTACATAATAAGGCTATTGCATATTCAACATTATACCGAGAGTAATACATTTTGCGCCAGTTTTATCATTAAAAGCCTCATCCAATGCAGTTAGAAGCTGAGTGACAAGTGAGCAAAACGTGCAATAAGATTATAGCGGAGGTATTCAAGCGTCTGTTTCGCAAGTAGGATGGATGAAAAACTTTATTGTATTCTTGAACATGCACGAAGATGTCCTAAAGGATTCCGGGCAGCTCCCACGTAGGATTATGTGTCTAATGGCGCTTAAAAATAAACAGTCACATGGACATAGAGTAACGTAGTAAGAATCTTTACTACGTTACTCTATGACATGGATGAATAAATGGATGTCTCAGGCTGTGTCTTTTACATCTTAGAGCTTTAGATCATTAGATCATAGTCATAGGACAATGGACCAGTGCTGTGTTGGTTGCAACTACAAACTGCTGTCCCGTCTACTACCCACCGTCACTACAAATCAATTTTTTTTTATTCAGAATGTTTCACAGCTTTTTCCACATTGCTATTTCATCATTAAACACGCGAACTGGCAAGCTCTTTGTTGCCTAATAACAGGTTGCTAAGAAAATCCATCTACTGTAAAAATTTATTGTCGCGCTTTTTAGTAAGTATTCCGTAAAAGTGTAATTTTTCAATTTGATGGTTACCATATACAGCCAGCAAGCGTAAAAGCGACATCAAGATTTTGTCTCGAAGTCGACGTTTTTAGATAGCTATCTAAAAACGTTGCTTGAAGTTGAGCATGATCTTGAGCACGACCTCCTCTATAAACTTACGACCTGCTCATGCCGCCGCTCCCCGTGTCGCTTGTTTTGCTTTTGCTTGTTTAGTTTTTTTTAGTTCTCGAAAGTGCCGCAGCACGTCTTGGCGCCACAACTAACCCCCACTGCTGCAGCCGCCAAGCCGCTGTTCTGCTTGGTGCATGCGTGCGTTCGCATGATCTTGTGGCACTCGAAGGCAGATTAGTGGTCTCTTCGTTTTGGCTGCACCGGCTGAACCAGTTCAAAGGGTGCAGCACCTTCGTCCTCGTTTTGCCGGAGCAGCGCGCGCCCTCTGTCGCACCCTCTGCACTGGCTCCCTCGTTTTGTCTAGGTGTAAGCCTAGTTCCTGACGAGTTCTGTACCGGCGTGCACGCACTCCAAAGCAGGTGCAGAGTAGTGCAGCATGGCGGGCGTCCCCCCAAGGCCAGAGCAGACGACGTTGCAAATAGTTGTTCAGGGCGTTCAAAAGGAAGTTAAGGCACTTCACAATCCCGACGGGTCATTTATGACGGACGCCAACGGTTACGTCTATGAGGCATCAGGTAAGTCAGGCTGCATGCATTGCCAAAAAACGTGGTTAGCGGCCAGGAGTCGTAGTCGGTCAGCAAACAGCCTCGTAGCATTGCTTATGCTATGTCGGTATTTTTAATCTTGGTTTTCGCCCTTGCAGACGGCAAGCGCGTTACGTTGCGGTTCATGGCAGGGAATCGTGAAAATGACCCCCCTCCGGCACAACCGCCGACGCCTTCTCCTGCCTGCGACGGCGACGTTGACAGCGATGGGGCTTTAGCCGCATTTCCAGCAGCAGCCGCGTCGGCTGAAGATGTGGAAGAGCTTTGGAGCGCCCGAAAAAACAAGGTTCTTCATCGCCAAATACTCGGAAATGAAGGACTTGGTGGGAAAAACCAGGGCACTTCGGTATGTCATCCTATGTCCAAAATTATTTGCAGCTTTTTATTATTCCGTTTCACTCTAGGCAAGCACCAACAAGATAAGGGCGCATGAAGTTCACAATGGCGATGGTTATTGTTGCCTACATTTTACTGCCAGCAATTTACATTTTACTGCCCCCCCCCACTGAAAAAAAATTTTGGCTATGCGCCTGACTGTGACATATACGTTTACATATACACACAAACAGTATGTATAGTCACGCACATATATACACAACGAAGGCATTCGTAATGTTTCATTAAGTCAAGTGATCTTCAAAAACAGCGACGGTGCTTTTGTGTTGGGCATTGCACAACCGCTGTCTTGCCGAAAAGGTGCAGCACCTCCAAGCTCAAGCCATGTTGCAAGTGTAGTGCTGCCTTGAGAATTTGCACTAGAGGGAATTGCATGTTGTTATTCTGAGGCACATCTCTAGCAAGTCTCGCCCTGCAGTCCTTGTGTCTTCACTGTCTGTCCGCATTTCTCTCGCACTGCCACTTTTCAAGATGGTGCAGCTCATTGTTAAAAGAGATATGCTTCTTGACACGTGCTACCCTATCTTTGAACCTAGACTGCGCCGTCGTGTCAGCAAACAAGGTTGCGCAGCTGCATGTTTTACAATGCAAAGACAGGTTAGAATATGGCTGTCTCCTTAGTGAAGCTTTATGATCCAAAAGAGTGATTTACACAATGTTCAACTTCTCCAACATAATGCTTCCCGCACAAAAAGAACGTTCGCAGTTATCAGAAGTGTGTGAATAGTGAATTTCGGAACCTAATCAAGTAAGAGTCAAATAGTAATGGCACCAAATAGAATACAAATAGTAATTGAATACTGTTTGAATAGTAAGTAGACCATTTTCAAAACAGCCTTAGAACAGAACATTTTATTTGAAACAAATAGTCACAAACTTTCGACAAAGGCCATTACAGTCAGTTTGAATCTACTCAAAATACCACAATTACGAAAACTAAGGTAATCTCGTATGCAGCAGGAACTAGAATATTCGTAACATTTTGTAATTGTAGGTTCAACTACGGCATTGACTAGCGTTATCAACGTGAGACTTTGTCACCTCACTTTAAATAAAATTGGGACACAAAAACAAAACAATTTACAACCAAACATTGCAGATACAACTAAATATGTAACGGAGCAGATCAACCCGTCATCACAACATGGCCTGCGCACTAAAAGCGGATAACAATGGGCGTTGAAATTTACATCTGCAAGAACAATTTACGCAAACGCAAAACTTGTATCTGTTGCTAGTCGTGAAGCTGCAAGCACTCGTAGTTCCCACCTTTGGTTATTACAAGACGAAGACAGGAGCTGATAAATGCGATACAGCTAAAGTGCAGTAAAAATTGAGCAAGAATGGAGCTTTCAGAAGCGCATTCATTCGACAATCAATATAGTGTAGGTAGTCTTGCAAAAGCTTGGGCTGCGTACAGGTCACATTAGGGATTGAAAGAATGACTTGTAGCTGTTTCGTTGTTTTGGGGTTCTCCCGCCAGTGCCGATTATTAAAAGAATATTTGTTACTTAGAATATGTGCAATTCGATTCGACTTAGGAACCGAATACAGTGCTGTTTGATTCATTATCCAAAATTTTCGAATAATCGAACATCCCTAGCAATTATCCCTGAAAGCTACACATATGAAGTACTAAGGAAAGGTTCATGTGCTACTGCAAGACTTGGGTCACGTTACGTCGCTTCCTTCTTTCCTACTAACTGTGCTTTGCTTTTTTGTTTAGCACAAGAAGGCTTCTGTGGAAGAAGTTGGCTGAGGCCATCAATACGGAGTTCTTGTGCAACGTGACTGCCACACAAGTGGAAAACAAATGGAAGTCGCTGGACAGAGCATATAAAAAGTCAAAAAAAGACAACAATTCTTCAGGTCACCACCGTGTGAACTGTGAATATGAAGAGTAAGTTACGATTGTGTCTTCATATCTTCAGTGATTCTCATAGTGTCTATTACAGAGAGCTGGCAGAAGTCTTGGAAAAAGAACATAGTGTAAATCCAAGGCTGCTCTTGGAGCCTGGAAAAACAATCCTGCCTAGTGCAAGTCCAGAGTAAGTAAAAATTACTTAATTTGTGCTGTAGCCTGGAAATGACATGGCACCTGTACAATTACTTTCAACAGCACCAGCATCACTGAAGCACCTCAAGATGCAGCAGTCCCAGTCGAGTGCAACACAGCATCCAAAGTTCGGAGCAGCACAACGCCAAAAAGGAAGCGCCAGAGTAGGTCCCAAGTCACGCCGCTCTTGGAGGCATTAGAAAAAATGCAAGCTTCGAGAGCTAAGCAAGAGGAGGCAGCAGTGAAACAACTGGAGGAAAGAAAAAATGGGAAGAGGCAAAGGCAAAGCGGCATGATGAGCGCATGCAGCGATTCGATCGGTTGATCGACGTACTCTCAAATAAGGACGGGTTATAATATGGGCAATAAACTTTTATAACACTAGCAGTGTCTACTCCATCTAATTTGTTAAAAAAAAACATTGCTTCTAGACGCGGCACCCCACTTCGCAAAACATTTGCACACTGAATAAATCGCGAAGCAAAGATGAACTTCTAGCACTGTTCCTTTGCAATGAACTCTCGCAGAGACTGACTGTAGCCTGGCAGACTGCAATCAAAATCTCCTTCACTTTCATCATTGCCCACATCTTCTTCTTGGGGAAGCGTTGCAAGTTCCTCAAGGAAGTCCCTTTCATCGTTGCACATGTTGTGTAGCACACACGCAGCCATAACTATATAGCAGCACTGTTGCACACTTTTTGCATCAACAAGGTAGAGCCTCCTAAAACGCTGTTTAAGCAGGCCGAAGGTGTTCTCAATAAGCACTCGTTGTTGACTGTGTCGTTTATTGAAGCTCTTTTTCCACGTAGGAAAAGAACTTCCATTGTCCTTGAATGGGGTCATGAGCCATGGCATCAGTGGATATGCACTGTCACCCAGTATATAATTGTCTTCACATTCCTGAATTGCGCGTGCAAAGAAGGGGCTCTCCCTCAGGACACGGGCGTCGTGAACCGAACCTGGAAACCCAATAAACACGTTCAGCAACTTGTTCCTGTCGTCGCAGATTCCTTGCAGGATTATCGAAGGCCACTTTTTCCGGTTGAAGTAAGACTGCGTAGATTCGCTTGGAGTGAGTATCCCGATGTGTGATCCATCGATACAGCCGATGGTGTTTCTTGGGCCCTTGCCTTTACTTTTGGCGAGGAAGCCGTTCTTTATGCGGGTCACTTCCGCGCTACTAGGCCAGCAAATTATCTCATCGCTAATAGCGTGTAAGAAGTGAACGACCCGTGTCACACAAACATGAACAGACGACTCGGTAACATCGAATTTGTCGCCTATGGCGTACATAGATATTTGTGAGCCTAGGTACACAAGCGCTATGAGGCATGTTTTTTCGGCACTGATTTGTTGGCGGCCTTGCACTGCCCTTGGGTAGAAGGCTGAAGTCTTGAACTTGGCCCTGAAACTATCAAAAGTCTCCCTGGACAGCCTGAAGAGGCGCTTGAATTCATACTCATGGTACCTGCCGATAATGCTTTCGTACCCGGGTACACGGTTGGCATCGTCGCGCACCAACGCGCACGCGACCAAGATGCACGCATCGTCGTACTCATCGTCGCAGTCACTGCAAACGGCACCGCTGACGGAATCGTCGTCGCTGCTCGAGTCCAGCAATTCCATCGCAGTCACAAGAAGTGCCATCACGGCCGTGTATTGATCGGACAAGGCGGCGGAGGCGGCTATTTTAGGCTTACACTACAAGGTGTTCTCCGGCCTGCACTCACGTCAACTCACGCCTTCGTTTTGGCTGTAGCCGTCGCGCGCTAGTGTCGGCTAGTGCCGAGGCGTGGTTGAGGCTGCACCTGCACTTGCTCGACCGGCGCTGCACGCTCACTGCACCGCTTGGCACCGCTTTTTCTGCACCTGCACTTTTCTGAACTAGTGCAAGCCAAATCGAAGATTCCTTAGATTTTCCTGTACTGGTATCTGATGCTTAAAAAGCAATGTTTGGACAAGCATATTATTTACTACTGTTGCTGCAGTGTACCATTGTTCTGGGAATAAAACATTTGTTTGAACCATAAGCTTACTTGTCTGTTTCTTGCCATTTTACAGTGTGAATACAGCCACTTACAAATGGAAAATTCAAATTTTTAGCACTGAGCAAGCAATTTATGCACATTTGTAGCGGTCATAAGGGACTTCTAAGCATTTTATTGTAAGGGTGAAGGCATCAGGTGAAATAAAATTTTGTTCTTCAATCCCATGCCACAGAGGCTTTTGATGTGTGTCGGTACAGCATGCATCACAGGCATGATGTGAACGAAACAATTGGCAGCTGAAGCATCAGGAATAGTACATTATTGGTGGGTAATACCATGTGGGTTAATGCTAAAAGTTCGTGGAATAGAATAGGGACAGTGCAAAGTGATTTAGCCAGTTAGAACTCATGCTTTAGATTATAAATAAAACTCTCGTTTCTATACAACGTTATTCCCATGAGGGAAACGGAGCACGCTAGAGCTGTTGCCTCGTAATGCTTGTATGTGGATGCTCCAGTAAAGGCGTGGGCGCACCGCCGATGTGAGACACGCGGAAATGCTAGCGACGCTCGAACAGAGGCCATAACTTCAATAAACTGTGTCTGATAATATATGTATGTACGAGAAATTGCTGTAACGTTGCGATAATCCGCCGGTTTTGTCGCACGCTTCCATCGTTAGACGTTCGCTAGACCCAAAGCACCCAGACGATAGCACAACTGCGCCCCTCTGTCGTCATCCGTGCACAGTATGACAACGATATGCTTGAAGGGCGACGTTCAGGTCATAAAAACTTACACGGGTTATCGCATGCGTCGTTCGTACCGTATGTCGTCTTCATTTACGTCGTAGACACGTCGGTTTCAAGTTTCAACTTGTTACATGCAAGATCGCACCAGCTCGCCCACGAACGAATTATGTTTGTGGCTGCTAGACAGCGGTTAGGCGGGGCGCCGCTGCTTAAAATAAAGCGAGGAAATAAGGCTTACGTTCTCTGGGTTATGTGTCGCATATTGCTTTCGTTTGCCTGCACTTAGAGGGGAACGCAAAAGCGCTCGCGCAAAGATTGAGGTCCGGTAACGAGCATCCCGAAGCCATCCACCACGGTGCTTCTCACAACCAGAATGTTGCTTCGAGACGTTAAATCAGTGGATTGCTTGATCCACGCGTTAGAAACTAGAACAATGAGAGGAACGCGCACACACGAGTGCACCACAACGGTCGTGCGTCGTCTGCTATGGGGGTAAGTGGTGGCGGCATCTGGCGGTACCTCCGGTCTCTACACGCCAATTTTTAGCTCCATACGCCTCCGTAGGGATGGCGCCGGTGAGCAGGTCGTAAGTTTATAGAGGAGGTCGTGATCTTGAGCCAATGTTTTTACGACTATGGTGAGTGGCTTCGTCTTACTACACGAGCCGCGCGCATCCAAGCCACCCGTCAATCCAATAGGTGACGCGTGTTCATAAAGTACGCGCGTCTGTGGTGCGCGCGCGCGGCAAGGCGCTCTTGCGTTCTGTTGTTCACGTGTGTTAATGCAGACGCGTTCAGGCACATTGCAATTTTCCCGTCGAAGAACAACGATGTTGGCGTGAAATGGTTAGAATGAGAATCTGGGAAAGCGATTCGCAGATTAGCACTGTGCCACGTAGTGTCAAAACGGCTTTTTCAAGATTGATCGATACGTTCTACAGTGAACGGGACACTGTTGTGAGGTGCTAGTTTGGGCCAACGCCAAGTAAGTTTTCTTCTTTTTTTTTTTTTTTTGAGCAGCCTTGTCTCATTTTATTTTGGTTGGGAAGCCCTTCTAACGCCCAAACCGCGTTCGGGCTTTGTCATCCCAGACATGGATATCGCTCGACGATTCAAATTTGACCATAAAACCACATCAACTGCCGCAGAGCTTGTCGCTATCCGGAAGGCAATGAGATTTTTTTCCGGAGAGCGACCTCGAGCCTTGGACGATTTTCTGTGATGCCGAAGCCGCTTTGCAAACCATTAATGACATCATGAAGCAAGGTCCATATTACATCTTGGCAATAGAAATTGCAGAACTCATTCAGGTTGCTTCAACAAATGGCCATCTTATCACTTTCCAGTGGATTCCCGCGCATTGCGGCGTTATGGGAAACGAAGAGGCAGACACTGAAGCTAAAAATGCCTTAAGCAGTGCCCCTGAAGTACTTACTCATTGCGTTTTCGCGAGCTGACACGAACGCCCTGCTTCGCTGCGTGATGCGCAGCTACACACTTCAGTACTGGACCAAACCGGAACGGCGACTTCACAAATGGGACCTGGAAAATAGGTTCCGCATGAGGTCTTGGTGTGGCGTACACCAGACGTTACGCACATAGCATCGGTCGCAGTGACAGCGGTCCTAATTGTTAACACTGTGATGTATGTGCCAGAAACATTTGAGCACATATTTGGTGTCTACCCAGCATACGCACGTGAACGACAAACACAGATTTCTTCTACTGAACTGTATCGCAGTAGGTCATTAACTGATAGACCGTGTTGGGCCCTTTGCCAGACACCAACAGTGCAACTGCGGTCACAAGAGCAGTTATAACCTTTTTGGAAGCAACTGGACTATATGCGCGGCTATAAAATTTGTCTCAGCTAGAAAGAATACTACATACTCACTTCTTTATCTCACCATCGTCATCCATTAATCTTTCTTTTCCCATTTCCCTTCCCCCAGTGTAGAGTAGCAGGCTGACCTCTCTGCTTTTCTGTAAATAAACCTATCTCTCTCTCGCATTCGGGCTAGTTGGTGCTTTGGCATGGCAGTGTTCTGTGGCTTTGGTCAGACAATAGTATGGAGGCTAAAAGAAACAAGGACAAAAGAAAATTGACCCGTGCCAACAACTCGCTCGTTAGTTCGCAATAGGTCTGTCTTTTCTTCTCTTGGAGTTCATGGTCGAATTCATGGTGAATGCATTGCACCATGACGGTACTGTAGTGTGCTCGGCGCAAGGTTGTGCAGTAGCGTTGGATTGAAAATTGGGGAATTTCGGATTTGAAATAATAAAGAAAGGCTTGGACATTACTCGAGCGCTACTATCTACTGGAAATTTTAGTGACGGAACTAAATAAAACACATTTAGCTGTACATGCCCCTACAATGCAACATTTAATCCATGGCCAGTAGTTGTGATATTATTGGATGAAACAAGACAACTTACCCTCAGAGCTTGGCTGTGAGCATGTAGTAAGTTTTCACGGTAGGAGTAAAAGTAATGTATATGCCATAAAGAAGGGGCGAAAAAGCTAGCAGTTGTTCTGTCTACGTGCACAACCGTTAAGTGAATCACCTTAAAGATAGGACAGAAACGACATCGCTGCTGGCTTTCATGAAGGAGGTAGGGTGGGGAGAACGTCTGCTGCGCTTGGTTGCGGGAACGACTGAGCGAGTGGGTGTGCGTAAGGTCCCTAGGATGAACGAAGTTTCCAAGGTAGCGTCACTCATTGTTCTCGAGCCGTCCCCTCACTCTCCTTGTTTACCTCTCCTTCTCTCTGCCATCCGCGTCTGTAATTGGTGCATTCCTTGCACGTGATCTTGCAAATGGCTGGTGATGTTATTTATTGTTATGCAAAAGGTTCAAAACGAGTGCGCATGCGCATATGGCTCTAGCCGGATTCTAGCCGTGACGAAAGACGAAATCGTAGCCAGGACATATACTAAGAGGAGCTTTTCAGTTGGCGCCAAGTCGACCAAGATTGTTTCGCAGTGCTCGTTCAATGCAATGTTCTGAGTTCTTCAACAATGCTGCGTTGCCGTAAAACAACAGAAAACGGTTTCGCTCTCTTCAACTTACCTTGTGCCATCTGAAATGAAGCATGCCGTGAAGTGTAGCTATGAAACATTTCATGCGAACACTTTCGTGCTACTTCGACCACGTGGATCTGCGAAGCGAGCTTATTTGTCGTTTTTTATTGAAACGCCAGAAGCGTGTCTAGTGAATGCCAGTCGTTACAAATACTTGTGCATATGCACGTATACAGAGCAGCTGGAGCGTGTTATCAACGCACCTTCAGAAACATTTCGCGCTTGACCAGAACGCGTCATAAAGGATCCGAAACGCCCTGTTTCGGGACACCTCACCGGTAGAACTCTCGCTTTTCAGGAAGATCCGCACACCCCACCAGAATCACCTCGCATCACGATCGTCAAAATGGGCACATTAAAAAAAGAATAGTCATCGCGGTGCTGCTAGTCAAGCATTCATACCAGTATGGCCGTGGTTTTTCCTTGCATGTGCAAAAGCCGGCTGTAATCACTCGTCACAACGTTACACGCTGTGGTCACTGACGTGATACAGCGGAAAAGCGCGTTCACTGTGTCACAGCGCCAACAAAACACATTTGGAGAACTTGACTAGTTACGATGTACGAGTCCGACGCATGACTCCGTGGCTAGTGGTGAGAATATAGAACTGAACATTGTTGCCAGTTGAGTAACGCGCATTCCGCTTGCTTTTGTGCTGTACCGTTTACATTCATAAAGGTAACCGTTTATTCTACGACTCATTTTGTTTCATTAACACCTATTCACCGTAGCAACTGAACCCAAACACTCGCTTTTTGATAAAAGTTTTGAGCCTTCTAGGGGGCGCTTAAGGAACACAGGCGAGAAGGAAATGGAAAGGTGTCCCTACCTTGGAAACTTGTTTCATCTAGGGACCTTAGGTGTGCGGCGCAGCGAGAGCCATCTGCCGCCGTGCGTGCCTGATTGGCTCGACGCGCTTGACCAGTGCTGGGAGCTTCGATAGTTGAGTGTGGGCCCAAAAGTAAACGCGTTACAACTTGCAGCACCTGCAAATGAAGCGAACCCGTCACCGAAAAATCCCGTGGTTCAACGTTAAGTCCCTGAAAAAACATAAGTAGCGCCAACTGCGTCTCTTCGCCACTGCCTCCTCTCTCAGCAGCTGCAGCAGCGCCCAGGGGAGGGTGGGCCGGGGTCGTAGGAAGCAGACAAGATGGTGCTTGCACTACCAAGGCTACGAAGAAGGGGGAGAGGAGGAACCTGCACGCTGACACGAATGGCGCTACTTTAGTTATAACTATTCGAGGGACTTTGGTTCAATGCGGTTCAACCAAACTTTTTGAACGATCCCAGCAACTACCGCAGAAAGCATGGCACGGTCGTGTCACACGTAGAAAGTAATCGCTGCACTGTCCACATCCCGACGTGTGCACCTCTTTCACAATGCCACGGTGGATGCGCCCTTCCCCTTGCGAAAAAGTTGCGAAAGGCTTCTTGATCTCGGAGCCTTTTCCTCTGGTGGTAGCAGTTGCATGACCTCCTTTAGAGCAGATGTCACGGCCCCTAGCAAAACACCATAGAGCAGTGCCGGAGAGAGGAAAAGGGGGATTGCCGGCACACAAGCCACACCGAGCTATGGAAGAGGTGTGTGTGGGCGAGGACAACACACTGACACTGTGCATGTTCGTTGCTGTGACGACACCGGCATTGTGAAATATTGAGCACATAACGCTAATGTTGTGTACCACTGGGAAATTCCGAGTGGCAGCCAAAATCCCGAAGTGAGCACTGGGATTGCATTAAACCAAATTCGCTAGGGACGCACATGACCCGCGTGAGCTTACTCCGAAAGATGATGCACACGGTCACGTAAAGTGGTCTCAGAAATTATTCATGCTTCCGCTCCGTATGTTGCCTGCTAAAAAAGTGGGACCAAGGTCACGAGGTACAAGCAATCTGGCGTGAAGCGAGTTGTTATAAAGAACCAGCGGAACGTGCAAACCCTCTCTAGAATCAACTAGTGAAATATCGATTCGCTGCCATGAAGCAAGGAAAATATTGTTCCTAACCGACCAGTGAAAAACGCCAATAATCCGAAACTCAAACATTTCTCAAACGTTCTTGCTGTTTTCGAAATGCAAGCTGCTTGATCTGGAAACAACTTTAGCATCAAGTAAAAGAATCTTTCTATGCACTCTGATTTTTTTCACAAAGCTTGCATAGAGTTCTTTCACATATAAGTATGTGATATGCACAAGTAAGACAGACTAAAAGGGAGACACAGACAGGAGGCACACTTACACTGTGCATGTCCCTTTTTGTCTGTCGGTCATGTCCGTTGCGCCTAATTTTTATAATCAAGCAATACCAACATGCCAAGTTGTTCGCTGTTATATTCCTTTGACATTATGCATCTTTTCTCATTTCTTTCTCTTCCTTTTTTTTTTTCCTCATTGAAAACCAGAGTTTCGCACCAGCAGAGACCAGAACCTGACACATTAGCCATGGGCTATTGGGAAGACATGAGGGATGCCATCGAAAAGATGGGCGACCCGTACGTGTTCTCCAATAGCGAAGACCTGGTCGTCTTAAAGCTAAACAAGCCTCTACCGGTAGTCCCTCCATCCCTCAGCAACTGACTGTCGACCCTAGCCGCACGATGCTCACAACGTGCCCGGCAGGCTTTATGAGCTGCCAAAGCTTCCTCGTCAAGCACTCGTATTCTACGATACTCTTCTCAGGTTTGCCTGAGATGAAGCCAATGAAAGGAATGGTCGTTGCCGCCAGGAACGTTGTCTCGAAGGCACAGGAGCTGATTATTGTGCACAACAGGCAAGTTTTCTTCTCAGCTGTGGTCTCCTTTTTCAAGTTAAGCTTGTATTTTCTCAAAAGTGTCATTTGTGTGGAAACTGTGACTATAAAAAAAAAGTCACACATGTGAAGAAATGCGGCCTTCGATGGTGTGGTGGTCACATGCTTAATTATATGTGCCGCTTTTCACTGATCCTTTCTTTCTCATTCTTGGCCTTGCCTTGGGCAGTCCGAAACCATTACCCACCTTCCATCCATTCCTGTCCAAAGCCATAGAATTCAGAGCACAAGTTTACTAATTAATTGAGCTTACTTACTCATTTAGAGATGGCACATAATGCAACTAGAAAACACTTGCAGGAATTGAACCATGAAAGAGCTTGTAGAGCTGTGCCCAATTACAGACTGCTTTGACCGCGTTGCATTTTCAGGAGGGACCTGACAGTGGATTGCAGAGGATTAATGAGACGTTGGTTGTTGTGGGAATTGAGGCTGGCCCGCTGCCTTTGCGCGGGCTTTCCCGCCTTTTCTGCCGTTCTCATGTCCCGACATGTCTGCCCTCCTTTGCTGTCTGCCGCGCTGGGAAGGGCGGAGTGACGTTTAACTCCCTCACCCGGTAGCGGCTGTTGACTGTGGCGCCGCGCATGGAGCCTCTCGAGAGGTTTTCGCGCACTGCGTCAGGGGCAGGCAGTACTCTCCGGGACAGCAAACGGTGAGCCACGCCGTCCGTCGACTCCCGTCGCTCGGGGGCTCGTTGGACTTCGCTGACGGCGCCTCGCGCCCGAGGCGAACGCTCACCTTTTGTTGCCCCACTGCGTACTCACGGCCGAAGGGCGGTACGGTGTCCTAGTGCGTGGCCTCGCTACGCCGACCCGTCTCCCTTCAAAGCCAACGCGAGGGCCTTTGCCCTCGCTCGAGCAACCGGGCCTTTGTTCCGGTGTTTCCGTGGATCACCTTTACCGCGGAGACGTGCTCGTGGCACCCTGTGCAGTACTTTGTGCCCGTGGCGTGGATAAGCCTACTTGCTTTCCCGCCGCGCCTTTTTGCAACGGGCTGTACTGCGTTTGGTGTTGCCACAATAAAGTGTTGCGACTTTGAGCAGTATCGTGTTCTCGCCACGGCGACGGTTAACGCGTGCCCTGCGGCTCGCTAAGACTGGACCCACGCTGGTGGCCGTACTCCTTCGGGATACGTGTACACCACAGTGTGGCACAAGTGTGTTGTTGAATTCGGTTTATGATGAAGTATTACATGACTGACTATAATAATTAGATGGATATTTACATTGTAATTACAGTTAGTTGCTGTAAAACATACGATAATATATTTTCTTACCCTGCACTTTTTTTTTAAATTTGATCTCTGGATCCTTGACATCATATTGTGTAAATTTTACCTATTTATAGACATTCGATCATAACGCATGTCTTCAACTTTAGACAAAAAATCCTGATGTTGCCTCATGGTCTTGAAGCTTTGACATGAGCCCCATGTTACTATTGAGTGTTGAAAACGGCTAGGGCTTCGCAGGGACCGGATGGCCGACCTAGTGTCGTGGTTCACCAAGCTCACTAGGCTGATCCTGTACCATGACCTGATGCTGCAGTTGGATAGCTCGGACGAAGTGCAGGTGCTGTCGCACCCGTCGCACCTCCACCAGGTCTGGGGCACCACGCCAGCAGTCGGCACCGAAGAGCTCTTCCTCTGCCCCCAGACGCTCACCATGCTGCTTGCAAACTGTCCTTCAGTAAGAGTGTCCTTTCGTGTTTGTGTTTTTTTACAAAAACGGGGTTGTACCCAAGCAAGCGTTGGCAGTGAACAATCTGGGTGCGTAGAAGTTGTACTTCTGTGCTCCGTTTTGCGATGGGGAATGCTGCAAACGCTGTGACAAGATCGATCACTGCTAGCACAGGCAGCGGCAAACTGGCAGGTAAAGAACTTGATTGGATCAAATAAATCCTGCTCAAATTTAAAATAACATGACTACAATCAGTTACAATGTAATAAATAATGTAAGCTCTACCCACAGTCGTCGCTGTCTTTGCATAAATGCCCCATTCAGAGCATTTACTCATTTCAGTCACGTCAAGCACCTTTCGCATACTTGAGGTAGGTGACTTTCTCATACAAACACATGTTCGTATTGCTGGTCCTCGATGGAAAACTTGAACTTCTTGGTAAATTTCGGCAAAGATTCTGATGTCACTGCTCAGCTGAACGCAATACTAATAGTAGAGACAATGAAGTTTTGATTCTGAATATGCTGCCAACCCTTCATATTGCTGCGTGCATAGCTGCATTTAGCGGCGAGATAGCGACGACAACGAAGAACGCGGATTTGCTCGAGAGGCGCAGCGCAGCAGAGTGAAGAAGACGACAATCTTAGCGGCCTTCTCTGAGAGCGTCTCTACAAGTCCCACTGTCCGTGTTTTTAAATAAACCCCCTGTCACTTATAACCCGCGACAATATCTTCCCGTAAAATATACGAATTTCGACCGCGCTTACGATTTGACGAATCTTACCTGAAATTTCACAAAAGATATTTCATTTCCGATTAAAACAATAAAACTAGCAAAATAGCGTGGTCTCCGCGATTGGCTACGGCAATGTGCCGTAGCCAATCGCGGAGGCCACAAAAACGGCATTGTGCTCTATTCCACCACCAGGAGAGAACAATATGTATTGGTGTTATCACATATCTGCCAAGTCTCCCGCATTGTCCAGGAAACTCTCGGATTTTGATGGTTTCTTCCGTTTGTACGGTTGTCATAAAAATCCCTGGATATCTAAATTTGTGTGCGAGATGTGGCTGCATTGACAAAAGTGCTGGTCAGTCCGTTCCAGGCTTTTTGAGAGCCCACCGCATTTTGTTATAAACGAATTTGAGAGGCGTTCATCTAAATGTACAGAAGAGTCTCAGTGATGCAAAGCTGCAGTGAATATGAATTGGTGAAACTCTCCTGTCAAATTGTACCGAAACTGTCAAACGAAGGCCAATCAAAAGCAGCGTGCTCGAACTTCAGAAGTACCCGTGCGGCCAGCGCACGTACTATCTTCTACAGTGCGCATGGTTGTCGTTGCCATAATTGCTGTGGATGAAACCGCGGTAGTTCGGCACCATGATGTATGGTGACGACGTTACTGACAGAACTCCGAAAGTGTGCGCACGGCCAACGCTCGACCGATCAAAGCAACACTGCTTTCCGCAAGCCACGGCAGTTGTGATCATAGATAGCATACAACGACTTAGTTTTCAAGGCATGTGGACTTAAAAAAAAAAAAACGTTTACCGCAACCATCGTGGCGATGCGATAGCAATCTATGAGCTCGGCGGACACGTGGCTGGCGCAGAGGTAGATTAAAGGAGGTAAAGACGTAAAAACGACTAGAAGCGTTTTGACATTCCTGTCCTAAGAATCAAGTTGCGAGCAAAGCCAAAGCTTTGACCCATGCTTTCGTGGCAGCCAGCTGCGCCGTCTCGTCCGTTCACGTGTGAAGACATACGTGAGTTGTTTTGACGGAATCGATTTTTTGGCTATAGTTATATTGATGGCGCAAAATTTAGGAAGCATTTGCGCTCCCCCTTTGAGACTTTCACCTTAGTGGGAAACCCTACCCTCGTGTGTTCGGCCACTGCAAGCCATTATGAGACCGCAACACCGATATCTGCGCTTGCGTTTGGACCCCCCTTGTTTTTTGCAATGTTTTTTTTTTTAGTGGCAAAAAAAAGGGGGGGGGGAATAATTCAGCGCGCCGATATCACTTATGGCGGCAAAGCAAGATTATGCTTGTCGCTAAAGGCAAATCATTCACACCTACAAATTAAAAAAAAAAAATTGGTAACCCCTCCCCCCTCTTGCCCCCCCTTCCACGCTCGTGTGTTTTACGAATTTCTCTGTTGCCAGGTTGGCAGGTATTTGTGTTAGCGATGAAGTACTCATGGTTAAACGGAAACTACTTATCACGACTCCTTTGCACTAAAAGACGGCAGGCGCACCATAGCTCCGGCGGTGAAGTTTGTATTTATTCTCAGGTTGTAATAAACTATAGCGCCAAGGAAGGGAAAACGAGTGTTCACTTCGTCGGTGAACACCCTGAAGATGTGGTCACAGGGCAGTTTCATATCTAACAGAAAATTTGTTTGCCTTTGGTATCATGTCAAAAGGAAGGCGGTCTTGCAGTCCTTCATAAGAACTTTGTACAAATGCAAGGCTTCTGAAGCTGGAAGTATTTCACTAATGGCCTGATGTTTTTCCAAAAGATGCGAAAAAAAGTGATGAAGGTGCATCCAACCCTTGTGTGTATTGTTATGTGTCACTTTTGTCACTGGCTTTGTCTGGCTGTAAAAGTGCAGCCTTTTTCTCCCGTCCTCCTATTTTCGCAGTGACAGTACTTACAGTAGAAAATAAATTTTGATTGATTGATTGGTCGATTGAATAGGGCTCATAGCTATATGATCACTACACGTTGACAGTTCAAATTTCTTCGGACTTATCCAATATTTGGGCAAGTTGAAGATTTACTTCTGTAATGTAACGATGAAACCACATCTTAAAACTTTCAAGTTGCAGCAAAAGGTTTCCACGAGATCTGGGGAAAAGCCTCTTAAGTAGTGTCTACCTTATGCAAAAGTGTCGTATACAATAATGTACACTTCAGAATCCGTGACATATGTTAGCTTATGCAGGCTTGATTGCTCGGTGTATGCCGAAGCCCTTTCGTAGTATTTTCCTCGCTCTGCACTTTCACTTAATTTTCGCAGCTGTCGGAGCTTCAAGCACCCCTGCACGAAGCCATCATGCTTACAGACCGGTTTCAAGCAAGGTCGCCATTTTTTCCACCCGTGTTCGACAACTGTCGGGAGCTGACCTTGGGCTCCTACCTTCGGCGAAGCACGCGCAGCGCAACTATGATGGGCACCACTACCCTGCCTTGCATTAAGAAGGCGCACAAACTGTATCCAAACCTCGAGCAGTTGCAGGTAAGTTGTGCCTCGCTCGAGTAACTTGCACTTATAGGGACACTAAAGAGCAAGACATTTTTTTCGTGTAATAGTAAAGTGCAATTTCAGAATTTAGAAAAACCATTTTTACCATGGCACTACGCTTGGTAAAACATGCGAAAAGAAAATGCAGGTTTTAGGGAATTAGTGGGCAAACATAAGGTTGTACTGTTGAACCCCTCTATAAGAGACGAATGGGTATAAAACACCAGTGTGCCTACAGTAAAATACGGGTTAAAAAATGCATACGAGGTACCCTGCTTATAACAGACCTGTCATATAAGAGACAAGAATTGGTGCCCAGAGGACGCCTCTGTAGTTTCATTTTTAAATTTCACTCCGAAACCTCTGCACGTGACGTTGCGAATTTCAAAATGTATTTTTCGTGTCTTCGGAACATGGGCTCAACGAAATTTTCAGAAACTCCCTATGCGAGGTTTGTGGCACCCACAGGGGACTGTGTACGTCACTTTTTATCGATTGGAAACTGCGTGAGACCCAGTAGACACCTTCGAGATTTCTTACGTCATGGTGTTTGGTGCAAGAATCTCAAGGTGGCATCTGTGCCCGCATTTTATTTTTCTGTGTTTTCTCGCTTACGTAGCATTGTCTTGCCGTATGAGTGGGGCTTTCGGGACTGTCATATTGCACTTTACTAATGCACAAAAAGCCTTTTTTTCTCCTCAGTGTCTTTTTAGGGCCCTGCTACTTTTTTTTTTTTTTACTCTTGGTAGCAGTGAAGTGTGTTTAGCATTGAATACTGAGGTAATTGTGAAAAGAATAGGAAAAATTGGGTTGCTAAAAAAAGATTAGCTATCAGAGTTCAAAAAGCGATTGTACAGTGAGAAAAAGCAACCCCTTTTGCATTTTATTTTGCCAATAGTGTGACTGCCTGTGCATGTTCTTGGAGCTAGTCACACTATGTTTGCATTATGCCTAATTGCTTAATTATTCACTATTATTCAGCCGACTTCTAAAGCAATGAATTATAATTAAAAAGTTGTACAACAGTTTGCAAAATGTCTGATTAGATATTTTTTTAATCTCTTATTAAGTGTTTCCTGTATTTCTGCTTACTGCAGATGGCCAGGAAAAGCAAAACAACTATGTCACATGACAGGCCGGCTTGCACGATTTAATTGCAATGCTCTTTAACGTTCTACATAGTGCAAACAACCGTATCGTTTTTCCTAGATGCTGAGTGAGCTCCCGTGTGGTGCACGCTGATTTAGGATACTGACGTGATTAAACTGAAGTGGTGCACTTGCAAGGGCACGCCTTTATCATGCTCCAGAAGGCCCGTTTTAAAATATTTCGCTTAGTATGAGCTATGTTTGTACCACAACCATGTCTGAAGCAAGACAGCTGTTTGTTACAGCTGGATGAAGTTTCGATGAGTTGCTTGATTTGTTCGGGGAAAGAAGGGTGTGCTTCGCTGATTTTGCCCTAAATTGAGCCCATGTTTGAAGAGGCAATCTTTATTGTACACAAGTTTTCACTCCCGAGTAGCCTCAAGCTTGGCATGTGTGCAACCCTTTCTGCTACGTGGAACACTTTTTTGGTTGCATTTTAACTCGGGCACTGATGTAATCATGGGTTCAGCAAGCATTCGTTTCAGCTGAATTCCCCATTCAATTATAATGGCAGAGCCTGAGCAGCCAAGGGACTCTGTGAGTGAGCGCTGAACTCTGGCATAGAGCGACGCCTCCGTATCCGTGATTGAAATGCAATCCACACAGTCGGAACAAGCGTGGATACGTGGAGGAAGCCGAAATCCTTGGATTGCCCAGAATACCTGTTCCATTCTGCTAATGCTGCTGTAAAATTTGGTTGAATAACCACTCGTACGTAGTGGTTTCAGTGTCGATGACACGATCCGATCAACTGCTCGTGCAGGAACTGGAGCTTCCTGACTCGCAGCTGTCGCAAAACATGCGACACCGACGGTGCCACCAAGGGTGCGAATGTGTTAAAGGGAGTACATCATGCCAAGTTCCAATCCACTCCGCCGATTTTGGCAAAGCAACTTTTATTGCTCCTCGTAGTCGCTCCTTCTCTGAATCCACTCCGACTCTCACATTCGAACACTTGATTCTCGCCCTCACTCTGCCATTACAACACATTTTCCCTGAAAAGAGCAGAAAAACTTGCTTCGACTCCGTCATTGGAATTCAAAGTCAGTAAAGCAAAAATGAAAGAAGCCTCGCCTATTGTCGGGGTGCATTAAAGAAGCCCAGGGGGCCCAGATAAATACCCAGCCCTGCACTTCACCACTCTTCATAATCTTGCTTTGCACTTTAAAAACGACATAGAAACTGATTACCAATTTTTATGGTACCTGTTTTCTTTAGTGCTACTAAAAGTTATTGGTCTAATCACAAAATGGTAATGTGAAAAACACCATGAAAAATTCATCATTTTAATTTTCTATCTTTGTGACTACGAAGTCGTGGATGCTGCAAACTGTAGAAGGTGATCATGAGGGCGGCTGTGCGACCAGTTGTCGCAAAAACAGTCCCGCCTCTCAGCGTAAAAGTTTTGATTTTACCTCGTAAGCAGCACAGAGTAGAGCGAGGGTGCGTTCAAATATACATTCTAATTTAGAGCACTGGTTGAGGACGCTTGAAACTCATCACTTTTAATTCAGTCTTTTGATTTCCACCAGGATTTAATCGCACTTTCTGGCTAGTTGTCAGTCCCCTCAAAGGGCTCGTAAACCACCCAGAGATCGAAATTCAGTTGTGTTGGGGAAATTGTGCACGAGTATACGACAAACGTGGGGTCGTGAGAATGTTGCGAAACTGTGCCATAATAGCAGAGTTACGCGCGTCTGAATATCGAAACTGCAACAATCCCTCCTTTCGCATTTTCCTGCGCTACCCTTCGTGGTATCCTCTCTCAAGCCGCTTTGCCCTCTCGCAGTGCGCCCCTCCCAATCTCGTGTGGCATACGTCATCGCTGACGTGCTGCTTGAAACACAGTCTACTTCCGGTTGCAGCGACTCCGTCAGTTGCGTTGCAGCTGTGTGCTTGCTAGCGAACCGCGGCTGATGCGCCTATATGAATCGTGTCGGTATAGACGCTGTGTTGCGCGCACACCTTCAAGGTATCGACAACACGATGTACCCGTATGGGGACGCAGCGTGCTAGATAACCTCTGCACGAGATGAGGAGCCACCGCCAGCACAAAGAGCTGCTTGTAGACTGACCGGAAATCATAGGCTCTTGTTAGAGAAATCACAGCATATTTCAATCGGCACCTCATGTAGAGGCACAAAAGGTCCTGAAAGAAGGAGAGATTGTTTCTTGTAATTTGTAGCTCCGGCAGCTCATAACGCTGCCACATGTAGAATCATTGATCATGACGACATTCTGTACGCAATGCGTGTGTTTACTTGCAATGTTTGAATAAATATCGGAGGTGGTTTAGTGGCACTTTAAATGTGCAATTTTGTTCAACTCCTGACGCAGGTCTCGACGGTAGACCGGAACGTCCTCACCTTCGTACCAAAGTTCTCCCGGCTGAAGCGCCTTGCCATAATGTATGGCGGCCGAGGTGGAATGTGTCCCTTCTCCCCCTACATCACCGACATGCTGCAAGCGCTTCACTTGACACACCTGACGATAAAATTCTTCAAGGGCATACTTCTGTCTACCATTGCCCGTCATTGTCCAAACCTCGAATGCCTCTCTTTTTTGGACTGCAACCTCAGCGACGAGGCTGTCCAACCTGGCTCGTTTACGAAACTGAGGTCTCTCGCCCTCAGTGACTGCAACATGGACAAAGCATTCTTCACCCTTCTCAAAGATGCCGAGGGCCTCACCAACCTCCACCTCGACGGCGGGTGGGGCATCGCGTTGTACATCAAAGGCCCAGCAGAGCCGTTGCAGCCACGGCCGATCCACAGGGAGATGGAGTTTCTCAATCTCGACACAAACTGGTCACTGAGGGCATTGGACGTGTCGCCCGAGGAGCTTCGCAGTTTTATTGATTCAATGCCAATGCTCAGGCGCCTGAGCACGGACAGCTACGACATTCGACTGTGCATGCAGAACTACTACCCGCACGTGAAGCTGACGTGGCCTACGTGCACGACCTGCATGGCCGAGTTCCCGAAGGTCAACCTTGTGCAGGATTATATATGGCACTCGCTGCATATTGACAATAATGAAGACTGTGAGGACACATAACTTCAAAAAGAAATCTATGTCCCTTTTTCGCTGAGGACAATCGGGACCAACTGTGTTGGCAAGTACAATGAACAGCATCACAGTAGCACTGTGGATTATTCTTGAAATGCCTTCACAATTATGTACAGGGCTGACTTATGCAAGGTGAACACCTCATAAGTTGTAAAGTCAGTAAAACTAGAACATATTCTGCTTCACAAGAAAAATGTCTGTTATATGACGGTAAAGTATGGTGTTGGCTTACGGTGTAGTTATCCAAAATATGAAATAAACATGACCTTGTATGAGGTCTATTACTAATAAGCTGTGAATGATTCTCTACATAAGTTTTGTGAAGTGCAGACAGATGTGTAGCATGCAGGGAACAAGGAGAATAACGATTAATTGTCCCTCTGTATGCTCCTGACATGTGAATAGCATGTGTGCCTACTAAAGGGTCTCTGGGCTGATGACTTCAAATCGTGTTAGTCATTAGGCTACTGTAAGGGTGAATGACTAGTGCTGAAATCCAAGCCTGGTACCTTGTATCGGGAAAACTACTGATGGCGTGAGTATACCGTTCTCCCAGTCGTGGTTTTCCTTCTCAACTTTGAGCAGCCAGGCAGTCTTCCGAGATTCTCTGCATGCGTACAAAAGTTGCCTGGTTTTTCTGGTTTTCTCTGGTTGATCTCCTTGCCAACAAACACACCTACAGAATTTCAAATCTGGATGTTACTACATTTTCTGCAGGTACTTATATCTATGAAGTCAATCAGATTGATTGCATGAGTGGCATCACAAGTTCATGCCTTGTTCTAAATGCAAAGGCAGCTAAAAATTAGACTTGGCAGTACCACTGCAATCAGCAGTGATGCGCATAATAAAAACCCTATTTTAAATTACACCCTCCATGCAGAGCACTAATTGGTTCGTTAAGAGATTTGAAGAACTATCCTCTAGATCAGCATGCGAAATTGTCAACCGTTTTTTGAATATATCTAAATTTGAGAAGACAATAGCTTTTTGAAAACATGGTAGCCATTATGAGAATGCCTTGACGATTGTGCTCAGCTTCTTGGTGTTATACAAAAACAATGGCATACATTGTAATGGTAGAAAAGAATGTATGCTGGTCAGTCTATTTGCACGAAGGCGCATTTCGTGCTTCAACATGGCCATTGCAAGATCACTGTAATGTTTATGCTTCATATACTGCAAGACGTTTGTCCTGAGCACTGAATGGATTATTCACTAGTTGAAACACTGCCACTTGTAGTGACTTGATAAAGTTGCAAGCGCATAAAGCCCCTGTCATGCTGGTGCCATCTGTTGGCCAACTAGGAAATTGCAGTGCTTTGGTTGCCAAGAGAACAGGTTGGATGCAGAACTTCTGTTCGGTTGCATGCCACAGTGCGATCCGCATGCAGCAGCTGCACGGCAATGCTGCTGTGTGTGCCTTCATCGGTGCATGCCATTTTTGTGAGATAAGAGGTGGTGGTATGCCTTGTATGGTGCACCAAAGCCCAAGATTGACCCCACATAGGAAGCAATGGTGTCTTCGTGGGCCTCTGCATTGTATAGGGTAGGGTGTGTTCTTGCAAACATGCATTATACCCATTTTAAGATGCTGTCTCGTATAAGCTCCAACCAGTCTGCTTTGCTGGTAGCCATTTCATGCTTACATCTACGCTCAACTACAGGAAGTTCAGACGAGAGGTGATGGATGTTTGCATAGCATAAAGAGGTTGTTAGCTGCACAAAGTGTGCACAAATTAAGGGAGAGAAAAAAGTAGCTTGTTTGCAGAAAAGTAGAGGTTGGCTTGAATTGTAGCTTGTGCATATTTGCGAAGAGTATTAAAGTATCACTGCAACACTTTCTGTGCATGGTCGGAAAATGCAGCTGATAGGTAGTTGAGGCTTCCGAGAACAAATTAGCCTAACGTTATAGCTCATATTGTAGGTACCTTGCGCAACTTTGTAATCCCTCGAAAAACCATCGCACACGCTCCCACTCGAGAAACGCTCGTCATCTTCAGCGGTAGCCCGCGTGAAGGCTGTCAGTGTGCTTCAAGGGATTACCATGTCGCACCAAGTCCTACAGTATGGCGATTGACCAACTAGCCCAACAACAAGTTCCAAGCACGCGGCCGGCAATTCAATATTAGTTTTCTGTCGTCTAGAAAAGGCTCCCTCTTGTCAAATAATGTTATCATAATCTAAAATGTGCGTGTCGTAAATGCAATGTCCATAGTTATGAGCAGATTTTCGCATCGTGGGTTGCTTAGTTACCGCGGGAGGCCGCTATGTGCCGGCGCAGCGCGCTTACGCTGAAAGTAAGGCCTTACGTGGCCTTACCACACGTACCCGTTGCGGTGCTTCAGCGCAGGAATTTTCGAAGCGGCGCCCTGCAGTCTTCCTGCGGGAAGAGAGGGCACGACGACACGTCGGAAATCTCCGCTGCGGCGTAGATTTTGAGAATGGTAAGAAAACGCTGCCGATCGGTAGTAGAGGCTACCGAAGACACGCGAACCAAATGTTATAGCACAGCACGCGACCTGGAATTGACAATAAATGATCAAAGTCAGCTAAAAATTGCTTTCTCTTCTCTCGACAAATCACGGAATATACCCAAAAATCGCACGTAACAAGCCCATCTATCAGCCATTGGCTGATGTGAACATGGCGGGCTCGCTCGTTACAGAGATCTCCGCGGGAGGCCGCTACTTGTCCACGCGTGCGCGCGCTATCACACTGACAAAGCCGCGCGTTTAAAGAAAAAAAAAGTGCTCAATGTCACGAGCGTGTGCCACACGCTCGAGCCCGAAAAAGACAGCGATGTCCAGAGACCATTGCAGTGTCGCAATGCGTGGAATCAGTGGTGGAAAGATGGTAACGTGTCACTTACGGATGCAGAAGACGCGCGACAGATAATGGCGCAAATCTGGAAAATTACGACATTCGAAAGAAGGTGATGGACACTACGGTAGTTTGTTCTAACCGATTCGCTCATGACGACTTAATTCTCCGCACCGAGTACAGCATTATTTAGTTTGTGTGAGAATATTCAGCATTCTCTAAGCACGGAATAGATTTTCATTTATATAAGCAAGTGCTTTAGAAGAGTTGTTGTAGCGTTATGTGCGACTGTATTTCACGCATATGCTTCTTTTCACGCGCAACTCGTAGCGCCATTCATATTGAAATTAAGCTGCTGTAATCCTTGCCCCGAACGTTTTTGATTTTCAATGTGCGTAAATACACGCACGCAAACACGTGTGCCGTGGGCATGCATATATATATATATATATATATATATATATATATATATATATATATATATATATATATATATATATATATATATTGTGGGCATTTGTAACTTACATCGTCCTCATCCCTGCATAATCACAATCACCATCATCCGCCAAGACTTCATAATATATATATATATATACTTTATCTAGACATCTGCGCCTGCCAAACCACAGTTTTGAAAATATCAGCGTAACTCTTTTGCAGTCCGGTTTCTCAAACAGACGTGAGCGCGAACAGGGCGAGGCATATTTTATTTTCAAATTTCGAACATTAGTAGCCGGCATGAACGAGGACCGCGGAAGACTCTCCTGCCTCCGAGAAGTAAGCCGAGAATTAAGTGTAAGCCTCCGAGAAGTAAGTGTGTGTGTGTGTGTGTGTGTGTGTGTGTGTGTGTGTGTGTGTGTGTGTGTGTGTGTGTGTGTGTGTGTGTGTGTGTGTGTTATTAGAAACTTAATAACATCGATCGCGAACAAGATCGCGAACAAAAAAAAGAAGCTCTCCTATTACAGTCGAAACTGCGATATTTGCCGTATCTGGCGATATACTGGTCCAGACATAGCTCTGTTGTGTAATCAAGGGAACGGCAATTACGGCATGCGTATTCAGCTTTTGTCGATACAAGTGAATTCAAAGGGATGCATGCAATCTGCAGCATGAGTTGCTGCGACACTGCCTATGCCAGGTTTTTCTTAACACTGACATTTAATCTGTGCCATCGTTGGGTCAACGTTACCGATGTCGGGTATTTCTTAACGCTTACGCGTTAAAATTACCCTTGTGTGTTTTTATCATTCCTATGTACAATCTACCAAGTGTCAATCACCTGTGGCACATACCCACATACCAACGGCACGTAACCACGTGTGGGTATGTGCCGCCGTGGAGTGTTTGACGACGTACGCGACTGAATTGTGAGATTATTCATCTCTTGACCAGCGCGTCATTTTCGTCAAACCATATTACCCTCCCATGCTAATTTTGGTTCACGCCAAGTTAAGGGGGTGACCACGGGAGCACCCATGCGTAAGTGGCTAGATAGATACATACGCCCAAAGTCGCTAAAGTTCGCTAAGAAATGCTTCGCATTTCAAAACTGGCAACAAATAGGCCTGTTTGTCTCATTAAAAAAAGAAGACACTATCTACACGTTATTGGGTGTGTTCAAATACTCACCGTAGACGGCTAAATAGACAGCTAAATAGACGGCGGCCATCTTAAGTCCCATTCCAATTCTCACGTAGCCGGCAAAGTAGACAGCTCAAAAACAGGACACGGCGGCCACATTCCTCGTAGAGCATACAGCTAGCTGGGACTCGTAAAAACCCCAAGAATTATTACAAGCTCACCTATTTCCCGCCAAATATATTTTTTTTACTACCATTAGCCCTCCGCGTAAACGCACTCATTGGTGTCTTTCACACAAAATCCGCTCTTGAGCAACTCGTGAACCGAATCGCCTCATTCGGAGCGCGTTAAAAATTATTTGCTCAGAAAACATTTTAGCTGCTCAGGTGCACTGTGTTAACAATTGCAGATTGCGCTTGTTGGCTATTCATATTAGATTCAGAAACGTCACGAATGACAAGGGCAAGAGAGGCTACAAACACAACGCTGAATTCAACGTTATTTCTAGTGACGTTGGCTGAATTATACTTTTTCGAACACTGTATTGACTTGTTAGGATATTTTGTTTCCGCGTTGCCTTTTCTTTTTCTGCGCGTTGCCGCTCAAGCACACGTATCATTCAGCCACTACAATGAAGTGCGTTGTTAGCGCTGTATTTATAGCCTCTCTTGTCCTTGTACTTCGCATTGGACCTACGTTTCTAGGTTGAACTGCGTTGCATCATTGTGGTTGCTTTTTCTATCCCAAATTTGATCCCTTATCTGTGGCCAGCTTTTGAAGCGGCGAGTTGCGAGTGTTATCAGCTAGCTCATTTCCAGGCCTAGGAAAGCGAGTGTACTGCAGAGAAGGGCCGCTGCTATCGGCACATCTTTTCGCGGTGGCTC